AAAAATGAAGTAATTCTCTGTCCATATCTTGGAGGGTGATGATGATAATGGCATGTATGGGGGGGGGCAGACAAGAGGGCATAAATTATCCAACATATGTGCCAGGTTCTGTGGGTTAAACCACAGAGCCTAGGACTTGCCGATCAGAAGGTCGGTGGTTCGAATCCCCGTGACGAGGTGAGCTCCCTGCTCCTGCCAACCTAGCAGTTCAAACGCACGTCAAAGTGCAAGTAGATAAATAGGTACCGCTCTGGCGGGAAGGTAAACGGTGTTTCCGTGCACTGCTCTGGTTCGCCAGAAGTGGCTTAGTCATGCTGGCCACATGACCCAGAAGCTGTACGCCGGCTCCCTCGGCCAATAAAGCGAGATGAGCGCCGCAACCCCAGAGTTGGTCACGCCTGGACGTAATGGTCAGGGGTCCCCTTTACCTTTACCTTATGTGCCAGGCAGACTGGAGTCAAGAACCACTGATGGATTATTTTTAAGGGGTTTCCATTGAAATTTTTGAAGACGGATCTAAATGTGGGAGTAGTAAGCCATAGCTATTCCCACTGCACATTACCCATACACTTCTAATATCAATCTCCCAAAGAGACTTCAAAGGAAGGAGAGAAAACTGAAAGTCAAGCGTGTATGCAAAAGACAGTGGACATTCTGCACATTCTGGATCTAACCAAAGCCTCAAATGAACTCAATTTCTCTTAATGCAATCATTGTGCATGGATTTATACTGGACTGTCCACTCATCTTTCCATTTTCTTTGTTGTTTTGTGATGCTTCCCAATATTACTGCATTATTGCTGCCCAGAGGGGCTCCCTTGCACTATTGTACAACAAAAGCCGAACAAAACTAAGCAAGAATGTTTGCGGTATAAAGGGTTATGAGACTTTGGCAGGAAGTTGCAGAACAGGCACAAATTGAAGACGAAAGAGCATGTCTGCCCCAAAACTTTTGAAGGCTCAAAGAACATTGAATGTGGGATCTTGTATAATAGTCCTGACAGCACGTTGAGCACAAATAATTGCAAGCAAAATAAAAAGGACTTCAGGAGGGGCCATGTGTGTGTGCGTGCACAGAGTTATAATGCTCACCCCCATTACTGCCCCCCCTCAAGATTTTAATTTATGGGGATGAGAACACCTAAATAAGGCTTAGGTTAGTGACCATCACCACATCACACGACTTCCGAAGCTTCATTCATACTCTTTCTTCTTCCCAATGTGTAGGAAACCTCCGAAATCAAACCTCCATCCATGAATTCGTCCTCCTGGGATTCTCAAACCATCCCAAATTGCAAATATTTTTCTTCTTGGCCTTCTCCATCGTTTACACGGTGACCTTGACGGGGAATCTCCTCATCATTCTGGTTGTCATGGCCAACAGCCGTCTCCACACACCCATGTACTTCCTCCTTGGCCACCTGTCCTTCATTGATCTTTGCTACATGACCGCCACCATCCCTCAAATGCTGGCAAACTTCCTCCGAGAGTCCAAGACCATCTCCTACGCTGGATGCATGGTCCAAATCTTCTCCCTCATTTCTTGTGTTGGGTCAGAGTGCATCCTCCTAGCGGCCATGGCTTATGACCGATATGTAGCCATTTGTCACCCGCTGCTGTACACGGTCATCATGAATAGGAAAGTCTGCTTCCAAATGGTGGCTGGGTCGTGGACAGGGGGCTTCCTGAACTCCCTTGTACACACTCTCTTGACATCCACCCTGTCATTCTGTGGGCCGAGGGAGATCCGCCATTTTATGTGTGACGTCCCCCCGCTTTTGGAGTTGTCCTGCACGGACACAGCCCTGAATAATATTGTGCTCCACACAGCCAGCATGTTCATTGGGGTTAGCCCTTGCTTCTTCATCATCATCTCCTACGTCTTCATCGCTTTAGCCATCCTCCAGATCCGTTCCACAGAGGGCAGGAGGAAGGCTTTCTCTACATGCACGTCTCATCTTGCAGTGGTCATTATGTTCTTTGGGACTGCTCTCTTTAATTACAACCGGCCCAGCGCAGGCTATTCCTTAGATGTGGACACACTGGTCTCAGCCCTGTATTGCATCGTAACCCCAATGCTAAACCCCATTATATACAGCCTACGGAACCAGGAAGTGAAGCTGGCAGTGAAAAGACTGGCAAGTGCAAAGTGGAACGTCTTCTAAATCAAAGGTGGGCAGATACCAGGCTTTCTAGATCTACTATTTTCGCTATTTGCTAGAACCCTGAGGTTCCTGATTCAGAAAGCGGAAAGACTCATCCTCAGAGGAGGCTGCCTGGTGTCTCTCTGGATGAGCCCCTGCTCCCTTGGCTTTTCTCCTTCCAACCACGAGGCCTACCTAGAATCAATAACTCATGTAGAAACACTGGGGTTTCCTGTGAGAAGATACTTTCCCATTTAGCTACTATTATTGTGGATATAGCAGGACACTTTAAAAGACAAATAAGTAACTAGGATTGCAGTCCTGTACACTGGGAATAAGTCTCATTGAACAGGGAGGGATTTATTTCTGAGTAAACATATATGCTTGTGCTGTTAAGAGTAGATTTTTTTTTGAAGAACACTTTTAATTTCTTCCCTCCCACTTTGAGCACCCTGTTCTGCTTGCTGTCGTAATGACAAGCGGTGCCCCCCCCCCGATCACTTAAGCCAAAGTCTCCTGAAAAATCCACTCTGAGCAAGAGGAACTCTACACTGGATAGGACAGTTGGTGGCAGTGGTTGTTGATATGCCCCGCTTCAAATTGTTCCTGAACCAAGCTCTCATTCATTAAATTGAGGATGTCCATTTATAAAGCAAATTTCCACCCCATTCAGAAAACAAAACAAAACAAACCCCTAGCTAATCCAAAAGATGGATTTAGAGATGTGGTGGTCCCAGTTTGTCTATAACCTTCTTAGGTGCACTGACTTAAGAACATAAGATGAGAGTGCTAGATCTAGTCCAGCATCCTGTACACACAGTGGCCAACCGGATACCCACAGGAAGCCCACAAGTGGGGTAGGAGCACAACAACAGTCTCCCCTCCTGTGGTTTCCAGCAACTGGGTCTATTTCTTCTGACCATATTGGCTAATGCTCATTGATAGCCTTGTCCTCCATGAATTTGTCCAATCCTCTTTTAATGTCATCCAAGTTGCTCACCATCACTGCCTCCTGTGGGAGCGAGTCCACAGTTTTATTATTATTATTATTATTATTATTATTATTATTATTTATTTATTAAATTCGTTCATTGCTTTATCTTGCCCAAGACTCCTCAAAGTGACTTACAGCCAACAAACCAAGAAACCCACATAGATATATTAAAATCAAGGGTGGTTGGAGGGGGGGGTGCATTTAAAACATCCCACTCATTTCTAAAAGGCCACAAATAGTTGAAGGCCAAAGGTCTGGTTATAGAGCAAACTTTTTGCTTGGTGCCTTAACTATGCACTGCATGAAGAAGCATTTTGTCTATCCTGACAATCTTCCAACATTCAGCTTCATTGGATGGCCCCAGTTTCTAGTGTTATGACAATTAAAGGGGGGGGGGACTCTCTATCCACTTTTTCCACTTTTGCTCTGCAAGTGGGGGTGCTGACAGATTTCAGGGCCCGCCCTAACATTAGACAGTGGGGTGTTGTCCTCAGGCAACAGGTGCTGGGTGTGGTTGGGTGGGTTCAATGGGCAGACAAAGGAGCTAGGCCAGTGATTTGTGATGTGCTGTCCCTTGCTCACAGATTCATATCCCCACCTGCTTCATGTAAACACAGCTGAAGAAACTAATAGGCAAGAAAGTCCCAGGGTCAAATGCAAAATCATCACACAGAGCAGCAACCTGTGCAAAGCAGTGGGTGGAAACTGCTTGTCTATCCCAACGAAATACCATTAGAGGACTGGAATAAGGTAGAGTGGAAATGACACGATGGCCTAAGGGTGCAATCCTAGCCCCACTTACCTGGGAGTAAAGCTCTACTGAATTTAGTGAAACTAGCAGCTTATCCACACTTACCTTTCCAGACACGGTCCATCCTTTAAAGCTCCGTGTCAGAGCATCATTTTTTTTGGCTCTGGAGCTTTCCATGCAAAAACCCGCTTTTTAGCAATCAATCCCAAAGAATCCCAAGAAATGTAGTTTGTTAAAGGTTCTGGGAAGTGTAGCTTTGTGAAGGGTAAACTACAGTTCCCAAGTCTTTAGGGGAAAATGTGTCTGATGTGGATGTGACCTTAGTCAGGATTGCTGCCTTAGCTGCACTATTGCAATGGAGCCTGCACCCAACCCTAAGCAACATGTAGCTGGGATAATCAAAATGTGGTGTAGTGGTTAGAATGCTGAACTAGTTGCTGGGAGAGCAGGGTTCAAATCACTGAGCTCCTTGGAGAAAAAGTGGGATATAAATGTAGTAATAAATAAATATTCCTTCCCTCCTCAACCCAGCACCTTCCCCTTCCCTTGCGGTTTGCCTGGTGTCAAATTTTATACTGTAAGGTGGGTGACAGTGTGTCTTAGTTTACAGAAGATGGCCCTCAGTTAGGAGTGCTGTTAGAGGACAGCTCTCCTGTCTGAAAGGCTGTCAGGTCCAACACCCACTTAAAAGATAAGTTAAAGTCATAAAAGGGAGGGGGGGTTGCAGTTGCCCACCACGAGATAGCACCTAGACAGAGAAGGCACACTGGTCCCCCGGGGTCAGTCTTTCCCATCACGATGAGATTTGGTATGTCTGTTTAAATTACAGTAGTTATTTCTAAATTTGCATCAAATTAGCATAGTATTTGCATCAAATTAGCACATGCAAATTTTATGCAAATACACATCCTGTTCCAGCATAAGTGGCCGCTTTAAGGACAAAACAATAAACAACAACAACGAAAACAAGAAGACACTTGCTCCTCCTAATCTCAGGCGAGCAAATCCTGTGACTCCGCTAGTTGGCCACCAGAAGGAGCAGTGAAACCACGCTTCCTTTTTCCGCTCCTGGCTTTGCAGCTTTTGAAATAGTTTCACGTGATGGCTTGTCGTGTGACCGTGCAGCAGGCTCAATATGGCGGCCTCCATAGAGCGCCTTGTGCATAGAGTAGGCGAGGGGCAGCGACCGACTGCTTTGGTCGTTTTTTCTATGGTGCTGCTCCGCTGCCTTCTGGGAGTTCAGGGTCACGCCGTAGCTTGGTAAGTGCTCAAACCAGAGGAGAAGCCTTTCCACCTCTAAGTATCCTGTGGGCGCCGGGGCGAGAGTTTCCGGCTCTTCCCACCCCCGCCGCATTTAGCTAATCTTTAGCTGTGCTTGTACGTGAAGGAAACTCAGGTGATACGAGGGCCGAAGAGATCAAACTGATAATACCCGGGCTGATGTCCCGTTGAACAAGTAACACTGCTTGCAAGGTAGTAGAACAAGGAGAGGATTTTGGAATAGCACCGTATTCCCCGAGTGTTTTTTTTTGGTTTGTTTCAGGGTAGAGATTCTATATGCATACGCATACAAGTCCCTGCAGAGAACTTTTTTAATTTGGGAGAGCCTTAACAAAATGCTTTCATTCGTCTTATCCTGCCACATCAGTACTTCCCCATCTTATCACATTTGTGGATCTGGCGGCTGTGTGCAGGAAGCTCTCCAGTTTTCTCAAACAATCTTCTTTGTAACTAAATTAGTTCTGTTCTAGAACTTGGTGGTAGTTTTGTCAGGCGGAAATGGGGGAGTGAGACTGACTAGGACGGTTGCTTTTCATTTCCTCTGTTCCAGTTGCTTTAACACAGAGATTGAGTGAAGTTTTTCCAGTGGTGGAGAAAACTCTGGGCACCTTAATTTCTGGCTCTCAGGCTGCATTAAAAGACACGTGAGTGGGGGCAGTAGTTTTCTTAAATCCACTGAGTGTTCCTCCATCTTCTTACACAATGTGGGTTTCCTTAGGATCTAGTTTAACTGCCTACTTACAGATGTTCAGCCCTCAAAGTGTGCTTCCTCATCCAAGCACAAGCCTGATCTTGCCTGTCACCCTTTTGATTTCTGACCTGCTTAGTGGCACTTGTTTGCAGTCCCTTGAGTCAGAGTTTCTTCTTTGGTCAGCCCCTCCCCTGGCCTATTTAGCTGTATGTAAAATGACAGGCATGGGAAAAGAGCAAACTTAGGGTGTTTATTAAAGGTAAAGGGACCCCTGACCATTAGGTCCACTCGTGACCGACTCTGGGGTTGCAGCGCTCATCTCGCTTTATTGGCCGAGGGAGCTGGCGTACAGCTTCCGGGTCATGTGGCCAGCATGACCAAGCCGCTTCCGGCGAACCAGAGCAGCGCACGGAAATGCCGTTTACCTTCCCGCTGGAGCGGTACCTATTTATCTACTTGCACTTTAATGTGCTTTCGAACTGCTAGATTGGCAGGAGCAGGGACCAAGCAACGGGAGCTCACCCTTCGCAGGGATTCGAACCGCCAACTTTCTGATCAGCAAGTCCTGGGCTCTGTGGTTTAACCCACAGCGCCACCCATGTCCCTTAATGTGTTTATTACCTGAGCATTAATGGAACGGCTTTTAATGGCTCATTAGAGCTGCTTGTGGTGAAATAGAGGCGTTGTCTCAGAAAGATCTTCACTCCATGTAGGTGGAGAGGTGGTGTTTCCTAATGGATACCAGTCTTATAACAGATGGCCTTTCTTCCACCCAAATATACTCCAAGTTCTAAATGCCTTCCTCAGTGCATCCTATGATAATTCAAAAAAGTAATCTAGAATTTAAGATTTCACAGAATAATAACATTATGAGGCTTGCATAGTTTGGAGGTGATATCTAGCTAGCAGGAGGTCCCACTCTGCAACTTTATTTGTAATTCAATGCTTTTCAGTTAAAGGGGTAGTAACACTGAGGACACCAGCTATCAGTCCATATTTAATTATATGGGTTTTGCATTTCTTGGCCCAGCTTTGTACAGATTTATTAGAAATTTGCTCCAAATAACATTTTGGGGTCAACCTTGTATCCGACATATGTTGTAAGGAAGCAAGGTGGTGCAAACGATTTGACAGGGCAAGCTAGTGAGACTGAACCTGTATGATTCACATTGGAAACTTGCAAAATTTCAGGAATTCATTGAACGATGACCTGTTACCACCGTATCTTCCACCTCGACACGGTCCGCGGCATCACCATCGGTACGTTCGGGACTGTCAAGCTCTCCGCCACGGCAACACAACACATGAATCCTGGCCTAGCAATAACAGCACTGTCTTTCCACTGACCGTCACAAGCATCTTCATCTCTGACATCCCTCCAAAGGGTCAGAATAGTCGACATGTCTATGGCCATCTCACTACAGTGAGGGACCCCCTGAGGACGTTCTCTGTGCTGGAGCCTGGTGGGCCAGGGGGCTGCCGTAAACGCAGCCGAGCAACGGTGGAAGAGACTGCCAGGCATGGCAAGTGCCTTGTGGCCCAGAATGGGGGGTACTTCAACACGAAAACTGGAGAGTGCCTTGGGAATGTTGTGAGCGATGGGCATCTCATCCAGTCCTCCGGAGGGATTCAGAATGCTCATTTTGGCATCCGGAAGGATGGCACTCTAGTCTTTGGGTAAGGAATCAGCAACTCTTCCTTTTAAACCAGGTGTTGGGAGCTGGAAATCACATAGTACCTGTCAGGCCATTGGGCCATCTGGCTTAGCATGGTCAACACTGACTGGCAGTGACTTTCTACGATTTCTGAAATCCTAGAAAGCAGGGGAGATACCATGATCACAGACTTGGAGTTTGGAAGGGACTACGAGGGTCATGCAGTTCAACCCCCTGCAATGCAGGAAACTTCCACCCAGTGTGGGTCTCAACCCACAACCCTGAGATTACAAGTCTCATGCTCTTCCACCTGAGCTATCCCTTGGATCATGGTAAACTGTGAACTTGGAAGGGACATTGGTGGCCACACTTAGCTCAACCCACTCTTCAGGGCTGGCTTTGCAGTGCAGAGTGTACTGCAGCATCCCTGATGGAGAGCCATTCAGCTTCTGCCTCATAGGAGAGCTCTACCACCTCCTGAGATAGCCTGATCCACTGGCCATTAAAGCAGTATTGTACCACAGTCAAGGCTTTTGCCAGAGGATCCTGGGAAGTGTGGTTTGCGAAAGATGCTGAAAGCAGATCCCTATTCCCATCACAGAGCTACAATTCTCAGAGAGGAATTGTCCTTTAAATATTTTCAAATGCCGCTCCCTCCTTATAACATGGCTCCTCTGTTGTCTTTTCCAGCTACCTCTCTGAGGAGGATGTGTTGGCTAAAGACAATCCCTTTGTGCAGCTTGTGAGTGGGGTGGGGTGGCTCTTGCGAGATGGGGAGGTCTACGTGAATCAGAGTCGGGCGGTGGAATGTGACGAGACGCAGGAAACAGGTAAATGTGGGGAGGGGGCCTGTTCCTTTTGTCTGCCTGATGCACTGGATGGTCAGAAGGGGAGGAGGAGCGATAACAGGGGGCGTGTATTGATCTGTCCATAATGGGAAGCACCCACAAGGCTTGGTAGCCACCCAAGACTGGAGAGGAACTGATGTGTCTTGCATCTTTTCCTTCAGTCCACTGCCTTTCTGTGCCCCCCCCCCCGCCATGCTTTCTGTGCTGTTAGGTGGGTGAAGAGCTATGGGATTCACTTGGTTCCTCTGGTGAGTAAGGCTTGGGCAGGGGAAGAACATGTTCCATGAAGGTCCTGGCATGACCTAGCAAGCTCTAGACCACCCCAGGCTCAGCAGGCTCAAGGCCAAGGCTGTCCATGGCCCTAATGGAAAAATTAAGATATAAGATGTAAGCATTAGGAAAAGGTAATCAAAAAGACAAGTGGTGATTTGTGGTACTGTTTAATTGAATTTGTATGCAACAAAGAAAACCATTTTGCACCTCCTCAAACACACCGGTGACTTGTGGTTAATGGACTGCAGCTAATCGTATTAATTTTTATTTCCTTCCCAGAACCAGATATCTGGTTTTTTTAATGTTCTTTCATTATAATCACCATGCCCACGCTTCAGCGAAACTGAATTCTTGTATTCTCTCTTCAAATGATTCATTACATTTATGTTTCTTGTCTGTATGCTCATGAAAATTAAATACATATTGTCAGGGAACTGCCATCGGACGGAAGGGAGGTGAAAGGGCTCACACAGGTTGGGAGAGACGCAGCAGCTGAAGAGGGAACCAGCAGGGAGGTGAAAGGGCTCACACAGGTTGGGAGAGACGCAGCAGCTGAAGAGGGAACCAGCAGGGAGGTGAAAGGGCTCACACAGGTTGGGAGAGACGCAGCAGCTGAAGAGGGAACCAGCAGGGGAGAGGAGCTGAGCTGGAGGGATGGCTCAGAGACACTTCCAGCGAAAACAGTGGGGAGGTTTCAGGACCTCCTGTAAGAACACCCACTCCTCGCCGGAAACTGTCACGCAGAGATTCCAGAAGACGTGTTTCCGTTAAGGAGCTTTTATGTTGGAAGCGATCACGAAAGCAACCACTGTCGGAATCTGCTAGTGACTAGAGGAGACATGTCTGAGGGGCTCCGTCACAGACAGAGGTTTGTGGACTTGAACAAACTCTGAGGGGATACGATTTTACGCACAAGCAGCTCATCATCCCATCACACATATGTTTATATATGGCAAAACAAAAGACCAGAGCTGTGATGGTACCCAGCTTAAAGCAGACAGTATTTAAGAAAACAAAACATGCTTACACCATTCTGCTGCAAGGAGAGGTTTTGCCCTGTGATTTGTTTTTTTAAAAAAAACATTCTTGTAGCAGAGTGATTATGTTTCTCAGCTATTTGTACTCTGTCTCTCTTTCTCCCCACCCCTTTGTGGTAGGTACGTTTGACAAGTTCATCAATACTGTGTCTGCCAGGACAGCCGTGGGGCATGACAGGCAAGGACAGCTGGTGTTGGCGCACTTTGATGGGCAGACACATACAAGGGGGTAAGTCTGATTAGTTTTTGAAGTCATTCCTCCTAGTGGGGTAGGTGATCCATGCCTCAGATTGAGCTCTGCTTGGAGGGCCTCTTTGTCTCCTTGATGTGTTGTGGGTCAGTTTTGCTTTTTTTATTTAAGTAACAATTCAGGATAGGGACACAGGTGGCGCTGTGGGTAAAACCTCAGCGCTTAGGACTTGCCGATCGCATGGTCGGCGGTTCGAATCCCCGCGGTGGGGTGCGCTCCCGTCATTCGGTCCCAGCGCCTGCCAACCTAGCAGTTCGAAAGCACCCCCGGGTGCAAGTAGATAAATAGGGACCGCTTACCAGCGGGAAGGTAAACAGCGTTCCGTGTGCTGCGCTGGCTCGCCAGATGCAGCTTGTCACGCTGGCCACATGACCCGGAAATGTCTGCGGACAGCACTGGCTCCTGGCCTATAGAGTGAGATGAGCGCACAACCCTAGAGTCTGGCAAGACTGGCCCGCATGGGCAGGGGTACCTTTACCTTTACTTAACAATTCAGGAGAAAAGTTAAATAAGGAATCCAACTGTAGGTGCTAGCATTTAACATGTAGGTGTCTGAGGAATTTCCATCCTATGACTCAACAAAGAGTGATGAGATTTGGGCATAACACTAAGCCATGGTTCAATAAACCATGGTGTAGGGACACTTGGTTCTGGTTTGTTTAGCAAACTAATTATTATTATTATTATTATTATTATTGTTATTGTTATTATTATTTATTTATACCCTGCCCATCTGGCTGGGTTTCCCCAGCCACTCTGGGTGGCTTCCAACAAAACACTAAAATACAATAACCTAAGGCTTAAGCAATCCTGGAGGACTTAGTGTCATGTACGAACCAGGCCTGCCTAGCACTAGACAAGTATTATTCTGTAATGTATCCCGGTTTGCCCATAACGCTAAGAGGTTGGTTTGCAAACCTTAGTTTATGTTAAGTGCAATAAACAATGGCTTACAGGCTAAGGCACTGGGGCAGGTTCAGATGATTAAATTAAACCATGGTTTAGTTAACCAGGCCTATATGAAAGAGCCTTCTTTTTTTAATGACCTGAATTGACCCTCATCTTAAAGAAAGCAGAGCCAGGTTTGGAAGGTTGGTTACTGTGGTACGTGAATTCTCTCTCACATGAAAATATATGGTTGTCCCCACCAACCCAACCCTCAAGCTGTTATCTTGTCTGTGCTACAGTAATCGCTGGTTCTCTTTTCAGGGCTGCCCTAAGACTTCTCACTGCCTGAGGCAGATGGTGAAGTCTTGTACAGAAGCCTAGCATACAAACAGTTTAATCTTGCATTGACACTGTTAATGTGCCAGAACATTCCACTACACACAAGGACCACAGGCTAGCGTGGCCGGGAACAGAGCATGCCACATGGCTCTTCCAGCCCTAACACTTAACTTTCGCTCCCTTCTCTCCAGCATTTGCCTCCTTCCTCCGCCTAAGGATAGGGCCGGCCCTTACTCTTCTTCCGCCTATGCAAGGCATCTTCTCACAGCTATCCCCTTAATCGTTTGCACAGCCTCAGCCTTTGGGATATGGCTGATTTCCTGAAGCAGCAAGGCGTCGTCAATGCCATCAACTTGGACGGCGGAGGGTCTGCAACCCTGGTCTTGAATGGAACGCTTGCTAGTTACCCTTCAGATCACTGGTAGGTGCTGTCGCTGTTTGGTAAAGGGGAGCTCGACCCTGTACTCGTGGACAATGCAGAAAGAGCCCCCTGCTGTCACACTTCTGGTCCTGAAGTGGCCAGGCTATGTTTGGGGGGTGAGACAGTTTTCTGTGGGTCTGCATCAGTGTCAAATGAATTTACTACAGCTGAGAAACCTCGCTGCTTCTCCCAGCTTTAAAGAAGTGCCAGGATGTGTACTAGGGCTTGGCTTGGCTGCTGTTGTTTTTCTTTTGGTGTAATCAGTATTTCTTTCTCCCCAGCGAACCTTACCCCATGTGGCGCTGCCCTCGGCAGGTTTCGACTATCCTGTGTGTCCACGAACCTGCCTGCCAGCCTCCGGACTGCAGTGGGCATGGGCACTGCGTCCTTGGGGAATGTCAGTGCGATGGAGCTCTCTGGAAAGGACCAGCATGCGATGTCTTGGACTGCGGCCCTTCCAACTGCACCCTGCATGGAATCTGTACAGAAGGCAAGGCCACGTAGGCTGGGAGAGGTGTGAGCATGTGGGTCAGGTAGAACAGGTGCTCGGCCTCCAAGTCAGGGCTGCTATAGAGATGGGGCTCTCAGAAGCACATCACTTGTAGCAAGTAAAGGTAAAGGTAAAGGTAAAGAGACCCCTGACCATTAGGTCCAGTTGTGGCCGACTCTGGGGTTGTGGCGCTCATCTCACTTTATTGGCCGAGGGAGCGGGTCATGTGGCCAGCATGACTAAGCTGCTTCTGGCGAACCGGAGCAGCGCACGGAAACGCCGTTTACCTTCCCACTGGAGCGGTACCTATTGATCTACTTGCACTTTGACATGCTTTCGAACTGCTAGATTGGCAGGAGCAGGGACCGAGCAGCCGGAGCTCACCCCATCGTGGGGATTCGAACCGCCGACCTTCTGATCGGCAAGTCTTAGGCTCTGTGGTTTAACCCACAGCTCCACCCACGTCCCTACAGCACCCTTGATTTAGAGGCTGCCTATAGAATTAGGGTTCTAGAAAGCACATTGCTATTAACAAGTGGGACTCCTGCTGAGACTGGGCAAATTGGGGTTTTTAAAAACCCTTGGATATATAGCAGGGGATGTTTTTTTACTCCTCTTTTTCTTTTGGTTAAAGGCAGCCTCAGACTAACCTGTTCTGATTTGTTAGGATGCTGGCTCTACCATTGGGCAGAGTGAGGCAACTTCTTGGTATCCAGCGTAGGAGCAGTGGTGGCAGTTTCCCACCTACTCCTACTGAATCCCTCATCTTGGAGGACAGAGCTGTGTTTGCTCCCCAGGCTCCCCCTCGCCCCCTAAACTGGCCTTTGGCTTTTAACTCTCTGTTTCCTTTTTGTTTTGGTTTAGTCTGCTTGTTTTTAAATAGAACTGTCTTTTAGACTTGTTAATGCTGTTTTAATGTATTTACGTGTTTGTTACTTTCTTCAAATATTTTCAGTTGCTTTGAGTTGTCACTGAAAAATAAGGTGACTAACTTAATAACAATATTCCCCAAATGTCCTCCATTTCCCCTTGGCCGTGGCTTATCTGAAAATCCCACGTTCTGCCCTGAATTCCCTCCTTTGCCGGCACTGGTGTCTCTATTCCCGGTTGTGCCACAACTTACCTCTCTGTGCCCTCACTGCTCCAAAATCACATCCATTTCTTCTTTCCCCCTTTATTGCAGAGGGATGTCTTTGTGATGCTGGCTGGCAGAGCCCCAACTGCAGTGAAGGTAGCTGGATTTCCTCCCTAACAATCCTTCCTTTGTATAGTTGTGTGTTTGTGTGAATATTTATTTATTGCATCAGTTTGTAACTTGGGAAACCAATTGCAAAAGTTAGGGCAGCGTTTGCCAACCTAGTGCCCTCCAGTGGTCTTGGACCGCAAGTTCCATCGGCCCCAGCCATCGTGGGGCAGAGTATAAACTCAAACAAAACAAAACAAACTTTTCACCCTTTGGCCAAATAATAAGCTGAATTGTTACAGTCCTTGAAAATATGCTGCAGTTGATTGAACTGGCAGTAGCTGTTTTTCTCCGGTTTTATTGATTTTATTGCCTTGTTCTTCTTTTATTGCTTTACTTTGTGTTCCTTGCTCCAAGCATTCTTTGGTCAGGATAGAAATTGACTACGGTAAATATATATTTCCAGGGCAACTTACATCGTGATTGACTTTTCTGTTTTGACTTTGCTACATGTATTGGGGGGGAGGCACTTTTGGTGGCCTGCATTGTGGCCACCAAATGCCGAGTTTTTATTATTATTATTGTGATTTATTCCAAAAGAAGGACGAGCTTATGCAAACTGCAGAAACAACATGGGCTGCATTTTCTGTCCTGGGACAGATGTAGGGGATGGAGAGATCCACAGCTGCCCGCTTATCCAGCTTACTCATGTCCATGCAAGGTCCTTACCATCTGTGTCACCAGGCTAGTGCTTAAATGCAAGGTTGGAATAACTGTGTGTGTTTGACCCTTCGTAGCAGGGAAAGCCAGCAGGTGTTCTCTGGCTGTTCTTGTTGTTGGACTCCAGATCCCATCAGCCCCAGCAAATGCGGCTTGTGGCCAGGCATGATGGGAGCTGTAGTCTAGCAACATTTGGAGGCTGCCACGTTGTCTATCCCTGCTTTACAAGGGAGGGGAGCAGCTCACTGGTAGAACATGTGCTTGGAATGCAGAAGGGTCCCAGGTTCAATCCTTGCATTGTATCAATTGTCGGTATATAAATACATCTATAAATAAAAAATCCTGGCGTCTGTGGGGAAGGCTGGGCAAGTCGGTCATTCTGAAAGCATGGAAGCTGCTGCCAATCAGTGCAGACAGTACTGAACCAATTGAACAAATAGTCTACTTTGGTATAATGCAGTTATATTGGGGCTTCCCTTGCTCTTGACCTGGAAGCTGCAGGCAAAGCAGAATGCTGCTGCACAGCTGCCCATGGGACTGACACCCCACCAGCATATAGCACCTCTGCTTAAAGATCTGCACTGGCTTCCTACCAGGCCAAGTTCAATTGGTTTCTTACTGTTAGTATATAAAGCCCTTAAGAGCTTGGGAGCAATTTACCTGCGAGATCGCTTTGCCATATATAAGCCCAATTGACTGCTCTGAACTGGCCCCGTTAAAAGTGCCACATAATATTTTTTCAGCATTTGTAAGAAATCAGCGTTTTAGCGTTTAACCTTCGCTTTGGCTCACACTATTGACACCAGGCAGAGTACTTACAGCGAAGGCACCTTTCTGGCGCCTACTAAAAACATTTTTGTTTAGCCAAGCCTACCCACACCTGTGGAATGCTGGCATGTGTTTTCATTAGGCTATTAGCTTATTTCTGAAGGTTTTGAATTGGTTTTTAATTGATAATTTTATTGCTTTATTCTTTTTTTGTTAAGGATTTCAGGTTGTTTTCTTTTTGTCGGATGAAGCGCTATATATAATTTTTGCGAAGCAAATAAACAGTAAATATATATTCCTTGCCACCCAAAGTCCTGATGGTGTTTTGCATGTGGTCTCCTCCTTCCCTCTCTCTCTCTCCTGCCATAGCCTGTGCTCCTGGTTCCTATGGGGACGGCTGCCTTCAGAAGTGCCTCTGCCTCAATGGTGGTGCCTGTGACCCTGTCCACGGAACTTGCAATTGCTCAGCTGGCTACCAAGGCACGCATTGTGAAGAAGGTGAGAGATTTGTTTATTTTAACTTGGCTGTGGTGATAACGTATTTGCTCTACTCCCTTCTTGCTGAGTTAAACAGCACTGTCTGCACCTGGTACTTGTGACTGTCACTGCTCCCCTCCCAGCCTTTATAATTCCTTAACGTGGGGAGGCATGCTTTGGGCTCCAAAGAAATTGGGACAGCCGGAAGACTGTAAGCAGCGAAGAAATGGGCGAGTTAGCTGACAGGAGAGGCTCAGTGGAGCCAGCTAGTGGATGAAGAATGTCCAACCTTTCCACATCTTCTTTGTTTGCATCACAGATTCTACACACAGTGCACAGTTAAACTGTGGAACTCACAGCCACAGGAGGCAGTGATGACCACTAACATGAATGGATTGGACAAATTCATGGTTATTAGCCACAATGGCTTGGTTCTGCTTCCACAGTCGGGGTATTCATGCTTCTGAATACCAGGTGCCAGAAACCACAGGAGAAGAGCACGCATGTCCTGCTTTCTGGTGTCCCCACAGGTATCTGGTTAGCCTCTGTAAGAACAGCTTGTTCTGAGCAAAGGCAGAAGGGCTTTGTAAGCCTTGGCAATCAGCTGCTCATCCATGCCTGAAAACCCTGCTGTAAGACAGAGAGCCAGGCCTGATTCTGCCATGTTTCCCTGGCCTGCTTGCTGTTGTGTAACCCCCAACTTGTCTTCCCTGGGATTGTTTTCTCAGCCTGCCCCAGCGGATGGTACGGGCCAAACTGCCAGGATGCCTGTTCCTGCCCAAACCAGCGTCCTTGTGATCGGAAGACGGGCAGTTGCAACGTTTCTGCTGAATGCCCCCCGCCTGACGACGTAGACAGAGGTAGGTGGCTCAGGGCCTCGTGACTCAGGAGGAGACACAGCCTGAGCTTTTCTTTCAGAAGGTTTGGCCCTTGGCCTTTTTGCTTCCTGTTTAAAAGGGTCCTGGAAAGATAGGAAGAGGCCTTATTTAGACTCTAGCTCATTGGCCTACCAATCTCAGTATTGTCTTCCCTGACTGGCAGCTGCTCTCCAGGGCTTCGGGCAGGGATCTCTCTCCTGTTGTGGAGGGGGCTGACTAAAAATCAGCCCTCCTGCCAGGGAAATATCTCCTCACTCATATATATATGAGGCAAAGCTTTAATAGTAGAAAAGTGTAACATGCTGACTGAGAGAAACAAAACATATTGAGGCAAGTGACAGGTAGCCTTTTTTAAACAGCCAACCTGAGGAAAGGGGCCAATTCTAAAGTACAGCATAAAGGCCCCGCTCACTAGAGGCCAGGTATTCTATTGATCAAATTAGGCCTCAGTGCTTTTCCACACCTTAGCCCAGGCATAGGCAGCCTCGGCCCTCCAGATGTTTTGAGACTACAGTTCCCATCATCCCTGACCACTGGTCTGGTTAGCTAGGGATGATGGGAGTTGTAGTCCCAAAACATGCTGGAGAGTGAACCTGGAAGCTTCTGTATGTGAGGCTGTTGCTCTGCCTGAGCCATGTGGTTCTTGCCTGCGGTGTTATACCTGGGACAGCTCTTTCTCTCCTGGGCTGCTGCCAGTCAGAATAGCGGTACCGTGCTGAATAGGCCAAGAGATTTGATGGCTTCATATATCCCAGCTACCCTCTTCTTGGTCTACATTCCAGAGTGCCTGTGGATTTTGGGGTAGCTTTCTAGGGGTGCAACGTACAAGGGAAGAAGACGGATCAAAAAGCTGTAAGAAAGGGGAAATGGGACGATGTAACTGTATAGAAAAGGGGGGCAGGAAGCGGACTTTATTCCTGGTGCGTTTCAGGGGTGCCTCTTTCCCAAGGAGTGTAAACACTGTAAATTGAGGCTTTGAGCCAGGTGAAGTGAAGGCCTGCTTGAGTCCCATTGGAAATCTCGTCGATTTCAAGGGTACTTAAGCTCCAGTTGCACTGGAGCCAAAGTTACTATTTCTTGATCTTTGAATGCTTGCTGAAGTTGAACAGATTACAAGTGGATCGAGTCTGATGGAATGTATGGATTCTTTGAGAAGGAATTCCTTGAAACGAGTTAGGGCACTAGGGGTGTTGTCTCTTTTTGGTCGCCACCCCACCCCCTTACACAGTTGTCATCTGCGTTTGTCTTGAACAAACTGACATGTCCATCCCTTTCAGGACAGCAAGAGAAAACTAGGCTCTTGATCTGACGTGACGATTAAGCCTTCATGGATCCGTTCCAGTCTATTTGCTGCATTGGAGATTTGCCTTGTCCTTCGTGCTTGGCAATTAAGCATCTAAATGCATCTCTCTCTCCCTCTCTCTTGCAGGGCAGTGCTTGCTGAAGGCCGATGAGAAAGGTGTGCTCCTTGGGTTTACAATGTAAGCTGTGTGCTTTGTGTTTTTGTAGTGTGGTTGTGTGTTGTAATATTTTCTAGCCTCCTGTAATAGAGCTAGTCGCAGAGTCTTAGTCTACAAGACCCCCTCTACCTCTGCATAGTCCATCCCCTTGCCCAGTGCAAGCAGTATAGATCACCCCCAATAGACAGCTGTTCATCCTTATATGGACACAAGACGAGGCCTGCTGGATCAGGCCAGTGGCCCATCTAGACCAGCATCCTGGTCTCACGGTGGCCAACCTGTTGCCTACAAGAAGGCTGCAAGCAGGAGCTGAGCACTCTGCACCTGCAAATTCCAGAAAATGGTATTCAGAAACATTACTGTCTTCTGTGTCTGGAGGTGGAGCATAGCCACAGCAGCTGGTAGCCTTTGTTAGCCTTTTCCTCCATGAATTTGTCCAATTCTCTTTGAAAGCTACCCAAGTTGGTGGCCATCGTTGCCTCCCATGGGAGCGAATTCCATAGTTTTAACTATGCAGTGTGTGCCTCCACTTTGAAGAATCTGCACCATGGGAGATGCTCACCACCTCTCTAGGGAATCGGTCCCCTCGTCCATCTGGCCTTGCCATCAGGAAGCTGCTTCTAATGTTCAAGCACAGTCTCCCCTCCTGCAGCCGAAGGCCATTAGTTCTAGCTTCGTCCGCTGGGACAAGTCTATTCTAGTAAAGTGATTACAATGATGAAATGGGAATCTTTTGACTTGTATTGTCAGTTTGCAGGCTGGCGTGTTAAGGTACTGTAAACATGCTGATTATTATTTTCATCGGTTACCATTATTATTAATAGTATTTTTATTTTGTTTTTTACAGTAAGGGATGGTTTATAGGAGTCTTATCTGTGCTGCTTCTGGTTAGCGCCGTGTTCAACATAAAGCACTTTTGCTGCAGCAGCCCCGCAGGCCGACAGAACTTCTCCAGGCGTCCCAACAGTTCCCACTATGAACCGTTATGGAAGTCAAACAGTTTTTCACTCGCAGCAGGAGAGAATGAAGACTACACAGAAGACACAGAGACCTAACACAGACGGCTGTGATCCTTTGATGTGAGAACCAGCAGGACGCCCCATCCATCACTCTTGTGTGATGGCACACTGTAGCAGAACCTTCCAGAAGGAACAAGTGGCTTCCATGTAGAACTTGACTACTGCTCCCCTCATTGGCCTTGCCTAGGGGCAACGGACCTTTTCCCAGTACAAGAGCCCATATTCCCATCTGGAAACCACCAGCAGTGAGCAGGGCCTAAGGCGAAAGAGGGCAGAGCAGTTAACCCAAGTTTTACCTTTTTGTGTACTGTAGGCTAGTTTCCACAAACACACCTCTGTATCCTCCATTGTGCTAAGCAAGAGGGAATATCAGAGTTAAAGGACACATTTCAGCTGGCAAAAGAAACATCTGGGGAAGTGTGGGGCTTTGGGAAAGGGGTTGCGCTGTGAGGAGGGTCCTGAGGGACAGATAAGAGAGGGATAGATTTGGCCTCCAGGCCTGAGGTTCTCCACCTTGGACCCATCCTTTCCAAAATGAGGCACTGCCCTTCCAGATGTTTTAGGTTGGGGAAAGAAGTCTAGAAGCTGCTGGGGCTGGCCTTGACCTCTCTGCTGCTCCAGTAAAGGACTTCAAATAGAATCCTCTGCACATAAAAACAACCACCACATTACAGTATGGACTCCAGCTCCCATCACTCTCAGCCACCATGGCTGATGGTCACAGATGAGGCAAGATGTAGCCCAGTAACAGCAAAAGGGCTGGAGGTTCCCCACCTGTGATGTGTCATGAGCCAAAATGGCTTTCAAAAAGAGGAGCAACTACCAGTGTTTCCTTGCTGAGAACAGGTGGATGTAGCCAAAGTGCAGAGTGGGGCTGTTTAAAAGCCTTCTTGCAAACACCCCTGTGCTGTTTTGCAGAGGCTGCTGCCTTCCTCTCTTTCCCGTGCCCCCTTGACAGCCTGGATTCAGCCAAAGCCTGTATGCCTCTGCCCCAATCCCAATTGCTATGGGATCCAGGCTTGGGCCGGATCCAGGGCTGTCAAGGGGCAGGAGAAGATTCTGGGTACATCCTTACTAATTTCTTTAAGTGGTGGTTGCAGCTTTCGCTGGGAAGACTAATGGGCTGCTACAAAAATAATGTTAAACCCTACTTAAAATTAACTGGCTTGATGCAAATGAGCAGTGTGCTGGTTCACAGTGCTCATTGCTTGTTCTTGTATTGCTCCAGTCTGTGCTATGCTGGGGGGAGACGTACCAGAGCCTGGTTCAGCATCACATGTTGAGAAAGTGCTAAAAGAATTAATAATGAAAAGGGCTTCACTGTGAGGAATTTTACTTCCAACTCTGGTTATCAGAGTGCTTGACTCTTAACGCCTTAAGTATGATGGCCTAAGTTAGGCCTATAGCATACGATCTTATGACAAGTTTTTTAGTAATATATTTTGTAAAATGTAGCTGCGGGTGGGATTGCCTTCCGATAATTTATTTTAAAGCAGAAATTAAGCCTGTCTCGGCCTGAATACACAAACCACTTTTCCTTTCTGTTGCACTTTGCCTCTTCCTTCGTAATGCCAGGGGTCTTTGGCAGCCCATGTGAAATGTTGTGCCATATTTTAAATTGTGTGTTTTGTTAGCTTCAAAAGTTGAAGAACAATTGCAGCAACCATCCATGTTTGGTGCAGGGATATACTTTTTATACAATCAGGACGATATACTTTTTACACAATAAAGTGACATTTTTTCCTCTTGAGTTATGGATGTTGTCCTTTGACTACCTGAAAGAGGGTGCCAAGACTTGGCATTGTTTCCAGATGCATAGTGACAAGAGTCTCGTCCATTTTTACATGGTCCCCAGATACCTTAAAGCCTACATACAAAATTGGAACTCTACAAAGGTTCAAATGCACAAAAATACTACTTTATTTTAGATCAAAAATTAAAAAACACATCTTACTAAAAACTTCCATCTTACTATAAATTACAAACAAAAACTCTAGCTATGTAGTTATGTGTTAAGGCCACATTTGAGATACAGTGGTGGAAATATTGTTTCACTGCCTGGTTTATGAGCAATTCCATTTCTATCAGCTTTGCACCTCAGAAGCAAACTATTGCCCAATCATCTGTGGATTCTAAAAAAACACAAACATTTGCAAAATCTGAATTAAAAAAACACTCTAGAACATCCCTGATAATACTCCTTAAAAATATTTTTCTTTCTGAAAAAAGAAAGGCAAATTTGTGCTCACAAAGTTTACACTTGGTGTTTATCCTTATCATGGTCACAGCTGATTTTTGTGTGTGATTTTATATGTTTTGCCACTGTATTTGCTGAGAGAATACAGCAAACTGCTGGAGTGTGTGTGTAATCCCTTCTGGTTCTCATACAGTCAACAGAAAACTTAGTAAAGAGAACCATAAAATCAAAATTTAGTATTGGGACAGATGAGCGAGGAATAATGAACCCATTTTGGTCTCTCTTTTTGCAGGGAGAGGGAGGAATGTTCAATGTGTACACATTCTTAATGCTAAGAATCAAGAAACTCATCCTAATCCATATATACAGCAAAATCGCACCTTATACACATTTAACTTGCGTGATTTGAACCTTACGCAGTTGAAAGCCACCCAGTTGAAATCAGACAAATTACTTGTACCCATGATGGGAGAGCTTAAAAGCTCCTTTTGCATAAGGTTTTCCTGGCCCAGAAAGAGCTTTTAAGCTCTCATACTTGCTTACTGGGTTCTGGGAAGTTCTTGTGGGAGAGTGGTTTGAGTATATGTGTTTTTGCGTATATGCGCCAGCCCCGGAACATTACCCCTGTGCAGGACGCAATTGTACTGTAATACATAACAAGTTATAGTCTCTTCATCATCTCTTCGTCAGCATTTCAAAAGTGACATTCTGGAAGAGTATCTAAATGACCACCGCTGCTCTTCATGAGGGGCTGGGCTATTTCTGAGTGACCACTGCCCATCCTTCAACTTCAAGGGGGTCAAGGAAGTGTGAAAATGCTGGTGTGTTGGATCCTGATCCTGAGCAGCTTAGGTCAGTCAGTCCTAGAACCTTCCCATTCAGAAAATGTGGATGAGGCTATGCCCTGCTTGCTTGAGAAGTGGCTGTTATCAGATCCCTGCATTGATGCCCACTGCAGCCAACAGGAAAGAGGGCAACAGACATCCCCATAAAATCCAGGCATCAACCTACAGCTTGCCTGCCCCAAATTTCAGGAGCTCTGATCAAGCTAGCTGTCCTACCATGGTGAAAAAGGAGATAAGACAGCCAGAACGTAGGAAAATGTAGGAAACGGGGACTCCTTCCCGCCCTGCATCCCAATATGAAGATGAAGGCGGTGATTGACAGGTAAGGGGCTTGTATGCCTAAATAGAGGAGAAACACATGTGGAGGGGGGGCATTGGTGTTTTGGCTCCCAATCCCTGCAGGCTCTGGCTAATCGCCATTGACCATTTTCACTTCTTGGAATGTCAAATGGAGATCATGGAATGGTCCTGCTTGGGTCCAATAGGAATGGTCCAATGGGGACAGCTGTGCAGCTCCTGGGCATTTTCGGTTGCTGAACCAGAAACAGGAGGCTGGAGCCGCTGCACAGCATCGGGATGGGGAGTTTTCAGGGCTGTGAGGTAGCAACCATGTTTGCACCCTACTCAACTGGTGATGGAACCTGCTTTCTGCGTTCCTCTGCTGTGGACCTCCCACACCAGGATCTCATTATAGGAAGCTGTGAAGAGGCGTTTCCCAGACGGGGTAAACCGGCAGAGGCACACAGCATCATCGTGGCCCAGGTAGTCTCTCTCGGCCTTCTTTGGGTGCTCAATCAGCCTCAACATGCGCTCTGTAGGGCAGACAAAGCCATAGGCTAAGAAAACATCCTTTTATAAATCAAGGACAGTGCCATTCTAAATTTGAGGGATGTGTACATGTGTAAAAATCATCTGCCCAAGAATCTCAGCCAGGGTTGGCGTCAGGATTTTCGAGTTCCTCAGACAATAAATCACCAGGCTGCCCCACCCTCGGGGGGGGGGGGAGGGCAGAGACATTAATAAAGAGCACCCAGGAACCTTCTGACCAGATGACTCATGCAAGCGAGGCTACAATGCTCTGAAGGTGTTTTTTACCAGCCATATGAAATTGGTCATTGCTTTGTCACCTGAGGGCAATAACAGAACAGGTTTTGAAAGAAAAAAAGCAAGGCAATGCAGTGCCCGAGTTGGAAAGTTTTGCTAGCTTCCTTGGACCTCCTCGGTGGGCTCCCTATGGGCTTTTAGGCAAAGCCAACTGCCCGACCTTCTGCTCCCTGAAGGTGAGAGTGATCTCAAGTTTCTAGGCTTAGTGACTATGAACGTATGCTCAAAAGCGTGAGAATAACACTCAGCACCAATGAAGTCTCCTGCAGGTCCATCCCTATGCACAACTGGATGGCTTTAAAAAAGGATTAGACAAATTCATGGAGGGTAAGGCTATCAGTGGCTACCAGCCATGATGACCATGTTCTACCTCCACTCTGAGTACCCAGGACTCCTAAGTGGGCAGAGTGCTGCTGCACTCAGGTCCTGTTTGTGGACTGCCCATGGGCACTTGGCAGGCTCCTGTGAGAACAGGATGCAGGACTAGATGGGTCACTGGCCTGATCCAGCAGGACTCTTCTTACGTTCTCACAGGTGCCCCACCTGTCTGATAGGCGATAACACTTCTGCGGGGCACTGGAAACACAAAAGGGGAATGCTCCGTGCTAGAGCATCTGCCTTGCATGCAGGAAGTCCCAGGTTCATTCCCTAGCATCTCTAGGTAGGACAGGGAGAAACTCCCAGTCTGAAAACTTAAGAGTGCTGCTACCAGTCAGTGTAGACAATACTGAACTAGACGAACCAATGGTCTGACTCAGCATAAGGAAGCTTCCTATGTTTAGTGCTGTATTTCCAATGCAGGCGGCAACTACACCACTCTTGACAGCCATCCAGCTTCACCTTAACTACTTTCATCACAGGAGAGCCCCATCACCTTCCCAGGCAGCCGGAAGTGCCATAGATATTTAAGTAGAGAATATGCTTTGCATTCATAGAGGTCCCAGGCTCAGTCCCTGGCAGCTTCTCCAGGTAGGGAAGGGGAAACATCTACCTGAAACGCTGAAGAGCTGCTGCCAGTCAGTGTAGCAATACTGAGCAAGATGGACAAATGACCTGACTCCATGTGAGGCTGTCTCCTATGTTCCTATGCAAGGTTACTTGGCTCGTTCCATATACAGGACTGCCTTCCCAGGGGTCTTCGGACACTACCCCCACCTGCCCATTGGGGTCTTCTGAATACCCACCACTGAAGCCAACGGCTATAATGCAGGCAGCAGGAGACAAGCTTAGCGACGTGGCAAAGTACGGCAAGGAAATCTTCTCTATGACCTGCACACAAGCAAGAGGAAAAGTCCCAAAGTGTTAGAATCTATTGCAAAATGAAGAGGAGGTGTTATTTTTGCAGTGTGGAAAAGGCTGCTTATTTTTCATCCCAATACACACCAGGAAGGCATAGGAGGAGAAACATCTCCCTGCAGGCATTTTTGAACAGAAAAATGTCCAATTGAACAAAGGAATGCACCCTCTGTATGTGTGGGCTTGCAATAAATGTTGCAATCTGCTCTAAGATGCAATCGGATTAATGTGCAAGAATGTCCAACTAACAATTGCAGCATCTTGCAGAGGGCACAAAGGGTGGAACCCATTAGGCTGGGCAATTTGACTCTGCAAAACGGAAGAAGCCATCACTTCTGCAGGAAAATCTTAGGCATTTGAGAAAATGCAAAAGGAAAGAAAAAGGGTGGGGAGAGAGTCAACCCCCCAGATATAAGTTGAGCGGTCTATTGAGAAAATGGAGCAATCCATGGGTTTCTTTGTCCCTCTCCATTTCAGCTGCAGTTGGGGCATCCAATCCTGCTCAAGTCTGGGGGTGGGGGGAGAGGCTGGAAGTTATACAGCGTCCAAATCTGTTGAACTGCAGTGACCTGCTACATCTCAACTTGCTTGGCGCTGCTTTGCTTTTCAGTCAAACTCTATGAGCTAAACAAAACAAGGAGAAGCTCGCTGTAACATTTCTGGTGCTAGGGCATGTGGCATTTTTGAGACTAAAGGCAGGGGGCTACAAGTCTCCATGCTTCTCCCACAAAGGAGAAGGGTCATGGCTCAGTGGCAGATCATCTGTTTTACACGGGGAAGGTTTGGAATTCAATCCTTGGTATCTCCAGGAAGGACTGGGAAAGACTCCTGCCTGAAACCTTGGAAAGTCACTGCCAGTCAGTGTAGACAGTAATGGATCAATCATCTGACTCAGTATACGGCAGCTTCCTATATTCACCAAACCACAAACACCTAGAGACTCAGGCAAATAGCCAGAAATTTCTTGTGTATGTGAGTTTTGCATATATAACAAACATTCCCTGCTGCCACAGCCTGAAACTGTATAGCCCAGGAACATATTAAACTACTTTTTGTTGTTTGCTGGTCTTTCTAGCTCAGCACTGTCTACACTGACTGGCAGCAGCTCTCCAGGATCTCAGACTGAGGTTCTCTCTCAGCCCTACCTGGAGATGCTGGGGACTGAATCTGGAACCCTCTGCATGCAAAACAGATGTTCTAACACTGAGCGACAACTCTCATATGATGTCAAGTTTCTGCTTGTCTAGTGGAACAGCTAACAGAGCTAAAATAGACCCATAACAAAGATTAAGGGAAGTGTGCCAACAGAAGGTGACCCACCACCAAGTCCACGGCTGAGCCAATAACATTAGGCTCATTGGTCACATGCAATTCCAGCAGTCCTGCCGGTAGAACACACAAGATCTCAGACAAGCCAAGATATGAGGCACCTGTTTCTGTTGCAGGCTGTAGAAGAGGATCTCCTTCTGCAGTCCAAAGCCTGTATAAGCAATCATGCTCCTGTCCCAAGGGCAAAATGCTGCTAGGCTGGGAGGCAGAGGGTTGGGTACCTGGAGGGGATAGGCAAAAGCATGAGTGACAAGGCAGGTGTGCATCATTTGGAGCTAACCAACCTCCAGTTCAGGGCTAGCACAAAGTTAATGGAATCTGAACAATTATTTCTTCTGGGCTGGAGTGGAGAACTTTCCCCTCTTTGAAATCTGGAAGCTGCATCCAGAAACCCTTCTAAGCATTTAGTGCAAACTAAGCCTGCCATTTGAATAGCTCTTTTCCACAAAAAAATGAGGAAATAGAAACTAGTCCTTTATTTAAAGCCAGAATTCTACAGATTGTTTGTGACCACGGTTTTGTAGATCTCCTGAGCTACACAGCTAGCCTCGTCCTATATATTCATTTGGCAAATGCCAAGAAGGCACACAATCTGCTCTTGCTTCTACCTTGTAAAATTTTCCAGCCTCAGGAAATTTTAACAAGCAACACTACAAAACACACCACATGCTGAAAAGCTTATTGCTCAGCTCATGAGCAGAGGAGTGGAGGCTACAGCAAGATATCCTCACCTCGGGACCTGTAGGAGCTGGGAAGCTTAGCCAGTCAATGAGTTCACATTTGTCCTTCACCCAGTCAGAGACCCAGACACTGACACGTCGGTCGTCACTTGCAGCCAACCAGAGATCATCACCTTCAACGCCAAGTTCTAAGTGCTAGAGGACAGGATACCAAAATGACAACGGCTCTTGTTTTACACATCTGTCCTCTGAAACTGCTGGTGCAGGGCATGATGACATACCATTGTAAAGGTAAAGGGACCCCTGACCATTAGGTCCAGTCGTGACTGACTCTGGGGTTGTGGCGCTCATCTCGCTTTATTGGCTGAGGGAGCCAGCGTACAGCTTCCAGGTCATGTGGCCAGCATGACTAAGCCGCTTCTGGAGAACCAGAGCAGTGCTTTCGAACTGCTAGGTTGGCAGGAGCAGGGACCGAGCAACGGGAGCTCACCCCGTTGCGGGGATTCGAACCTTCTGATCAGCAAGTCCTAGGCTCTGTGGTTTAACCCACAGTGCCACCCGCGTCTGTATCCATATCCATTGTACGGATAAGTAAAAAAAGGGAGTAACAAGGGCTCAGTATAAATCCAGAGTGTGTTTGTGTCTTGAGGACTAGCCACCCTACTGCTGCTGAATACATAATGTGCAATAAATGTAAGTAGGGAACAAGAGAAATCATTAGGGGTACAGAACTGGTTACATATGAAATAATACAATTAGAAAATAGTAAGAGATTGGTTAAAATGGTATATTCTATTTTTAAACTGCCTTTCTCTACTGAAGGTTTTCCAAATCATAAGCATAAAGGCCTAAATTACTTGGAGAACAAATACTTGGAAGGAATGTCTTTCCTGATACCAACTGGCCCATGATTCAAGAGCTGCAAGGGAGGCCCTTTTGTTGCCTTGTTGCTGGATGTGGTAAACTGCACAGTGATGCACAGTAGGATCTTCTCAGCAGTGGCACCCTGTTTATGGAATGCTCTCCCTTCTGACAGCACGGTCATTGTTTATTGTTCAGTGACAGCTGAATAAATACCTCTTTGCTAGCCTGCTGTACTGTGCCAACTGGTTTAGGAATTTGTCATCAAATGTTTTTACATTTCATACTGCAATTTTTTCCCCCTGATTTGAACTGAATTGTTGAGTCTTACACATGAGTGTTAGTGGTTGAATTATTGCCTGGCCTGGAGTAAGACAAACCAACAGCCCGAGTCTGGATGTAATGGGAAGACAAACCATGGCGGCAACAGCAGGACGGAGAAAGAAAGGAGTGCAGCGCCTGGAACCTTTGTTCAGTGAAACCACACATTTGCTCATTCACGCTAAGTCGTTGTTTGGCTTTGTGTTATGTGCAAACTGGGTCAAAGTGGCTTACAGCACAGATTCAATTAAAAATCAAATGCTAAACATCCATTGATCTGCCAGTGAGGAAAGGTTGTTCGGACGTCACACAGATTTCTGTCTCACTTGCTTTCTTGTGCAGTGGATAACATTGATAGGGGATGATCGGTGGTCAGTCAGGACACGAATGGTCATCCCTGTGCGTGGACTACTGACAGCCATCATCCCATCCTTGCCTCCAGACAAGATGATTTCCCCTAGAGAGTGAACGGAGCACAAAGAAGAGGGGAAAGAGACTCTGGGGTTGCCATCAGGGGTTGGATGAGGCAAGATTTGATGTTGGCATCTAACAAGGTCCTACCATCTGCGGAGTATCCAAGTGCGGTTACAGCCACCGGGTGGGGGTGTATCTTGAGTTCCATCTCTGTCCGGGAAACGCTGAACACCCGGATGGTGCCATCACTGTACCCTGCCACAATGTGCTGGCTTTCTGCCCCACTGACAGTGGTGGCCACTGGGCTCCACGCCAGGCAGAGGGAACTCTAGAGGGGGAGTAAGGAACATATTGGGAATACCCATTGGTTCTTTCTGGCACAACACCACAAATATGAAACTTCTGGACTAGGAGGTTATGCCATCAAAAGAGTCACTCAACTCTAGTGAAATCTAGGGAAAGAGTAGCTGGGTGTTGTGAGACTGCATTTCATCTCGGCAATTACCTGATTGAGCACTTGAAACTGCACCACCAGCTCCAGGCTGGCAAGGGACCAAACTCTCACGCTGCCATCCTCCCCACAGGTAGCACAGTGAGACTCTCCAGGGCTGAAGGCCACCTCGCTAACCTGCAGTGGCAACAGAGAGGATTGAAGAAGAAGAAGAAGAAGTAGAGTTTGGATTTGATATCCCGCTTTATCACTACCCGAAGGAGTCTCAAAGCGGCTAACGTTCTCCTTTCCCTTCCTCCCCCACAACAAACACTCTGTGAGGTGAGTGGGGCTGAGAGACATTAGAGAAGTGTGACTGGCCCAAGGTCACCCAGCAGCTGCAGGTGGAGGAGCGGAGACGCAAACCCAGTTCACCAGATTACGAAGGTTTGATAAACTTCTAAGAAGAGTGGTCTCTTTACCATCAAGGAACTGCTTACAAAACCTCTTACCTGGTTCTTGTGCCCACTAATCAGCCGGATACTGGTGTTGTCTGCCCAGCTGACGTACCACAACGTCCCTGCCGTCGTGCCAACAATGCCCATATCCATACAGTCGTCGAAGGCGGCACTTACAATGGTTCCATCCAGGGTCATTTCCTGTTCCAAAAGGACTGAGCTAGATCTACAGGGAGGGAAAAGCAGAACAATAGATCACACTCTACCTGGGCTTCAGAGAAGGGGTGGGGAGTCTTCTTCAGTCTGAGGGCCACATTCCCTTCTAGGCATCCTCCCACGGGCCACATGCCAGTGGTGGGCAAAGCCAGAGGCATGATGTGAATTTTACCCTTGTTACTACACACACTCCAACTCTCCTCTGTGTTCTCCCATCCATACAAGGAAGAGGCATTCTCAGATTTCAAGGACGCATTCCAGGCAGGTACAAACCCTCTGGGTAAAAAGACAGTGGCGGAGTGTTCCAAGGGCCAGAAAGAGGGGCTGGGGCTTATGGGAACTGCAGTCCAGAGCATCTGGAGGGCACCAGGTTAGGCGAGGCAACCCTAGATGCTCTGTTTACAATGAGGCCCATGTAAGAGCCGTCTGTATTCAGCTCTTCATTCCACACAACATGACTGTCCACTAGAACTTTGTCATGCAAATTATTAACATGATGCCTAATATTCATTTGCAGACAAATCAGGAAAGACTCATTAAGCCACCTCAGTTAAGCAAAAAAGATTCTTTTGCCTTGGGAAAAATCATTTCAAACACAAAATATTCTTCTTTAAAGAGCTTGTCAAAGATAACCGCCTAGAAAAAGTGTGAAAGCACTTGCTGGTAAAAATATAAAGGAGCTGCCGCTCTCCAAAATCAAAAAATGGCTCATTAATCAAGCTTATCTTTTCTTGATGCTGGCCTGTAATCTGGGAACTGTTGGCTCTCCAGATGCTGATGAACTAAAAAACCCCATTAGCTCCAACAACCATGGTCAGTGGACAAGGATGATGGGAGTTGTAGTTCAGCAGCACCTTGAGGCCGAAAGGCTCCCCACCTGCCTGTGATCATGGAACTGATTTTTAAAATATGGATGCTGTTCTCCCTTCCACCCACCCACCCACCTAGTACAGGCTTCCTAAGTGGACATCTGAATTATCACCTCTCTCTAGGGCTAAGCAAACCTGAGTCAGATGATGCATTACCTGGCACTGGAACCTTTTACTCTCAGCTCCTGAACCGCTGCCACTGACCACAGCTGAATTCTTTTGGTGTTGCTGCCGCTGACTAGCCTGTCTCTGTGACACTGCAGCACCCCTAGACAAGTCAAGCATTTATTCTGGTTAATGGCTGGGTTTCCGCCTTTGAATGTTGAACAGCTGCAGAGCTCTCTGGTGATGTCAGCGCCATAGAGACATCCCTTCCAGAGATCTTTGACTTTCCAAAGTGGAGCATTGAGGGTACAAACCACAGGACTCTTTTCTTCCAGCCTTCGCTACTGCAGCTCCCACAGCCAATGACACAAACAACTTTGAAAAATCAGCAGCAGCTTGCCAGGGTGGCTGTGGGAGCTACAGGAGTGAGGGTTAAGGGGTGCTTTATGGAAAAAATGACACAGACAACATAAAAAAGTCTTAAATCCAGCCACAATCAATTCTAGCATCTGAGAATTAAAACTGGGCTGGACCAAGGTGCTAAGACAAAGCCAGAACATTTCTCCAAGTAGCTTAGTACAGTCCGCACTGACGGCCAGGGTTTCAGATAGGGTACATTCCCAGCTGTCTGAAGATGCCAGGGATTGACCCGAGACCTGCATGCGAAGAAGATGCTCTGCCAATGAGCCATGCCCCTCCCCTGCTTCTCCTGAAAGCTTGGTTGTGTGAAGACAGCTGCCCAAAGACTCACCAATCTCCCCCTCAACAGCTTCCCATGTCATGAAACAACGATTCGTCTGCATGTCCCACGCACAGATCTGTCCCGTGCTGGTCCCAGTGTACAGAAGGCAGCCGGCACTGTAGCACAATGAGGTCAGCTCCACTGGACCAATTGCATCAGGGACAGGGACTCTGTGAACCTGAAGTCAGAAGAAAAGTAGTGTCAGCTGGTGCCTTGGGAGCTGTTCATGTCCCCCCGCTGTCAGCCTTGAGGCTGAACTCCTAACCTTTTGACTCTACTCCTTTTCTGGGTCTCAAAAACATGGGTAGGGCACCTGTTCCTGCCCCAGGGGCCAGGTTCTCTTGTGGGTAAACAACTGGGGATCACATGTCATGAAGGGCCTGAGGCAAAAGTAGGTGGAGCAGCTATCCCAAACCTTGCAGTAGACTACTTTCTGCACACATTCACCCACCCACCCTTTCTATCCACCATCTAGGTAAACAAGAGGCATTATCAGAGTTCAAGGAACACATTCCAGCCAGTGAAGGATGTGGCCTTTGGAGGGTTTGTGTGGCCAGGGGAGAGTCCTGAGGGCCAGATTAGGAAGGCTGGTTGCCCAGGAAAGTATAAAGACAAGGAAAAGTTTCTTACAGCTCTTTTTATTTCAATCTTTACAGAGAGAGGCTATAGAACCCAGCCTCTTGGATAATGGTGTTGTCCCGAGTGAATCTCCACCCCCCCCATCTCTCCCACTTCCTCATTTGCCATCCTCTTCGAGCTCTTTGTTCTCCTACTTTTAAGGCTCGCCATGTTCTGGGAGATGGAAGGTCTGGAATGCTTTCTAATGGCAACGTGTCAGCCAGGTTTTGCTCTGGTTCTCCCAGGATTTCCCAACTTCTCCCCTCATCTGCCTTTGAGCTGCGACCTCCCTCAAACTCCTGTTGTAAATCTATACAGTGGTGCCTCGCAAGACGAAATTAATCCGTTCCGTGAGTATCTTCGTCTAGCGGTTTTTTCGTCTTGCGAAGCAACCCTATTAGTGGCTTAGCGGATTAGCGCTATTAGCGGTTAAAGGCTTAGCGGATTAGCTGCTAAAGGCTGTTAAAGGCTTAGCGGCTTAGAAAAGGGGGAAGCGAAAAAAAATCTCAAGACTCGCAAGACATTTTCGTCTTGCGAAGCAAGCCCATAGGGAAATTCGTCCTGCGAAGCGCATTGAAAAACGGAAAACCCTTTCGTCTAGCGGGTTTTCCGTCTTGCGAGGCATTCGTCTTGCGGGGCACCACTGTACTGTCTTCCTCCTCCTCCTCCCCCCTGGAAGTGTCAGGATTGGGGGGGGGACAATCTCCACCATTCCTCCTCTGCCCAGTCCCTGACACCCACCCCTGCTGTGAAACACCAGAGTGTGATGCAGGTGAAGTACCTTGAGGCTAATGTCAGCTCCCTGTCGCTCCGTTAGCCAGAAGGTCACTGCTCCCTTCCCCACGCAGGCAAGGTGTCCCACAGAAAGCGGACTAAAAGCGATTTCGTGGACTGGCTCCGAGACGCGAGTGGATGACATCAGCTCATAAGTGTGGACGTTCCATAAGGCAATGACTCTGTCAATGTAGTCCCCTGGGAACCACAGAGTACGCATTTCAGTGTGGAAAAATACATCAAAACGAACAAACCCTTGAACAATAAAAGCCAAGATGCTGTTCAAACCATCTCTCCCAGCCCCACCCTAGCCTGGGGAAGAGAAGATTGACAGCTGATATGACTGCCATCTTCCAATAACTTTAGGGCTGTCATGTGAAAGATGGGGCAAGCTTGCTTTCGGCTGCTCCAGTGGGTAGGACCGGAACTAATGGATTCAAATTACAAGAAAGGAGATTCTAACTGAACATCAGGAATAACTTTCTGAGGGTAAGAGCTGCTGGACAGTGGAATGGGCTACCTCAGAAGTTGGTGGACACACCTTCATTGGAGTTTTTTAAAGTGAGGCTGGATGGCCATCTGTCAGGGAATCTTTAGCTGTGATTCCTGGGTTCCAGAGTTGGACTAGATGCCCCTTGGAATCCCTTCCAAACCTACCACTCTATACCTGGAGAGTCCAAGGATTGAACCTGGGACCTTCTGCATGCAAGGCAATGCGGCCCCTTTCCATTTCTGGCCTTGCTTTAATGTGCCACAGTAATTGTGGCAGCAGCTTGTGCAGATTAAGTCATCTGCAGTGTGCAAATCCAGTATTTATATAAACATAATTAACGGGCCTATTTTATTTCAGTCTCATGTAGGAGATTTTCCTTTTCCTTTTTCCTTTTCCTCTGGGAGAAAAATTCTAGGTCTTTCAACACGAAAAGCTTTCCCAATGCCCTGTGTGCTCTTCTCTGCTTATGCCCACCTAGAGTAGCAAGGAGGCAGTCATCCCGAGAGTACGCCATGGCTTGGACTTGGGTCTCGTGATGGAACAGAACCTTTTGGCAGGATCCATCCTGGACATTCCAGATGCGAATTTGGCAGCGAGACTCTCCACGACCTTGACCAGAGGCAGAAGCAAGGGCCTGCGGGGGTATTAGTTCATTCGTTTTATTAGTTAGCACTTTTCTTATCCTGCCCTTCTACTGACCTGGAGTGCAATCTGGGCAGCCAACAATACAAATCACTAAAGCAGCAGCAGAGCAAATTGGCAGCCCGCTTTGTGTCAGGGGCATGAACAAATACCCAAATGGCAGACCAAAAGCTAAACACAGCCTGAGGCTCAGCGAAATGCTTGGCAAGCACATTCTTCCTCCTCCCGTCAGTGAGGAGAAAAGGGAGCAGAACATTCATAGCCCACTGGCTGTTCAAAAGCGATGTGCCTGTCGCCAGAAGTACCCACTGCATTAGAAGGAAAGCAGGTGGTTTGTGCTAGTCAGACCACCCAGATATTCTTAATGGAAACAGGAACGTTTGTACCTGAGCATCATGGCTAACAGCTAATGTTGAAATCTCTTCAGGGTGACCAAGCCAATGCTTCTGGAATCCAGAGTGCAGGTCTTCGACAATGAGCAGACAGCCACAGCTGTAGGCGAAGAAACCTAAGGAGAGAGAAGAGATTGCATTCAGTGCTTGGAATTCTGCATACAAAGGATGGGCAAAGCCACAAACCACCAAATGCAGTCAAGTTGGAAGTAGAAGCCTGCCTGGATCCACCATGTGAAAAAGCAAGCACCCTCTGAGTGTCCGTGGCCTAGCAGGCTTTTACCTTCCAGTATCTCACTCAGCCAATTATTGCGTCTCCCACGCTTCCAGAGAGTAATAGAATTATAGAGTTGGAAGGGACCACGAGGGATGTCTAGTCTAACCTCCTGCGATGCAGGAATCTTTTGCCCAACATGGGGCTCAGCCCCACGACCCTGAGATCAAGAGTCTCGTGCTCTACCAACTGAGCTAGAGGAGATAAGCCAAGGGAGGTAAAAGAAGGAAGACGCCTGCTGCTGAGAGACCTCTCCTTTTCTATCAACAAGGCAAACCTCTTCCTCTCTCCTGGGATGTCAAGAGACAGCTTTCACAACAGAGCATGGCTGATGGGATGAGCAACTAGACTCTAAGACCAACTGATTTCAGAGGGTTTTGCATTCCAGCCCTGAACATACTACATAATTTCAATAGAACTGATTTTCTTATAATGCATTTCTGACAAAAATGCCAGCTGGTTTGGTTGTCCAGCTGAAGGTTTGGGTACAGAAGATTTACAGATTTTGGAATCTCAATTCGCAAACGCAGACTATACCTGTATCTGGATTCCAGACCATATTTCCCCGGCCATTCCCATTGTAGCCAATGACTGCTTTTAGTTTCAGGCCCTCGTTATTAGTTAGAGCAGAGGAGAATACCTAGAAGACAAACACACACAGCTTCAGCATAACTTGAGAAGAGATTCCAGACATGTCTCTCACACTGCCTCGAGAAAACTTGACCATGTGCAAAAGGGGCTCTCAAAAGCACTGAGACTCTTATTTTGCTCAGAAACCATTTCATCAAGTCTTGAGACCAGACCAGTATTGCTCTGAACACCAGTTGCTGGGATTTTCAAATGGGGGGAATCCTGTTGAACTGGGGTCTTGCTTGCAGACTTCCCATGGGCATATTGCTGACCACTGTGAGAACAGGATGCTGACCCTAGATAGGCCTTTGGTATGATTAAACAGGATTTTTTATGTTTACACCAGGCCATTTCTTACCTTCTGGGGTGCCGATGTTTTGAAACGAGGGGTAAAGTGCCTGTAACAGTCTGGGCGGGTGTTGTTTTGGGGTTTGGATCCTTTGCTTTCCTTTCTACTTTCTAGCACGCAAGAGAGAACAATTGGAAAGTATCTTTTAGCACAGAGTTTATGACAGCATTATTTAAGAGCCATTGTTATACAGAATTTTAGCATGTTTCCCAATAAATTATTATTTACAAGCTATGAAAATTGGTCTTAATACTTTGCAAACTTGGGAAACGGATGAAGCATACAATCAAACCGGATGTAGTAACATACATATGGGGAAAAAGCAAGGATCTGCTATCTTGAGAAGAAGAAAAATTAGCAAAGCCACTGTACATGTTGACTTACCATTTCCTGCATGGTTATGGGGTCTTGGACAAGGCTGAATGACTTCAGGTTTCACAGCCAGAGAGTCTTCACTAGGGACAGTGCCCTTCAATGCAAGAACTAACCGGACTTTATCCTCATTAACAGCCTCTCTGTTGCTGCCTTTCTGATATGCTTCCTTCTCTTCTTCAGATTCAGAAGTATCTGAAAGACAGGGAACAGGGGAAAGTGACTGAAAGAACAACAACAGCCCTTTGTTGTACATCAGCTTTTGGAGCTCAAGTATAGCAATGGAACTGAAACACTTTAGCTTCAGTTCTTTCATTTAGGTACTCCAAAATACAAAGCCCCCTGAGAACCATGCCTGGAACAGAGACCAGGCCAGTTCTGCAGGGCAAGTCCCATGAATTTTAACTTACACAAAGTGTGCTAAGGATGAAAGTGCCAGAAAGCAATGGCTACTTCCAGCCTTCTGCCTGAACAGAGAAGGAATTAGATTGATGTTTTTTCATCCAGTTTGGTTAGAGTGCTGTTCACAGCAAGCATTAAGGGGGAGGGTCATATCTCAGTGGTCAAGAATCTGCTTTGCATGCAGAAGGTCGCAGGTTCATTCCCAGCACCTCCAGGTAGGGCTGGAAATGCTCCCCTGGCCCAAAACTCTGGAGAAATGCTGTCAGTCAGTGCCTACAATACTGAACTAGATGGTCTGACTCAGCATAAGGCAGTGTCCTGTATTTGGATAACTTTTCAGTGTTTGTTTTATGGGATGCAATTGATAATCCTTACCCCAAACAAACGGAAAGTTCACCTAGGCAGCTGCAGATGGCAGGCAGCTATAGGTGCCGTAGGTGGCAACAGGAAGCTTGTATCCAATGTTAGGCCTACTCGGAGTAGAGTACTTGAAATTAATGACATTACTAACTTTGATTCATTAATAATAGTAAAAGTTAGCTGGATACAACCCACTTTGATTAAGCATGGAAGGGAATGAAAATAGCAAGTGGCAGACAACAATGGGGATGGGGTTCAGGACGCCTGAAGGATTTTAAGGGGCTGACAAAGATTTGTTTTATTTGGAGTGCTCTCTGCTCACCGCAATGTCCCATTGGATGGATGGAGCTGAGCTCCAGACAAGGCGGGGACACAATGGTTGGCCGAGGAACCACCTGGCGGGGGATATCATTAGCCCCAGGCGTCAAATCATGTGACTTTTCCAAATTGCCTTCTGTGAATAAAGAAGAAAAAAGGGGGGGAGAGTGAAAGGCAGGGTAGTTTAATGGTTAAAGTGCTCAACTGGCACCAGGGAGATCCAGGTAAAACATCCCATAGTCATGAAGTTTACTGTGTGACCTTGGACTAGTCATTCTCTTGTCAGCCTAGCCTACCTCCCAGGGTTGAGAGGATATAAAGGAGTGGGGGAAGACAAAACCTTGAACTGACCTGAGAAAGGATAAGATACAAATATAAAGAACAGAAGTAACACCTTTGTCACATCTTTTGATGGTTGTAGTTGTCAACAGCTCTAACGTCTGTTAGGGTTATTCTGAAAATGGTTATGTCCCATTTTTTATTTTTTAAAAAAACTCTGCCCCCCCAGTCAAAACAGGAAACTTCCTGAATTTTAAAGGTCATAGTTATTAGCCCAAACCATTTTTACTGGTCCCTCTGCCCCATATACAGTAGTACCTCGGATTAAGTACTTAATTCGTTCCAGAGGTCCGTTTTTAACCTGAAACTGTTCTTAACCTGAAGCACCACTTTAGCTAATGGGGCCGCCTGCTGCCGCCGCACCACGATTTCTGTTCTCATCCTGAAGCAAAGTTCTTAACCTGAAGCACTATTTCTGGGTTAGCGGAGTCTGTAACCTGAAGCGTATGTAACCTGAAGCATATGTAACCTGAGGTACCACTGTATCAGGATTTGGTCCATAAAAGGAAATAGCCTTAACCCTCCCTCCCTGCTCTGCTCACCTGGAAAATCTCTCTACTTGCCAAAGACAACCAGGAAAATGTCTGTCTACAAATCTGTGTCAAAGACATACACAGACAGTAATAGATGCAATGGCAGAGTTCTTTAGAGACTACTGTACTGATGAACACCCAGTCCAAACCCCCTGATGATCTCTCGCAGAGGCTGCATGTAGATGTTGAAAAGCATGGGGGAGAGGACAGAACCCTGAGGCACCCCACAAGTGAGGGCCCAGGGGTCTGAACACTTATTCCCCACTACCACTTTCTGGACACAGCCCAGAGGAAGGAGCGGAACCACTGTATAACAGTGCCCCCAGCTCCCAGCTCCTCTAGACGGTCCAGAAGGATGTTATGGTCGATGGTATCAAAAGCCACTGAGAGATCCAGCAGAACTAGGAAACAGCTCTCACCTTTGTTCCTAGCCTGCTGGAGATCATCGACCAGTGCGACCAAGGCAGTTTCAGTCCCATGATGAGGCCTGAATCCCAGACTGGAAGGGATCCAAATGGTCGCTTCTTCCAGGTGTGCCTGGAGTTGTTCAGCAACCACTCGCTCAATCACCCAGCGAAGTAATGATAGCTATTTCATTGTAAGACAGCTGTGGGATTTTGCAAGTAGCATAACTCAGCAACAAATGCAGACTTACCAACTCTGTTAGAATCTGAGGACTCGGAGGAATCGATTCTGGAATGGTAACAAGTCCAGAGTTTAAAAGACGGGAAAATGAAAATGCAGATGTAAATATGCAGGCACCTATCATATTTCCAAAGACAATTGCTTTAGTGAGGAAACACTGGGCTCTTACTCATCCTTGAAGGACTCCTCTGCAAACACACCTAGGAAATCCCAGAGGAAGATGGCATCTCCAACACTGATGACTTGCCTTTGGTCAGGGGTGAACCTCACCTGCTGTATTGGCTCAGAATGGCCAATAAACACCTGGAGAAAGAAAAGCAAAAGCAGATTGTCCTTTGTCAGCCACGGCCTCTTGGAACTGCATTGCAGAGCATGTAAAGACAGGGGGATCCAAATTATTATAGTTATACCATGCAGACTAGTGGTTAGAGTGTTGGACTAGGATCAGGAGAGAGCAGAGTTGAAATCTCCAGTCAAACATGAAGCTCCTCTGGTTGACTTAGGATTTCAAAATTTCATTTTCAGGGGTGTTTACAATGGCAGCTTCGGTAAATATATTATTGCATATATTTCTGGCAGCTCTATCCTTTTGTTGTTGTTAGAAATCTTGATTAGATGTAATTATTTCCAAACAATAAGTGAAATGAATAAATGAGAAGTTATAGGATGAGGGCTCAAATCCTAAGCATGCACCCTAGATAATATGTCGCACTGAACATGGTGGGACTTACTCCTAAGTAAACATGCATGTGACTGTGCTACAGAGCGACGGCACAGCAAGCCACTAAAAAGATAGATGCAAATTTTAATCATCACAGAAGACAAGCCAACTAATTTTTCTATCCAAATCACACCTGGTATGTTCTTTAACAAAATTTGCACCCCATCTCAGATCATTCCAAATCACTTCCTTTTCAACTGATTTACACTACGTTTTTCAACAGTCTGCTCCAAATCAATTCAATTCCCCTCCAATTTCCCCCACTAATTTACTCCCCAAATTATCTCTAGAGAAAGTCATCCTATCTTAATTTATTCCCTCAGATTAATTTCTTATTCAGTAATCAATGTATCCACTGTATTCAGAATTATAACATGCAGAATGAAGTGGGGGTTTTTTCTCAACAACTGACCATTGCAATATATTTACATCTTTATGTAAATAAATATATTTACATCTTCTATTCAGGATTCCAGTCAACCATTCTATTCTCTCCTTACAATTTCCCTTTTTTTCCTTTTCCAAGTGAGGTTCAACATCCAATGTCTGCTGAACATTTTCACCTCTTCTTAATCAGTTTCAGGGAGTTTTGCACCTCTTGGGTGTTGTTGTTCACCGAAAGATATTCCCCCAAGCACAACGATAGTTCTCCCCCCTGTTTGTTTCTCTGTGGCCGTGTTCTGGCTCCATTTCATCACTTGAATGCTCTACTATGCTGTTCACTGTACAATCTAGCCTGAACACTGACAACTGGAGGGGAAAAGACTGCCCTGCTGTTGAGTGCAGTACCTGAGAGTTGACATCAAATCTCATGCCGTAATCCCACACCTTGAGGACCCTATCGCCAGCTGTCAAAAGAAACCGGGCATCAGAGCTGAAGGCCAACGAAGAACAAGACTGCTTGTGCACTTGCGGGACCTGCAATCAAGACAAACCACCCCCAATATTGAACCCACCTGTTTCCACCAAAAAGACAAATACACTGAGAACAGACACAAAGAAAAGAATGTTTGTTAAAGAGATAGGAAGTAATCAAATAAGCAGAGTTAGGAACCCAGCGAAGAGATATATATAAAAGTGAACCATATCTAGTGTCAACATATCAATGCTTTAATCTCCTAGCTACTGCCCCCACTATTACGGTCCCCATGGAAAACTGGGTGGGGTCCCGGGTAGCACTGGCAATGGATGCTACCATTTCAGAAATCTTTTGTGTGTGTTTTTGGACCGAGCCATTATGTGGTTGATCTACCAAGCCATCCAACCAAACCTAGCAGAGAAGGCTGCCCTAAGGAAGAGTGACTGCAGGCTCCTGAGTAGGTTTTAGGTCAAAGTCTGAGCAGTGCTCTGACACATCTTTGAGAAGCGCATCTCCATCAGTCAGGATGACAGATCCACTCAGGAGGGCTGCTATAAAGGCATCCACTGCTGGGACTTTAAGGTCCTCTATGGCTTGTTGATCAAAAGAATAAAATATTTGTGCAAAGCCATTAGATTATTTGGCTATGTCTAGCCCATTCTAACTTTGAAAGATAAAAGGGAAAGGAACAGCACACTGAGAAGATTTCGATTCATGAAACACGGAGGGTCTTTCAAGAGGCTGCAGTAGACAGATCCTCTGAGACCAGTTGGAGACCCAAGGATAAGTTTACTTTGAAGAGCAATGGTACGAAATCAGCATCATTAAGGAGTCTGGTATTGGAATCATAATTTATGTGGCCTCATTCCATTTCTCAAGATCTGAGAAGAAGAGTCCTGCTCTGGAGCTGGTTTCGATTGCTCAACTGCCCACTGAGCACGGGGCCTGTGGGGGTGGCCTATTTCTGGGCTACATTAAGCTGCTGGGATCCAAATGAGGACAAAGAGATTCATTTCCCTCTTCTTCAGAGGAGTGCTGTCTGATCAGGGTGCTTAAGCTGAGTGGCCTTTGCTCATTTCTTTGCCATCACTATGTCTACAGCATGTTTCATTTTTGGGTACCAGCTCCTTAGAAATCCCACCCAGGAGATTACCGGTATCTTTCATTTCTTTGAATAGAGAATGTCTCCATAATAAATTAAGGGAATAGGGAGCACTAGCTTGATTAACTGAGAAACTTCAAGAGATACAAATAAATTGGCATCTGGCAATAATTTAGTAATTTCAGAATGACTTAATCCCTGGGATTTTCACTGCAGAGGCAAATGCACAGGGGGAAAAACACACCCTGGAAACTGTGTGCGAGCCCAACCTCAGAACACAAAGAAGTGACCACGGGAGTCCCTTACCACTCTGATCAAGCGTCCAGACTTGGCATCAATCACCAGAACCTTTTGCGAGCATGTTGCCACCAACAGGTGGCCCAGAGGGAAAGGGGCAAAGCAGAGTCTCTCAGCCATGTCCAGAACAGTGCTGTCCAAATCCAAAATGCTCATATCTACTCTCAGCAGCTGCCAGGAAGAACAAATAATAATAATAATAATAATAATGTCCCATTTCTTGAAGCAAAATATTTCTGCACTAAAGCAGAAGACGAGGAATATTTAGAAAGAGAACACTCAGGCCTGGTCTATACATACAGCACAATTAAGTGAAGTGGACTGTACAACATCATAAGGCATGAGATGCACTATTTTTCAACAAAGGAGCAGGGGCCAACCTTAGTAATACAACCCTCATGTCACCTTACCAAATTCAAGTTAAGCAGGGTGCTGGCTTTTGGGAAGGAGGCGTGAGAGCTCTCTGGCAGGGTCTTAGAGCCTTCCAGTCTCCTTCCCAAAGCTGGGCAAGCATTAACTGGGCTTTGAAAAGGAGGAAGGAGGATTCTAGGACCCTGTCATGGCCATTAAACCTCCTTCCCAAAGCAAGTGCTTACTAGGCTTTGGGAAAGAGATGGGAATGCGCTCCCTTGGCCCCTTCGACCTGTGTGGGGAAACCAGTCACGCTTTCCTAAATCCACCTGCGCAAGAAGGGATCCTGGCTCATCAGGATCAAACAAATGTTTGTCAGGAGAGAACGGCAGCACTATGTAGTGACAACAGTGGACAGGAATAGCCCCCATGTTTATAAAACAAACTGACGGGGACATGCATATCACTCTGCTATTACTGCAGCCCAGCAGATGTAGCTAAGGGCCACCCTGACTGAGAACAGGCCAGCATTTCAGGTGCTCTCTGGGTTTAGACAAAAAAAACCCTGCCAACCTTTCCACTCTGTAACTGTGAGGGTTACATGTTTCTGGAAGCTTCTTTCCTGAGGGACAGCGAGTGGTGAGCAGGTGTCAAGTTACCTCATCTAAAGAATAAGCATCCATGAGAGTCACGATGTATTTGGAAGGTCCCACAAAGGCCAAGAGGCGTCCATCGCTGCTGACAGAGAGCGCATCAGGACCGTGGTCAGCATCTTGTGAGGTGACATTTGCTGAATGAAAGGTAGATATTTAGTATGAGAGGTTATTTGTTTTATTAAATCAGAGCACTTCTACCCCACCTTTCCCTGCAAAGAGCTCAAGGTGGCATGCAGGGCTCCCCACCCCTCCTCATTTTATTCCCACAACAACTCTGTTAGGGTGGGACTCAGTGAAGGGCCCAAGGTTACCCAGTGACTCATGGCAGAGAGAGTATTTGAACCCTGGTCTCTTGGGTCCTTAGGGACGCAGGTGGCGCTGTGGGTTAAACCACAGAGCCTAGGACTTGCCGATCGGAAGGTCGGCGGTTCAAATCCCCACGACGGAGTGAGCTCCCGTTGCTCGGTTCCAGCTCCTGCCAACCTAGCAGTTCGAAAGCACATCAAAGTGCAAGTAGATAAATAGGTACCACTCCGGCGGGAAGGTAAAAACGGCATTTCCGTGCGCTGCTCTGGTTTGCCAGAAGCGGCTTAGTCATTCTGGCCACATGACCTGGAAGCTGTACGCCGGCTCCCTCGGCCAATAAAGCAAGATGAGCGCCGCAACCCCAGAGTAGGCCACGACTGGACCTAATAGTCAGGGGTCCCTTTACCTTTACCTTACTCTTGGGTCCTAGTTGGGCACTGTAACCACCACACCAAGAAAGTAGAAGCAAAGACTCACTCATCAACTCACACCAAAATCATAATGCAGCACGAGTTCCCAAACCATTAGGGCCGGAGTCAGGACCCCTTTTCTTGTCAATGGCCACATACCCTTGGGGTAATTTGTTGGCTGCAGCACACCAGTGGTGGCGGAACCAGACCCAAAAGTGGGTGGGGGCACCCCTTTTCATGGAAGTCTTTCCCAAATGAGGAAATAAAAATGGAAAATGAACTTTGGCAAAAGAAACGCAAGCAAAGGCTCTTGCTGGTGGTGGAGCACCACTTAGTTAATAGCCATTGTGGGGACAGGAATGCAAGAGAAAGGAAGCAAAAAGCAGGGTGCTGTAATGGGCACTAGTACAATTAATTGGTCTTAAGAACAACTATTTAAGAATTGTTGCCTGAGTTTGCTTGCTTCCTCTTCCCTCCCTATTCCCTTTTCCTTTTGTGCCATGTTGAAAGAGTGCAGACAGGAGCTGTCCTGTTTTAATTGATGGTATACAAGCTGCTCTGGGACCTACTGAAGCTGAAGGGCAGAGTACAAATGCTCTAAGTAAATATATTAACAAACAAACAAAAACCTTACCTAGTACTCTGATAACGTGGCTTTTCTGGATGGCAGAGTTATAAAGAGCCAGGGTCCCATGGCTGCAGGAACTGTACATGAAATTGCCATCTGGGGAGAAGGTCAGGCCTGTGATTGACCCACGGTGCTGCCTGCAAAGTACCAAAAAGAACGAAAGAAAGCAGAACGGGGAACCGGAAATTAAGATGGCAATCAAACTAGTTCATGCATTGATCCTTAATGAGGTGGCACACATGTCAGGTCCATAACACTTCAGATGGCAGCAGTGAGCTCACATGATGGAGTTAAAGAAACATATGGAGGGCAAGGCTATCAGTCGCTATCAGCCACAGTGGCTAGGTTCTACCTGCATTGATGGCAGCAGTATGCCATTTGCTTGGAATCTCAAGTGGGAAGAGCACTGTTGAACTATAGGCATTTAGTTGGCCATTGTGAGAAAACAGTGCTGGACTTGATAAACCATTTGTCTGATCCAGAAGGACTCTTCTTACGGAGTGTTCCTCCATTAAAAACCAAAACCTTTTGCATAGAAAACAAGAAGGATTCTAGCCTAGCCTTCTCTGCAACAGGCAGGTTTTCTATATGGAGGAATACATATTTTTTATAATGAAGGTGTGTCCCACCATTTGATTTCTTCCCCCTACACTCTCAAGTGGTATAGCCCATACAGAGCTTTTACCACTTCACTGGTCAGAACCAGGTCCATGTCAACAGAGAAGCCTGCCTGCTCTCCTAGACCTCACCCCCACCCTGCACTTTTAGCCTCTTTTCCAGCTTCTCACAACATCAGAACTGGAACAGAGAACTCCAAAGTCTGCAAGAAGCTGATATCTACACAAGATAATGTTGATCTCCCACATTTCTGTTCCTCTTGAAAGAACATCCAACTGAGTTGTATCCAATGCTACCCAGAGTAAACCCACTGAAATGAATGGAGATTAGTAACAGGTTCGTTAATTTCAATGGCTCTTCTTTGAGTAGATACAACCCATTGCCCTCAACTTTCATCATTTTGGATTGACACATGGAAGAACGCTCAGGATGCAACTTTGAAAGTACATATTGAATACATACTTGTGTTCCTCAAGGAGTTTTGAGGCAGCCAGACTGATGGTCCTCACGACACCAGTATCAAAACCGCAAGCAAAGATAAATTGCGAGGGATGGAAAGAGACGGCACACGGTGTTTCGTCAGAGGCAGTGAATTCATAGAGCTATAGGGGGCAGAAGATCGTGCTGATCAGACACAAGATGGGCTTGCGATAACAAGCTGCCAAAGTCTTAGGCCTCATTCTCACTACACATTTAAAGCACTAAGATACCACTTTAAACAGCCACGGCTTCCCCTAAAGAATCCTGGGAAGTGTAGTTTGCAAAGGGTGTTGAGAGTTGTAAGGAGATCCCCTACTCTCCTCACAGAGCCACAATACCCAGTGGTATATTAACCAATCCGTCTACCCAGGGAAACCTGAGAGCTGTAGCTTTGTGATGGGAATAGGGGTCTCCTAACAACTCAGAGGAGCGTTAACAAAACTACAGCTCCCAGGATTCTTTGAGTGAACCCATGACTGTAATACTTTCTTGTTTCAATAGGCTTCTGGGAATTTACTATTTTTTTAGGAAGGAGCTGTTGCTGTGCTGTTTGTATTGTAAGGATTTGTATGTGATCTTCTATCTGTATATATTTGAATTCTACTAATGGTTCGTTGCTTTTTAATGACCTTTTTTTTAAGCTGTTTCAATTTTAGTTGTAAGTAGCCTTGAGTCCTATCAGGGAAAAAGCCAGGATATCATTAATAATAATGCGGTATCACAGTGCCTTGCATTTATAGCACAGGTGTTGCCTTAACCTCAATTCTCAGCTCAATGTCACACAAGCAGATAGGCTTGAACCCAACAAAACAACTAACAGGAGATAACTCACCAATTCAATCCAATAGACGTATCAGCTATTAAGGAAGGACTGAACCATGGTGGGGAAGACTGACATTAGTGCTGTCATCCAGACCTAGGATAGTCACGTCCATTGATTTCAACAAGCTGACTCCAAGTAGAATTAACGTTTGATATGACGCTCTGAGTCCCCGGTAGACTTTACGAAAAAGGCATTCTTGACATTACCTGCTGCATAGAGTCAAGGTTCCAGACGCGAATGGTGTTATCCTGAGAGACAGTCACCAGCTGCTTCTGGGATCTCTCCACAGAGAATGCCAAAACAGAATCCAGATGGGAGCGCATGACGGTGCAATAGTCCTTAGACTGGATGTCCAGGCAACCCACATTCCCAGAGGCAGTTGTGCACAACACCTTCAGGTTATCTGGGCTGATGCGGACTGAACTCACCGGGCTGTGATGCTCTGCAGGAAGACAAGCTGCCCAATGAAGAGTCTGCAGGTGACATGCTTGTGACTCATTTCTCACTTTCAGGCATGAGTGTTTATGCTTGTGAAACCAAAGCGACACCAGCCACAGGTTTGGCAGAATGCATTTTTTAAAACAACAACAACAATACCCGGAGGCTCAGAGGCAGCATGCCTCTAAATACCTGTCACTGTGAAACAATAGCAGGAGATGGCTATGGGCTATCCTGCTTGCGGGCTACCCGAGGCCATCTGGTTGGCCACTGTGGAAAACAGGATGTTGGACTAAACAGGCTTCTAGGTAGGCCATGAGAACTCTTCATATGATTAGGGAAGCAAACAGGCACGGATCTCACACTTCATGGCAGTTTTTCTAAATTTACATGTAGCCTGTTAACAAGACAATGAAAGATGTCTAGGTTCTGTATATTCTGTATACCTGAAAGAGCGTCTCCACCCCCATCATCCAGCCCAGACACTGAGGTCCAGTGCTGAGGGCCTTCTGGCGGTTCCCTCACTGCGAGAAGTGAGGTTACAGGGAACCAGGCAGAGGGCCTTCTTGGTAGTGGCGCCTGCCCTGTGGAACGCTCTCCCAGAAGATGTCAAGGCAATAAACAACTATTTTACTTTTAAAAGACAACTGAAGGCGGCCCTGTTTAGGGAAGTTTTTAATATCTGACGCTGTATTGTTTTTAATATTCGGTTGGAAGCAGCCCAGAGTGGCTGGGGAAACCCAGCCAGATGGGCGGGGTATAAATAATAAATTATTATCATTATTATTATACGGTGAATAGGTTACTGGAGCCATGCCTGCAGGGTGAACATGTCACAGGGATTGGTGGTGGAATTGCCACAGAGCTCTATTTTCTAAAACAGGGGACCATTTATCAGTCCGAGGGCCACATTTCCTTCTGGACAACCTCCCAGAGGCTACATATCACTGGTGGGCAGGGCCAGAGACAAAAGAGGACAGAACAAAGGATGTGAATTTTACCTCTGCACAGTAAGGCAGTTTCTGCACAGGTTCTGCTATCTCCTCCATCCAGGCTAGCAGCAGGCATCATCAGAGCTCTAGGACATATTCCAGCCAGGCAAAAACTCAAAGAGGCTGCAAGGATTGGCCAATGAGGGGTGTGGCTTGGGAAGAGCTCCTGGGGCCCGATGGGAGAGGCTGAGAGGACCACGTGGGCCTGAGGATCCTGATCCTTAGTTTACTAAACAAATCTTGTCTTGAGATGTCTCAATTATACACCTATGCAGAGCTTTGACAGCACGATCCTGAAGCTCTACGCACCTGCCTCCAAGAAGACTTCAGAGAAGTCCAGTGGCCACAGGCGCAGGTAGCCATCTTCAGAGGCTGTGGCACAGAAAGTTGATGAGAGACATATGCTGTTCAGTGCTATCCCAGGACCTGAAAGAACAAAAATCCAGTACACTCTGAAGCACAAGAGCTGGCAGTGAAGGCCTCACACTGTATAGAGTCGGCTGTAATCTGAGCAAGAAGATTTGGAGCTGGCCCAGATACCCATGTCAGCCATTATGGGATAATTCTGAAATTCTTTCCGTGCTAGAAGCCTTTAGTGCAACCTTCCACAGCTAGCCAGAAGTAGCTTGTGTAGAGGAACCTGATGAAATCTATCCCTCAATCAGCAATTCATTTCTTTGGAGCTGGGCAGGAGAATATTGCATGGGTCAGAGCCATATCCCACCATGACATTCTTAAAGGCATTAGAGCCAAGCTGATTTCTGCCACCAACATGTTGCCATTTGAGCGCTAGGAAAATTAAGCAACACGGAAACAGAAATTATTCCTTGAAAGAAGACTGCTTGCTCCTGCACAACACCTGTGTTTCAAATGGATTGTCTCCAGGCTTGTATTTTCTAACCTGATGTCCTCCAGATGTTTTGGACCTCAAATCCCAACATCCTTGACCATTTGGCTATGCTGACTGGGACTGATGGGACTTTTTTTCCAAAACATCTGGAGGGGACCAGGTTGGGAAAGGCCAGTTTGGCAAGTTCCCAAGAGGAAAGTTCTGTAGGCAGCTACGGAAAAACCTATGCAGCCCACCTGAGTTAAACGTTTGCTTCTCCCGCCGATGAGAGTGCTGCCCTTCTGATGGCAAGAGACGCCGGGCATTTCTGACAGCGACATTCTTATAGTTGATTTCCAAAACGTGTCCACTCCGGCTGCAAACAAACCTGAGAGGAAAGCAGCGAGGTCACCCAGCAGCAACATCATTATAGGACCAAAAGCAATTATAAGACTTTTAAGAGTGCCAGCTTTAAATCAGTAGGTCAAGCAACAAAAGTTTTAGTTGATTAAATCTACAGCTGACAATTTAATTAAACAGGAAGAGAGTTAAGGGAGCTCCTGCTTATTTCATGTATACTGTATTTCTGAGATGTCATGTAGCTTAGTCTATGTTTTCTGGAATGCTTGATTGAACTATTAATAGGCTTTGTTGGTGGAAAGAAGTGGATCTACCCAGGGCTCTAGGGAATGAGATCATCCCTGACTTGCCCAACTCTAATTAGCTAAGGGTCCTGGAAGCATGAAGGTATGATCTCGTTACCAAATTGGTCCATGTCAGGTATGGAAAACATTATAGAAACCCAGAAGCCTGTCTTGCAGTTATCAGCTTTTTTCAAAAGCATTCATCAAGGAGCAATAAAGTGGAGCAGCTTCTTACAGTGTCCGGTCTTGTGGCTCTCGCTGGGTGGAATGGCCTGCTTCGAAGTCCAAGTCCGTGAACTCCATGGAACGGTACTCGCCCAAATTTACCGGGCAGGAGCGCAACACTCCACTCCGGACCCGCCACAGCCTCACGTTGTCTCGGCCACACGACACCATTCTGTTATAAGAAATGCTGGGAGTATGAAACTAGACAGGACTTGCTTTTAAGGTACAAGTCTTGCATCGTGCATTGTCACAGTTCAGGTTCCCACAAGCAAAGGGGTGCCTCTTTCTCTCCTCCTGCGTGATGCTGCCTTTCCTTTTTCAGCCTCTGCTTGCTGCCCTGGGCTCCTTTGGGAGGAAGGGCATGCACATGCAATAAAACAGCAACAACAAGCTCCACTCTTTACCTGGTGTCATCAAAAAAGGCAATCTTTAAGGCCTGGATGTCCACATCTGTGTGCGCTTTGGCAAGCATCACCACCTCTCCCCCATGGTTCACCTGAACAGTATTCCACACCACCACCATCTGCAAAAGGAGGAGAGAGAGAGGCAGCTGGGTGGGACACAGAAGAGCCAGGCTCAGATCCCTCCTCATCCCTAAAAGCTCACCATGTGGACATAGTCAAAGTCAGCACAAACAAAAAAAACCCACACTGCCAGGAGCTTCTGCACAGACCCCAAAGGCAACTTCTCCAGCAAGCGTTAGACGAGGGCCCTGCGGGACTTGACATCTTTCCGCAGGGCCTGTAAGACAGAGCTGTTCCACCTGGCCTTTGGTTTGGACTCAGTCTGACCCTTATGTTTCCCTCCCCTTATGGTTTTGATTTATGGGCTACTATTAAAATAAGGCTGCATTTTAAATTGTATTTCAACCCGTATTTTAATAAACTGGGTTTTTGCTTTTTTTGTTTTTGTTTTTTGTCCCCTCCCATTATGTTTTATTGTAATTTTATTGGTGTTAGCCGCCCTGAGCCCGGCTCTGGCCGGGGAGGGCGGGGTATAAATAAAAAATTATTTTTATTTTTATGATTAGACATTCAGTGGCATTAAAAACACAGCAGCTCAAGGAGCAGACCACTAGCCAAAATCTTGGAAGGCCTGTGGCATGAGCCTGACCCTGAAACAACTCCAGCAACAATCTCAAAAAACAGGTCAAAGACATAGCCCTTGCAGAAGGGGCACGTATCAGTAGTGTAAAGGTAAGGTAAAGGACCCCTGGATGGTTAAGTCCAGCCAAAGGCGACTATGGGGTTGCAGCGTTCATCTCACTTCAGGCCGAGGGAGCTGGCATTTGTCCACAGAAAGCTTTCCGGGTCATGTGGCCAGCAGGACTAAACTGATTCTGGTGCAATGGAACACCGTGACAGAAGCCAGAGCGCAACTCAGCCGGACATCCACCTGCAACTCACACCAAAGCAGCACTTCCTTGTCATATAATCAATGCAACACTCTTCTAAGGTACTGAGATTTATTTATTTTTTTAAAGCAATAGCAGCTCTAGTAAAGTTTCATTTGGATCTCAGTACATTAACAACCAGGTGAATAACTGATCAGGAAAACCTTGCACCCCCTTCTTGCCACATGCTATGACAGAACTCACTCAAGAATGTTAGACAGCAGAGACCAGAGATGGGCAACCTCAGGACAGGGCATGGGGAGTGGACTGCAGCACCGCAGGTGTTTCTAGCCAGCCCTTTGGACGCTCCGCCCACACCACACCCACTGCAAAGAAAGAAAGGCTGATTCACTCACTGTTTTCCCATGTCGGTCCTTCCCAGTGCCACACAGGATACCCCCGCTGTAGGAGAAGCTGCAAAAGAACGAGGGGCCAGAGCTCAGCAGCACGCAGAACAACCCGGGTTCAATCTCCAGTTAAAAGCATCAGGTAATAGCAAGTGATGTGGAAAACCTCTGCCTGAACCCCTTGGCAACCTTATGCCCATCAGAGTAGACAGCACTAGCATAAGTGGAGAAGCAGTCTGAGTACTTACTCTAAGCCAGATTCCGCTGTTCACTAAAAACCCAGTTTTGACAGCATCAAAACTGGCAGTCTTTCGTTTTCTACCTTGCTGCCATGAGTCCTGTGAAGGGGTCATGAACAGGGTGTGTGTGTGTGAGAGAAAGAGAGACCTTAAGGAGGAGTTTGGGGAGTTAGATCTAGACCCTTGGCAGGGTGGGCATAGCAGATTTTGATCAAGAGACATCTGTTGAGATCTGCCCTCCAAAGGAGGCTCAGGAAAACTCTCAGAGGTGCCTTCTGTTATCTTTGTTCCAGACACACACTCCTCAGCTTTACCAGCTGAGATGTCTCCAGTGCCTTCCCGTTACACAGCAGCCTTCCCAGGAAACAGAGGGGAATACCATTTGATGCCAAGCTGGCAACTAGGGCATGGAGATGCCAGTGTGCACAAACCTCACCTAGCCAACCCACTACAGAAGGAGTGCCCTTTTGCCTGCCTAGCCTCAGGGCTCTGGCTGCTTGGCTTGCTAAATGCTGTGCCCTCCTCTCCCTCAAATGGAAGGTGCAAGGGGCTTGTCACTTGTCGGTTCAATATTTTAGAGCATGCCCAACCATGCCTTTGACCTCCCATGTAACCGCTGGTTCTCGCAACCTGTGACTTGCCTTACGTACCATACTAATCTTAAAATTAAAGCCTATGGGAGTCAAGAGTTCCAGCTCCTCCTTGCGCCCCAGCCTACCCTGCTCCCTCCTGCACTTACCTGAGGCAAGAGATTGATTGCATCCCCGTTTTAAACATGCAGAGGCACCTCCCCAATGGAAAATCCCAAAGACGTATCACACTCAGTTGCCCTATCTGTGCAGAGGCCAGCAAAGTGCTGTTGCCGTTGAACGCCAATGCCGCCACCTGCAGAAAATTGAGACATTGTGGGAAAGGTTACCCTGTGGCATTAAGCAGAATTGGATTCCTTTCAGGAGAATCATGTGCCTTTTACATAGGAAGGAACTGCCTGTCACTGCTCCACTTTCAAACCACACCAATTTGCCCAACATACAGGAGCTGATCAAAGAGCTGAAAGGTAATCAAATCCTTCTTATGGGGTTTTTTATTAAACTGGTAACAGAAGCATGAAGGTCTCCAGAGAATGGCTGTTGCTGCTGTAACCTCGGCCACCACCTGCTACTTAGCATTCACATAGAACTGGAAGAGCTTCACCTTCACTTACAAGAGCCCTGTAAGGTAGGCTGGAATTATTATTCCCCACGTTGCAGATGGTGATAGTTAGTGGTGGTGCTAAGGATGAATATGGCTTGCCTAAAGCCCATGATAGAATTATAGAATTGCAGTTAGAAGGGGCCACAAGGGTCATCTAGTCCAACCCCCTGCAAGGCAGGAATACTTCACCCAAGGTGGAGCTTGAACCCACAACCCTAAGATTAAGGGGTCTCGTGATCTACCAGCTGAGCTATCCGTATGAAGGCAAAATTTCAAATGCAGACTTTCTGGTCCCTAGCTTAGTCTCTCAGGGCTCTCTCCCCAGGGAACATCACCCGGTGCCAATAATGGCATCTTTTCGACAGCAGGCAAAGATGTTCCAATTCTGCAAGGCTTCAAGGGACATGGTGCTTTTTGCAGCCATGGTTTTGTGTGCATGTGCTAGCAAGTTTGTAGTGGTATTGCAGTTGCACGGAGGACGGATGCTTTTCCTTTTATAATTTGTTTATTGTACATGAACATTTTCAACGTGTCATATTTTAAACTGGTATACTATGTTTTACTTCAAGACATTTTTGTTTGCAAGAAGCAACTCATTAATTAGCCATTACGATCATCATCAAGCTAATTGATATCCTCTTTTTAGTAAAAAATAGATATGACCCTTTCCCCCAGAGTTAACGCCTGTTTTTAGGGGCTATAAAATTGAATGGGGGCACTTGGTCCTATGGGTCTGAATGCCCCTTAAGTGCTGCCACTATCCCCTTCTAGCCTCAGTTATGCCTGTTGCCCATTCTGACTTGCCCAGAACCTTGGCTTAACAAACTACAGTTTATTAATGAGTGCATCTTCATAAACAATAGTTTATTACCATTAGTATTAGTATATCCATAGTATTATACCTGTAGATTTCACACAATACACACAGAGAGACATGCACCAATGCAGCAACGATGACAAAGGTATTTTGGAAGCAATATGCGGGAGCCAAAGGTGTACACGGATATTGGACAAATAACACAGCAAAAGAATGCCTGCCCCTTGCTGTTTATTAACAGCTGCAAAAACTGCATGCACACAATGATCAAAATCAAAGAAATTAACTTTCGCGAATTAAAGCAGGAAGTCAGGCTGTGGATATGAAATTCTTTAACACAGGGGTGGGTAACCTGTGGCTCTCCAGGTGTTGCTGGATGCTGACTCCCATCACCCCTAGCCAGCTAAGCCAACTGCTGGGAGTTGTACCTCAATCTGGATGACCACAGGTTCCGCAACCCCGCTTTCACAACAGCTGGGTGAAGTTTATGAGATACCGAAATACTGCTTCTAATTCTACCCAAGTCTCAAAACGCATTCATCTAACGTTATGAATGCTCCTGGTGCATACCAGGCTTCTTCAACCTGGTGCCCATTCCTGGCCACTGGCCATACTTGCTGGAGCTGAGCAGAGTTGCAGTACATAACATCTGAAGATCCCCAGGTTGCGAAGGGCTGGTGTATTTTTAAGTCTCTCCTGTATTTTTATTGACATGTAGAAAAACAAGACAAAAGAAACAAATATTACCTTATCAGTGTGCCCAGCAAAGAACTGCTGTTTGCCAGTGTCTAATGCAATTGCTATAATCAGAGCGTGGCAGGGGTAGACCACCACAGATCCATTTGCAGCCCACAGAGCCTGGGTGACCAAGACAAAAGGTCAAATGAGAGACTTCTGCAGGGAACGGACTACACTTCTTACTTGAAGCATTAAGTGCTAAATACGTACGATGAATAAATTCAGGCATACTGACCGATTTGGTGCTGCAGCCTCCAAACCCAATGACCCTCTTCAGCTTCAGGATTGGATCTGGCAAGAGCTTCTGGAGGAGAAAAATCAACCCGTCATCAGATTTAAGATACTCTGCTAAGGCCAGGACTACGTACAATAATACACTGAAGTGAGTCTCCATCTTTTCCATTCAGGAAAGGAATCTCGACATGCGTAGAAGTTTCCTGTAAGGGCGTGTTACCCAACCAAATTATGGGATGGGAGAGGCCTCTCCTTGACATAAAGACCGTTGTTCTGTGGCAAAGCGCTTGCTTTTCAAGCAAAGGTCCCAGATTCAATCCCTGGGTAGGGAAAGGTCTTATTGGAAGATTAAGGACGGATAAAATAAATGGCGACCTCACACAGTGCATAGTTAAACTACGGAACTCACTCCTGCAGGGGGCAGTGATGGCCGCCAACTTGGATGGCTTTAAAAGGGGGAATGGAGAAATTCATGGAGGACAAGGCTATCCATGGCGACCATCCATAATGGCTATGTTCGGTCTCCAAGGTCAAAGGCATTATGCCTCTGAATATCAGGTGCTGGGAACTGCCGGTGGGCAGAGTGCTCTGGTTAGCCCCTGTGAGAACAGGATGTTGGACTAGATGGGGCACTGGCCTGATCCAGCAGGCTTTTCTTAAGATTGCTGGCCGAAAGGCCTGGCGAGCTGCTGCCAGTCAGTGTAGTTAATACTCATACAGATGGACCAATGGTCTGACTCGGGATAAGGCAGCTTCCTGTTTCCAGTAGCTGCTCCATGCACATATGGCTTGTGGCCAGAATTGGAGGATCGGCAGCCACTGCTAGCGCAGGGACTGGTGTGGGCAGCAATGATAATAGGAAAGAGGCCAAGACTCAAGAGATCCACAGCTTCTCCAGCCAACCTGTGGATTCAGAATTGATCCTGATTTGCTTGTACAAAAAGCTGTTGTAAAGCCATGGCCGGCCTTTATTGAGCCTACGTCATGATTTGTTAAAGGGGTGTGTGTGTTACATGACAATGAGCATTTATCCTGATTTGTTTACAGGGTATTTGCACATCTTACCATTAATCATTTGTTCATATCAAACTTTTCCATTCATTTCCTCGCTGCTTTTCAAACCACTAATAGTCTTGTTCCTTTTTAAAGTGGATCTGTTACACAAGGGCAGTGGTTTTCAACCAGTGTGCCGTGGCACCCTGGGGTGACTTGAATGATGGTCAGGGGTGCTGTGGGCAACACTGGTCTCTGTCCCTGTTTCCATCGCATCCTTTGATGCCCTCTCACATCTCTGCTTCCCAAAGGCTTGCACAACTGTTTTTTTTTTTCAGCAGCAGCCCTGGCTATATGTTCCGCAGGTGAACGGTGCCTCTGGGAGGCACCTCTCTTTAGTGGGGAAGAAGCTCACCAGAGACCAGGGACAGCAGCAGCAGCTGCCTGGAGGACTTCCCAAGGAGAGGGGAGAGGAGGCTGAGGGAACACTCCACAAGGGAAGGTGTCCGAAAAAGTGTGAGAGGCTGTCAGCTCTGCAGGCAAGGGTTGCCATAAGTGGACTCTTGAGCCCCACAGGGTTGCCGCTGAAAGAATGGATTTAGAAAACAATGGACTCAAAAAGTTTGAAAACCTCTGCACCAGGGTAAGAAGAGTGATTTAATCCACTATAAATATGCAAATCAGTTTGTGCCTGAAACTCTCCTGCAAAATACTGACAGTCTGCAGCTATCAGTGGCTGAAGAGGCCTGATGTAGCTATGTCTGTGAAATCAAGACATCTCTTCCAGGTAGCAAGGGGAGATGGGAAGTTTAAGAGTGGTACTTTAAATAGTACTAAAAGGCAGGATCTCTCACCATGCAACGAACTGGCCCCATCGCTTGTGCACACACATCCTGGAAAGAGACAAAATAAATAAAAAATGTTGGCATGGGAGTCAAGAACCATTTAGGGGTGTGTTATTATCTATTAGCCCTCTAGATGTAGTTGGACTGGCCAGCATGACCAGTGGTCAGGATGAAGGGGGTTGTAGTCCAACCTCTGGAGGGTGGTGGGTATCCCACCCTTGTCATAGAGCGTTATATTTTTTCTATGTTGCTTGCACTCTTTGTGCAACCTTATAAAGGCAAAGTTCAGCCTAGTGGCTGTATCCCAGATGGCTCCCCATAACATACAATTTCACTGCACATAATACTCTCACAATCAAGCGAGAGGAAGTAGCCATTGCACACTTCTCCTTACAGAGACAAGAGTCATCTTGCTGCCCTGGAGTCCTTTGGAAGTAAGAGTATTATATATCTTCCCTTTAACAGGTAAGAAGTTCTCTGGGAAGCAGCAATGGTGGCTCTTTTGCTGTCTATTTCTTGATGACTAGCAGAGAAGCCTTCCTCATCTGACCATCTTTTCCAATCAAATGTGAAAACAAGCTATGGATTTATTATTCTAGGATGTGCACTCAAATGTCATGGCTATGGTGCATGCTTACCTCATCAGAATCAACACTGACAGCATGAACAGTAACATCCCCATTCTTGCGGGCGTAACCATGAATGCTGCCATCGCCCTCTGAAGGTGCTGGGAGAGAGGAATCCCCCCTGGCCTGTGGTTCCTCCCTCCAGCAGGTCTGGTCCACAGTGTCTACTGTCTGTACAGGCGCAGAGGTTACCCGGTGAATCTTGGGGATGTTCTTTGTAAGGAAGGGAGACCGGCGAGGAGTCTGAGAAAATGATAAGTGTTGAAAAGCAAGGATCACAGTCACAAATTTCCAGGTTCTAAGGAGGGCTAAATCAAGACCCTTTGCCAGATGCAACTGCCATAGAGCACTGCTTCCTGAAAAGGCAGATGCAATCCAATTCCAAAATATACCGTACATGGCTCTGGGCAAGAGAAATAGCTATCAAGGCATACTCACTCGCTTCGGGCTGGTAATTTGTTGGATGAGAGACACTCTGTCCTGAACAGGCTTGCTTAGAAATACTTCCTTTGGAAACTGGCCAACTGGATTGTCTTCTACATGAGGAACTGAAAGGACAAGCAGAAGACACGTGACAACAATCCACTGTAGGTTTGCTCAGAAATAAGTCCCACTGCATTCAATGGGGCTGTGCTGTCAGGTAATCATATCTAGGCTACATAACCTCACCTGGGACTTGCTTCTGAATAGATATGTAAAGGATTGCACCATTAGGTTCTTGAAGACCTCTAGGGGAAACTGTCTCAAATGGGAATCGATTCCAGGACCGGAACAAGCCACGCATTGCTGCAAAAAGGACTGTATTCTATTGCTAACTCATTTATTATTGAATTCAGGAAGGGAGAGCAGAAAACTTCTGGAAGCAGGCCTGAGTGCAACAATGTTCTCCCCAACTTAGGATTCCCAGAAGCTGGTACACTGCCTCCAACAATGGAGGTAGAACATAGTGATCATGGCTAGTAGCATCTTTTAGTACAGGGTTAGCCAATGTGGTTCTCTCCAGATGTTGCTGTACTACAACTCCCATCATTCCTGACCACTGTCCATGCTTGTTGGAGTTGATGGGAGTTAAGAGTATCTGGAAGGCAGCACATTGGCTACTCCTGTAGTAGATGTTTTGCTCACATCCGCTCTCATCTGGCATAAGGTGGTCTGTGTTGGATGAATTCTGTCCTGGGATGAAGAGCTTCCATTTCCCTACAGCCTCCCTTTTTTTCTTTTTTTGCCTACCTGCAGCAGGATTCAAAGTGCCTTTTTGAATAGAGTCAAACGGCATCTTGGACCCATCAGAAGGAAACCTGAGCAAGAAGATCAGAGAAAGGGTGACTGGTAAAAAGCATGGAATGTAAGGAAGAAATGGTTTTGTTTCACTGGCTCAAAGGAGGATGCTGGACTGCCAGACAAAAAACACAGAGTTACACTGACTATGGCCATTGGAATGTGGCCAGATGCAGCAAATTCTGCATGTTGCAATAAACAACCTGGACAAACCAAAGAGGGTGACCATATATCAAGATACTCTTAATGAATGGTTAGCAGCCAAACGGCTTTCTTCGGGGAGCTTTCTGTATTTACAGATATGCGGAAAATATCTACTTCAAATCCCCAAATGCAGTAACAGGAATGCAGCCCAATGATGTTCCTTAGTCCCAGCACCATAGAGGTGTTTATCAGGATCCTGTCCAGTGCAGTATCACTGCCAACACTAAGTTCTGCAGGGGCACCTCTCTTCCTACTGAGCTATGTGCCAGACTCCAGAAGCTTCTCGAGAGCAGGGATGGTAAAAAGCCTATTTGGTTCAGTTGAAATCTCCTTGGAGTTGGCTAATGTTTGAGTATTCTAGCGCAGTGGAGTTGGGAGACCAGGGTTCAAATCCAAGCTCATGCATCTCACTGTGCAACCTCTGGCCAGTTATTCTCCTTCCCTCAACCTAACCTACCTCACAGGGTTGTTGTGAGGATAAAATAGGGAGCAGAGAACCCTGTGCACCACCTTGAACTCCTTAGAGGAAAAGTGAGATATAGATCGAGAACAACAGAGGTGCATCTAACATCTTCGCTGTACAGCTTTTACCATATGAAGACACACCTCTTTATGCTGGTCTTTAAAGTTAAAAGTATTTTGTTTTGCAGGATCTCACCTCTTTTGTTGAACCCATACTGTTCTCTTCTGGTTGGAGCAGTTTTACTCTCTAAAATTGTTGGCTGTTTGGTTTTTATAACTGTTTATTATGTTGTTGTAACCTACCTTGTGGTGAAGGGCAGGTAAGAATTCTTATAAATTGATAAAATATGCCAAATCCTGGCAAGTTATGGAGACACAATAGTCAGAAGCATACATGAACTATAGCACTGCTCACTCACAACACACACATGCACACACACCATTTCTTTAACCTCTAAAGGAGAGATATACCAGTTATAAAGAGAAGCAAAGGAAGAAAGCTGACATCCCACATAGAACCACAGAAATACAATTCAGCAAACCATACCTAACATAATCGTAGAGGTCATGCCAATTTTCACCTTTCGGCACAGGAAATGTCATTTCTCGTGGCATGGGGGAGATGCCCTGCGTCGCTAATTTGGACTGATGAGCCTCAGAGGAGGTTACACCTAAAAGCACAGAAAGGATGAAGGAGGCAGAAGCATCATTTGTTAGAAAAACAGCTTGTAGAACTCCAGTATCAACCTCTGCGCGAACAGCATTACACCAGCCTAATCCTATGGTATGCAAAGTAGTCAGTATCCTATTACTGATTGGCAGACTGGGGTCTGTTTGTGCTATAAGTCTCAACAGCTGGAATTCATGACTTCCAGTTAAAAAGTGGGGCTTGGCATGAACATGTTGCAATCTGGAGTGTTCAGGGTTCCAAGTAATTGGACTGTATTCCCCGCCTTCTCAGTTTTCTTCCACATTTCAGTTAGTATTCCATGCCCACTGAGGACGCTCCGTAAAGGGACCCCTTTACGCTCCGTCCTCAGTGGTCTATAGCTGTAGGTGGTAATTCTTCATTTTGGATTTTGGGGTGAATACGAGGGGGACAAACTTGTGCTGATGTTGAAAAGGCTGTTCCGTTTTGCTGCTAATGAGGCTGCTTGAAATGTGGAATTTTTTTTGTTTCTCCATTTGATTTTCTTTCATGATGTTCTTTTTTTGATATATTGTTACACTATGTTTGTAATGTTTGAAGAAATGTTGTGAGCTGTGTATTCCCCGACCCCAAAGTAAAATGGCATATAAATGATCTAAATAAATAAATGCCCTAGATATAAAACAGCTTTAACCATGAGATCTTAGCAGCCACATTCATAAAACTATTAAGTCAGTGATCCTTTACGCAAGTTCCTTTTAATTCTCACCTGGATCAAAGAGCAAGTCACTAGTGAACAGGTTTTTCACCAGCAGGTTGGAGCAGAGCTTGACACTCTTGAGATGGCTATAGCTTCTGTTCAAGTACAGAGAGAGGATGTAGCGGAGGTCAAGAATCAGGCAGGTCCACCGCACACTGCTGGGAGCCAGGCCCACCAGGTCTAAAGGTCAGAAACACACCAAGGAAACACCTGAATTTATATAGACATTCAACACACTAAATCCCAAACCTTACAGGCAGAATGGGCTTCACGCATTAGCCCACTTCTAATGTGTGCTTTGTGAGGAAGTGGCTATGATTGTGAGCTGGGATCCAGGTAAGCACCCAGTTCAAATCTCTCCTAGGTCCCAAACTTCCTGGGGAACCAATAATCTTTCAGTGCCGGCTTCCCATATAAGGTATAAGGATAATCATCATGGTCTACTTTAAAGGACGCTTAGAAGGATTGCTGTGATAACATATAGGAAGCACTAGGAACTGTCAACCTAGCAGTTCGAAAGCACGTCAGAGTGCAAGTAGATAAATAGGTACTGCTCCGGAGGGAAGGTAAACGGCGTTTCCGTGCACTGTTCTGGTTCGCCACAAGCGGCTTAGTCATGCTGGCCACATGACCCGGAAGATGTATGCCGGCTCCCTCGGCCAGTAAAGCGAGATGAGCGCCGCAACCCCAGAGTCAGTCACGACTGGACCTAATGGTCAGGGGTCCCTTTACCTTTACCTTTAGGAACAATCAAAGGTGCTATTATATAAATGCCCAAAGTAGTATTATTTTGGGGGTGGCAAAGCTTTGCTTCTTCATCCATAACCACGTTCTGTTCTCCCTACCAGATCAACTCAGAGTCTGACCAAAAACCTAGTTTCTCAAGGAACTTCTAATTTCAGCCACCAGCATCCTGAGGACCAAAACAGAAGGCATTCAGAGCTACCTAAGCTTGCTGAGCAAACAGCAATTTGGTTGGTCTTCTTTGCGTTTTACCTTGCTTGGAAGCCTTGGATGTGCTTTCATAGACTGACCCTCTGGCTGCCCCACAAATAAACGGGAACTGCAGCCATGTGGCAGTTGACTTGAACTCCTTAAAGAGATTGGAAAAGGAAATGCGGACCACCTGGCTGTCCTGGAAATAAAGAAATGCAGACTAGTCACATGGGTTGGCTATTTCAATAGGAAGGCAGCAAACACCCAGTTCTTAAGAAACAATAAATATCAGTAACCATGGCTGATGAAAGACAACCTACATTTTAAGCAAAGCTACATACTGTGACCTGTGTGGACCAATGATGGGCAGAAGGTAGTTCAGGATCTACTGAGTGATCTCTTGATGATCAGCAAGGTGTTCTAACTCCCAACTGTTTGGCTCCACCATCTCTGAACTGTGTTCATTCCAGCTTGGTATTATAGCAACAACAACAATCTAACTTTAAGAACTAGTGTCTGAGTTTTTATGGCTCCCCTATCTTCCCGCCTCATTTCCTTTTTTTGTTATGCCTTTCTGACTGTCTGTTGGTGAGGAAGGTCTTTTATTGCCCCTGATTATATGTAAGCTGCTCTGGGAGGCTTTTTGGCTGAAGAGTGGAGTAAACAAAAAAGTTAAGATTAAACTAGCAGTGTGAAGGATTTCATTTGAGCTTTTCTGTGTGCACAGCAACTGCTCTATAAGTGAGCCAGCAGGTGGGGAAGCTCTGCCGGGCAATGATTCTCCATTCCTGTCCTACAGTAATCTTATTCCGGAGGCCCTTTGAGATTTCTTCAGGCCTATCTTTAACAACCATAAGGACTAGAACTTTGCATTTCATTAAAGCGAAAGCTACAATGCTCACGGGACGTGGGTGGTGCTGTGGGTTAAACCACAGAGCCTAGGACTTGCTGATCAGAAGGTCGGCGGTTTGAATCCCTGCAACGGAGTGAGCTCCCATTGCTCGGTCCCTGCTCCTGCCAACCTAGCAGTTTGAAAGCACGTCAAAGTGCAAGTAGATCAATAGGTACCACTCCGGAGGGAAGGTAAACGGCATTTCCGTGCGCTGCTCTTATTCACCAGATGCAGCATAGTCATGCTGGCCATAGGACCCGGAAGTTGTATGCCGGATCCCTCGGCCAATAAAGCGAGATGAGCGCCGCAACCCCAGAGTCAGTCACGACTGGACCTAATGGTCAGGGGTCCCTTTACCTTTACAATGCTCACAAAGCCAAGTTCTGCAAAGGTGAATGGATCAAGGCCTCCAAAGAGGATAGGCCCACTCGATGGTACCACAAAGGGTACTGTAAGAGATCTGCATTGCCTCAGACCACCTAATATTGTCCTCCTGTTCATTTCATTACACAACTGGTCATTAATAAATAGGAGAGAAACACTCACCTCTGTGGCAACGTCCAAGTGCACCACGAAATATTTGGTCGGTGCTGGCTTGAAGAGGATGTAGAGGTAGCGACCGGTGAGACCCAATGACTGTGTGCTGGTCTTGGGGAGCTGGAGGTAGTTACTAGCAGGCACAGCACCACTGATGCGGTACACTGTCCCTTTCAGAGTCTTGTCCTGAAGGCAGGAGGATAAAACAGATGGAACAGCTCAGGTAAAATAAATCAAGTCACACAGAAGCTGGAGTACAAGGCTGGAGGAAACCAAGGATACTGAATCCCGTATGTAGCACAATGGCAATTAACACAGCATTAAGGAAAGATCAGCAAAGGACTTAGTGTTCCATTTCACTCTCCCTGATGTGATACCCAAGTGGAGGGGGACAAGGATCCAGTTCAATTCCCAGAAAGCCCCAGGTTTGAGACCTCCAGCAGATGGAAGTTCTGACACATATGAAAATGTACATGGCTTTGGTGGGAAGGCATATGATGCAGAAACCTTCCTAAAGCCAAAACAGGTCTGTGGCTGGCCCAGCCTTCTTCAACCTGGTGTAATGGGTCAGTGCGCCTGGCTCTTGACCAGAAGGTTGGTGTTTGAAACCCACCCAGGGATGGCTGTGGGCAGGATTCCTGCACTGCAGGGAGTTGGACTAGATTACCCTTGTGGTCCCTTCCAACTCTACAATTCAATGATTTTATGATTACAGAGGTTTTGGATTACTACTTTGTTGTCCAGATACCTGGAGGCAAAGGTGCCCTTATGCATGCTACTTCTGAGTTCCATTAGGGAAAGGCCGGATAAATTTGTCGCTCTTTCCATCTCCCACCTATTCATGGAAGGGAGAGCTCACATGCAGCAGTGGTGGCAGTGCCACACTTGGTCGTCTGCAGACTATTTCCACTCACCACAGGCGACCAGCTGAGTGCTAATACCAAGGCTACGTTTAACTACCCAAGAAAGGATCAGGAACTTCTGACACTACCATAAAGGTTGTCACATCGCCCTCCTTCGTGGACCTTTTCCATTCCTCAACTTTAAAGTGCTTGAAGATGTTTAGATAGGGATGCTGCCACACTGCAGAGAAAACAGATCAGTTAACCAACAAACAATGTACGGTAATTTGTGCTATTGAAACTACTTCCCTCCTTTTACACAAAGCAGGATAATCCCTATGCTATCTTCCAAAATTAGAATTAGACTCCTAAACAGAAGGACAGCTATGAGTCCCAGTGGGGGGGTGGGGATTTGTATTTTTGCTGAAATGATCTCATTCTCTCAATTTCCCCACAAAATAAACTGTTAAAGATAATCAACAGAAATGCCATCTTACTTTCCAACATCAAAAAATGAAGAAAAAGAAATAAAAACTTAGCCAAGGTATATGTGAGAAGGTTCAATGCCTAAATAATGACCTTACTTTTAGTAAGGGGATGGGGTTGATTTTCGTTTTGTCCTATGTGACTTTTTGGGATGAACACTTTTAGTATATTCTGCTTTCCAGATTGTATTTTATTTTTTCTGTTAAGGCACTGTAAGTCCTACTGAGCATTTAACTACTGCATATCAGATAGATATTCTATTTCCTGATTCATCATTTCCATATATTGTACTTGATATAACTTTATTTCTCTCAAAATCTCCTGCGACTTTGGTTTTGCTCTCAATTTCTTCTCACTTTCTTTTATTTTCTCCAGAATTTTATCTTTCTTCTCATTTTGGCTTCTCTTCTTTATAGCATTCTGTTGTATCAGAAACCCTCTCATGACCGCTTTGCTTGCGTCCCAGATTACTCTTTTTTCTACATTAGTATTCATATTTATCTCAAAATAGTCTCTCAAGGTTTTTTGGGCCTTTTTATACACTTCTTCATCTCTGAATAAAGTGTCATTCATCCTCCATCTGAAGGAGCCAGTTGATATTAGTTTCACCTCCATCCATTCCTAGCAGTGTTCTTGTGCATTGAGCTGCATGGCAGACAGAAATATAAGAGGGTTTTTTCCAGGTATGAATGAAGAATAGTTAGCAGTGCCTGTCACGCACTGTTAAATGTACAGGAGCTCAACCCATCTAGGAAAAACAATAATGTATCTCAAACAATTAAAGTTAAAAGGTAAAGGACCCCTGGACGGTTAAGTCCAGTCAAAGGCGACTATGGAGTTGCAGCACTCATCTCGCTTTCAGCTCAAGGGAGCTGGTGTTTGTCCAGACAGCTTTCCGGGTCATGTGGCCAGCAGAACTAAACCGCCTCTGGTGCAATGGAGCACCTTGATGGAAACCAGAGCTCATGGAAACACTGTTTACCTTCCCGCCACAGCGGTACCGATTTATCTACTTGCACTAATGTGCTTTCAACTGCTAGGTTGGCAGGAACTGGGACAGAGCAACGGGAACTCAGAACTCACCCCATTGCAGGGAAGCTCAGTGGTTTAGCATCCCGTATCTCAAACAATACTGCAGAAACAATCCAACAAGTAGAGTGGGGAGGCAGAAATGGGGGAGGGGGAGAGAATAAGCCTGTTGTGACTTATGCCCCTCATACTATATATTAAAAAATTTCCCCTAGCACAGCTCCTGTGCATTTTAACACCAGTATGTGAGACAGAAATCTGATAGCTGGACTTTGTTTAATCAGGGATGGTAGAAATCACCACCAGTTGCATTTTATCCATGTTGTGCAGCTGTTTAATACAATATCATATAAGCAGAGTTCCTGTGCATCCCAAGCGTCCTTCCTCTTGGGGAGGATGGAAGGCTGGACATCTGGCAGCTATACGTCTGCTCAATACAGTACATGCAACTTACTCATTCACTTATTCATTAATTGCCCTGTAACACAGCTCTCTGAGCAATGTAACAAGAAATGTTTAAACACAACTTGCAAAATGTTAAAAAGACCCCCCCCCCAAAAAAACCCACCCCGATTACGGTCCAAACATACCACAGCTAAAAAGATCCAAAACATCACAGACTATTTCATATATATATACTGTATATGTATATCTACCCTGGGGTCCTCCTGGGGAGGAAAGACAGGGTATAAATCCAAACAAACACACACACACACACACACACACACACACACACACAGCAACTCATCTAGTCCTCCAGAAAGCCAAAATCATCTCATAAGCACTAAAAACATAAGAACTGCGTCCAGTCACGGCTGCCTACAGGCAGAAATCCAGCAGGCGAGGAGATGCGTCTCCCCTCATCACAGAGAGGAGCGAAAAGGCTACACCTGGCGAATTTCTGCCTGTCCTGTCATGCTGCTGCTGCTGCTTTGAAAGCGCAGGAGCCCTGTCAGGAAACAGCAGCAGCTCCACGGGTTTTCTTTGTCTCGGAATAGGGGAATCCGTGGGGCTGTCGGGGACTCTTCCCTCTCCCGCCCCGTGGATGCTCAGACTCCGAGGAGCCTCCAAACCAGCCCCGCCTGGCCCTGCTGGGGTCCTAGTGCCCCTCATTTCCCCAGAGCCCAATACCCGCCCTGGCTCCCCTGCCCTCCCGCTCCCCTCGGCGGGCACCTCTGGCCATGGCTGCCCCGCTCTCTCTGCGGCTCCGCTTCAAGCCCGCTCTCCCTTCCCGCCTCTGCCGGAGAGGAGCGCGCCCAGCCTCCCGCAACCATAGAGTCACCTCGGGCGGACTGCGGAGGATGGAGAAAAAGCCTACTATTCTGCTAGGGCTAGAGCGGCCGACCCATCTCCCTTGGATCACAGAGTTCATGCAGAGAGTGACAAGCGACGCTCTCGCTTCCGATTTCCGTCTGGGCGTTCGAGAAAGCACTTCGCGCGCTCTCAATAAGGTGCGTGGCCTCTCTGTCACCATCGTATCTCTATGGTGGGCCTGTTCCCATGCGTTCTATTTACGCAGAAGAATCTATAAACCGCTTGCCCGTAATGCATTAAAACCCTCAGAAAAGCAATAGTAGATGCAACATGTAGAACTCTTTTGTTATGTCAACTCCAGGCAAAAGGAGCAAAAGGATTTAATTATATGGCAAAGAGTATGCAGCCGCTTGTGCTGGGTTGACTTCGCTTGGGGGAAAGAGTTGTGTTTGTGTGTTTATTTAGGGCACTTTATATCACGCTTTCTGGTGCTAAAATCAAACTCAAGCTGCTTGCGATGAAAATATAAACAAACGAGCAATCCCTAACAAAATGTTTTAAATAGTTTAGATAATGGGGTGTTTTATTTCGTTACTGTAGCAACTTCAGGGTTAGTACTGGCGCCTATTTTTCTAGAAAAAAAGCACTGCACACACCCATGTCGAAACCATAAATGAGAACTATCAGCTCACTGTGGGGAGGCAAATCCAGTGCTTTTTTTTCTAGGGGGACACATACCCCTAAACATTTTGTGAATCTAAGTTTGGCCTCATTGAGGGGCAGTATTTCAATATGAGTAGGAAAATGAGAGTACCCCTAAACATTTTTTTAAGAAAAAAAGCACTGGTCAAATCCATATGACTTTCTTTAGGTCAGGCTTTGTGACAGGTCTTTTAGGAAAATAAGAAGCTATCCTAACACCAGTTTGTTCCCACCTAGCTCAGTATTGTCTACACTGGCTGATAGCTGATTTTGAGAGTTTCAGACGGGGCACTCTCAGCCCTACTGGGAGATGCAAGAGATGGAACCCAGGACCTTCTGCATGCAAAGCAGCTGCTCCAACAACCAGCAGTCCTTTCTTTCCTTCACAGGCACACGGAATTGTTATGCATGGAATAAGGGATGTGTTTTCTGCTCTGTTCGGATTGCTACGCAAACTGTGTTTTTGCACAGAGGGTAAAGTCCACCAAGGTCACAAAGTAATTTCAGTCTGGCCATTTTGGCTGCAAATGTTAAAGGACTGGAAGAAGATTCGGTAAGTTTCTTGTTGCAGATTCTCTTATTAAGCAGGAGACACTTCTTTGCACTTTATTTTTTAAAAATGGTTTGTTTCTTTTTTAAAGTCTGACTTTCCCATTTTCCCAAGCTGCCCTACGGACCAGAGATCTGTCCTTTTCTTTTCTTTTCTTTTTTTCTTTTTGCAGCCAATACTGCAGTGGCAGAGATGCAGTATTTAACTAGGAACTGATTTGCACATTCCTTTGTTTTTGCAGGCATGGATCATGACGACATAGAAAGGCTGGCGGCAGAGCTGCATAAAAAGGGGAGTTCCTGGAGCCCTTTCCAGGTGGCAGCAAGCACCAGCTTGGTCCTTTATTTTGCCTGGGCCGGATCTCTTGCCCTAGGCCTGCGCAAAGTGTATTTACAGGTATCAGGGGTTACCACCATTTTAAAATGTTAGAGAGCAGAGCAAAGGGAACAGGAGAAGCTCCAGGTCTGTGGAGGGTATGGGCAATAAGTGACTTACCACAAGGGGGCAGCAGAGCACACATCCAAAGAGTACTGGATGATTGTGAGAAAGGGGATAATTAGGTGGGGGTTGGCCAAGGGCAGACTGAGGTTGTCTGGGCTGTGCATGATATCTCCGCATTGATCATCCTCCATGGCCTAGTGACTAAATAGAAATAAATTAATCTATGGGGATCACCCCACCCAATCTCATTCTGTGGTTTTATCATCTCCCCTTTTACATATATTTTTGAGACTGGCCCTGGTAACCCTTACCAAAGGGATGGCAGACAAATTCATTCAATGAATTTTAGGGGATCTTAGGGGAGGACCAACTCTCAGCAGTAGAGCACAGGGTCCCAGGCTGAATCTTTGGCATCTCCAGGTAGGAGTCGAAATGTTCCTTGCTTGAAATACTGTATACCCTCCAACATTTCTCCGATGAAAAGAGGGACGTCCTAAGGAAAAGCAGGACATTCTGGGATCAAACCAGAAACTGAGATGGCTTCTCCAAATCAGGGACGTCCCTGGAAAATAGGGAAACTTGGAGGGTCTGTCACTGAGCTAGATGAACCAACGGTTTCATGTGGTATAAAGCAGCTTCCCGTGTTCCTAATATCCATGCCTTTTGCAAAACTCACCAGCTTCTTTCCTTTTTAATCCAGGTGCCATATGTACCCTCCAGTGTTAAGCAAGTGAGGAATATGATGTCGCTGCTGCAGGGGCGCTCTGGGAAGCTGGTGGATTTAGGATCGGGTGATGGCAGAATTGTAAGCATGTCAAAATGCACCCGAGTGTGGGATTGCCAAGGCCGTTGGTGCACGGCATGGATCAGCATCTGCCTGCAAAACTCACTGTTCGGTTGTGATTGAGATAAACTAGGAATAAATGACCTTTTGTTGATAGGGTGGGGGCTGTTTAATTACAGGGTTTTTTTCTGTTCTAACACTGAGCTATATACGCGCTTCCTCAAATTTAACACCAGAAATCTTACCCTTTGCAGTTGTGTATTGTTTCAGGGGCTAATCCGCACCGTACATTTAAAACACTCTTATACCGCTTTCACAGTCATAGCTTTCTCCCAAAGAATCCTGGGAATTAAATTCTGCTAATTTCACATTATTATTATTATTAATTTGTACCCTGCCCATCTGACTGGGTTGCCCCAGCCACTCTGGGCAGCTTCTAACATATACAAAACATAATAAAACATTAAAAAGCTTCTCCATACAGGGCTGCCTTCAGATGTCTTCTACATATTTTTTTTTTTTATAAATATTTATTAAGGTTTTCACAATATTACAAAATGAAAAAAGAAAAAGAAGAAAAAATACAAAATAAAAATAGTTAAAAACAATTCAATCTTTCTATCACTTATCTTTCATTTGCTTGTTTCCCGGACCTCCTCATACCTCCATTTTTGTATTCCAGTTCAATTTATTAGTTCAGCAATTCCTTTCCCTCCTTATTTTATCCTGATCTTTAATCTTAATATATTATAGCATTAAATTTTTACCTGTTAAAAATCCATTTTTTCATATTCTTTTATACCATTACAGCTAGAAACCACTTAACTTCAATCCAACATCATTCTAGCATTCATTAATTTTGCAGTATTTCTGTAAATAGTCTTTAAATTTCTTCCAATCTTCTTCCACCGACTCTTCTCCCTGGTCTCGGATTCTGCCAGTCATTTCCGCCAATTCCATGTAGTCCATCACCTTCATCTGCCATTCTTCCAGAGTGGGTAGGTCTTGTGTCTTCCAATACTTTGCAATAAGTATTCTTGCTGCTGTTGTGGCATACATAAAGAAAGTTCTATCCTTCTTTAACACCGATTGGCTGACTATGCCCAGGAGAAAGGCCTCTGGTTTCTTCAAGAAGGTATATTTAAATACCTTTTTTAATTCATTATAAATCATCTCCCAGAAGGCCTTAATCCTTGGGCACGTCCACCAAAGGTGAAAGAATGTACCTTCAGTTTCTTTACATTTCCAACATTTATTATCGGGCAAGTGATAGATTTTTGCAAGCTTGACTGGGGTCATGTACCACCTGTATATCATTTTCATAATATTCTCTCTTAAGGCATTGCATGCCGTAAACTTCATACCTGTGGTCCATAACTGTTCCCAGTCAGCCATCATTATGTTATGTCCAACATCTTGTGCCCATTTAATCATAGCAGATTTCACCGTTTCATCCTGAGTATTCCATTTCAACAGCAAGTTATACATCTTTGACAAAATCTTAGTTTTGGGTTCTAACAGTTCTGTTTCTAATTTTGATTTTTCCACCTGGAAGCCGATTTTCTTGTCCAAATTATATGCCTCCATTATCTGATAATAATGAAGCCAGTCTCGCACTTTGTTTTTTAGTTTTTCAAAACTCTGCAATTTCAGTCTATCTCCATCTTGTTCCAAAATTTCCCAATATTTCGGCCATTTGACCTCCATATTGAGCTTTTTCTGAGCTTTCGCTTCCATCGGTGACAGCCACCTTGGGGTTTTGTTTTCCAATAAGTCCTTATATCTTATCCAGACATTAAACAATGCTTTCCTGACAATATGGTTTTTAAATGCTTTATGCGCTTTGACCTTATCATACCACAGATATGCATGCCATCCAAATACATTGTTAAAACCTTCTAAATCCAAAATGTCTGTGTTTTCGAGAAGCAGCCATTCTTTCAACCAGCAAAAAGCTGCTGATTCATAGTAAAGTTTAAAGTCTGGCAGGGCAAATCCACCTCTTTCCTTTACATCTGTTAGTATTTTAAATTTTATTCTAGGCTTCTTGCCCTGCCAGACAAATCTAGAAATATCTCTCTGCCACTTCTTGAAACAGTCCATTTTGTCCACAATTTGCAATGTTTGAAACAAAAACAGCATTCTAGGCAATACATTCATTTTTATCGCAGCAATACGGCCCAGCAGTGAAAGCTTCAAATTTGACCAAATTTCTAAATCTTTTTTCACTTCAGCCCAGCATTTTTCATAGTTGTCTTTAAATAAATTCCCATTTTTTGCTGTCATGTTAATCCCCAAGTATTTGACTTTCTTGACCACTGTTAAACCTGTCTCATTCTGAAACCTCTCTCTCTCAATTTTTTCTCTAAAACCTTGGTTTTTGACTTATTCAGTTTAAACCCTGCAACCTGACCAAATTCTTGAATCAGTTCTAAAACCCTTTTGGTACTAGATTCTGGCTCCTGTAACGTCAATACTAAGTCATCTGCAAATGCTCTCAATTTGTACTGTTTGGCTCCGACTTGTATACCTTTAACCAACTGGTCCCTTCTTATCATATTCAGCAAAACCTCCAGGACCGATATAAAAAGTAATGGGGAGATTGGGCAACCTTGTCGTGTGCCTTTTTCTATCTTAAATTCTTCCGTCACCACATTATTTACAATTAATTTAGCCTTTTGTTCAGAATATATTGCACCTATACCGTTTTCAAAACCTTGGCCTACCCCCATACCCTGCAAGTTCTTCTTCATAAAACTCCAAGAAATGTTGTCAAAGGCTTTCTCCGCGTCCACAAATATTAAAACTGCTTTAGTATTTATATTCACTTGTAATTTTTCTAAAATGTTGATTATGTTTCTCACATTATCCGATAAATGTCTACCTGGGAGAAAGCCTGTTTGGTCTTTATGTATCTCTTCCAGTAGCACTCTTTTTAATCTTTTAGCCAAAATATCTGCAAAAATTTTGTAATCCACATTAAGCAATGATATGGGGCGGTAGTTCTTAAGCTGCGTCTTTTCAGTCTCTGTTTTCGGTACAAGTGTAATATACGCTTCTTTCCACGACTCTGGTGCCCTTTTCCCATCCATTATTTCATTACAGACTTCTTTCAAAGGTTGTACTAGCCATTCTTTTAAAGATCTGTAGTATCTGGAAGTCAGTCCGTCCGGTCCTGGAGATTTACCTAGTTGCATATTGTGAATGGCACCTTCTATCTCCTGTTCAGTTATTTTATAGTTCAACATTAGTTTATTTTCTTGGGAGATTTTTTGTAATCCATTTGTTTTCAAGAATCGATCTAAGTCAATTTCTTTCTGTGGCCCTTGTGTATATAGTTGTTTAAAGTATCTCTGGAAACAATTTCTGATTTCAGCTGGGTTCTGTATATTCCTTCCTTCCACTTCTAGATTAGTAACTGTATTTAATTTTTGTCTTTTTTCATTTGCCAAGCCAACAATTTCCCACATTTATTAGCCGACTCGAATGTCTTTTGTCTCATTTGTTTGATTTTCCATTCTATCTCCTGATTCATCATTTTCATGTATTGTACTTGATGTAACTTTATTTCTCTCAAAATCTCTTGCGACTTTGGTTTTGCTCTCAATTTCTTTTCACTTTCCTTTATTTTCTCCAAAATTTTATCCTTCTTCTCATTTTGGGTTCTCTTCTTCAATGCATTCTGTTGTATTAAGAACCCTCTCATAACAGCTTTACTTGCGTCCCAGTTGGTCCCACATTGGTGTTCATGTTTATCTCAAAATAATCTCTCAAGGTTTTTTGGGCCTTCTTAAACACTTCTTCATCTCTAAATAAGGTGTCATTCATCCTCCATCTGAAGGAACCAGTTGGTATTAGTTTCATCTCCATCTTTACAGCATTATGGTCGGAGCAGGTTTTTGGGCAGATTTCCGCTTTTCTTATCTTTGGTGCCATTCCTCTAGTTACCCATATTTGGTCAATTCTTGTCCATGTCAGTTTGGCTTCAGAGAAGAAGGTTCCCTCTCTAGCTAGGGGATTCTTTGTTCTCCAGATATCAACTAAGTCCAAGTTGTCTGTCATCTCAAAAAAAGTTTTCGGTAGTCTGCCGTCCTTAGTGACTACCTGTCTTTGTGCCTTATCCATGTGTGTAGATACCACTCCATTCATGTCTCCCATCAAGATCGCATTATAATCCAGATAGTCCATCAATGTCTCATGCAACTTTTTAAAAAATTAAGATGTCTTCTAAAGGTTTTATAGTTACTTATCTCTTTGACATCTGATGGGAGGGCATTCCACAGGGTAGGCGCCACTACCGAGAAGACCCTCTGCCTCGTTTCCTGTAACTTCATTTATTGCAGTGAGGTAACTACCTCTTTGCCCTCAGTGTTGGATCTCAGTGTCCAGGCTGAACGATGGGGGTGGAGACGCTCCTTCAGGTATACTGGGCTGAGGCTGTTTAGGGCTTTAAAGGTCAGCACCAGCGCTTTGAATTGTGCTCAGAAATGTACTGGGAGCCATTGTAGGTCTTTCAGGACCGGTGTTATATGGTCCTGGCAGTTGCAGTTCCCAGCAAACTATATTTCCCAGGATTCTCCATAACTATTAAAACAATAAAAGAGGGTTTAAATGTGTGCAGGTGTGACTTGCGCCATGAAACTAGCACAGCATTAGGCAATAGACAATGTGCCTGATTCTAGCTGCACTTCCAGGTGCTGGAGGCTTACAAACAAGGCTTCCGGCCGACTGTTGGCTATGAGCTCAATCCATGGCTTTTACAACTGTCCAACTTTCGTGCCTGGAGGGCTGGGTGCTATGGAAAGGTTTTCTTCCGGCGAGAAGACCTTTGGAAGGTAAGCTCTTCCCACACGGAGGCAAGAAGCTAGGCCTGTAAGGAGCAAACCGAAAGTGGAAGAAGGAGCTGTCTGCAGTAGCCATCTCACCTGCATCTTAAGTGAAGCTCAGGAGAAGCAAGCGTTAGCAGCAAGGCTTCCCCTAAGTTTTGCAACTTCCAGATAATTGTTGGGCCCCCAGCAGCTATGAGCACCAGCAGCATGGCCAGAAGCCCGGGGTTGATGGGAGTTGTAGTCTAACAACATCTGGTGATGGGAGTTGTAGTTCAACACCAACCAACCCACACTGGTTGCTCCTGCTATATAGTTTAGCTATGTGTTGTGAAGCAGTGTTTCATTGTGTTTGTCCCAAATCTCCCAAGGTTCAGCATCAATGGTTGGCCCCAGGTTCTTTTAAGAGAGCGAGTTCTGTAGCTTAACTATGTGCTGCAATATCTGAGACCATGGGACTGTGCTTTGCCTCCCAAAGCACGGTGGGAAATAGTCCAGTCCAGAATAGGAAAAAACCATTGAACCATCTCTCTTGACTAATTGTTTGCTGGTGGTGCTGTTGTTGTTTTAAGGCAGATCTCTCTGACTGCAACAATGTCACTGTGTTCCTGGCTCCCAGTTTGGTGAGTAGTTTTCAGATAAGCTTGTCTATATTACCTAAGCAAAACCAAGGATGGTCAGTGCAATGCCCAGTCTTCACAATATCTAATGGCAGTTATGAATTAACTGGCAGGAGTATTATGCATTCAGTCTTATGAACCTGCCTCAGTCTTAAAATTGGGTCTGAAACCCTATTTGTTAGGCTCACCTCAGTATCCATTAGGCTGGTGAGTACTGGAGACAGGGCCTTATTCATTGTGGTCCCATATCCTTGGCACTCTCACCAAAAGAACTCCATACGACCCCATCTTTGTTAAGTTGTAAAGGTCTGTTTAAAAACAAATTGCATTCTATTAAAAAGTGTGTTGGGTTTTGAACGCCTGCTGTTTAACCTTTCTATAATTAGAAGTTTGCTTTCTTGCATTTATTAATTATCTTCTGTAAGCTGCCCTGAGAGGGCTGCATCTGAAAGGCAGCATAGAAGCATTTTAGATGGATAAATTCATTGTCACAGCCAACAAGTGGATAACATCTTCTGCAAAACACTTGCTCTCATTTTCCCCAGCAGAAGGAATTGTCCCCGTCTGCTTGGTACTGTCCAGCCTCTGTCCTAGGAATCAGTCGAGACATAGAAATTAAAACCTTATACTAACAGTGGAGGCAGCTCCATTTGAGCAAAAGTGGCACAGCCTACCAGACTGTGTGTGCCTGCATCTGACTACTTCACTTGCAACCAGCCTGAGGAGTCAGCTTCCTCCTCCGTAGTCCCAATAATAATAATAATAATAATAATAATAATAATATCTTTATTTCATCGCCCCCTTCGGGGACAACGAAATTACTTGACTGCTCCATAAAAACACTAATTAATCAACACAGCAAGGGAGATTAGATGACTTTCAAAGTCCGGGCTTCCCATTCAGGGCCGAGATCGCTCTGGAGAAGAAGCTGTTCTTAAGACGGCTCGTTCTTGTCTTCATCGTCCTGTATCTCCGTCCCGACGGCAAGAGCTCGAAGAGACAGTGACCAGGATGCGATGGATCTTTTACTATGTCCAGTGCCTTCCTATGGCACCTTGTGGCATAAATCTGCTCTAAGGTGGAGAGTGGGCAGCCAACAATGCTCTCTGCTGCCTTAACAACCCTGCACAACCCCATCCCGTCCTGGGTAGTACAGCTTCCGTACCACACACATAAGCAACATATACAACATATACAACTCAATAGGATAACTAAAATTAGTTTTCTGCACCTGCTTGCTAAGGTGTGTTTGTTTTTTAAAAATCATACTCGTGTACTGACAGCCAAAGGGGATTTAACAATCTTCACCACATACTGATTTAGTTGTTTTGGCAGTGTCTTTCATTTTAACACTGTCTGCTGGCTTTCCTTTGTGGGACCAGGTGGCAACAACTGAGTCCATCCATTGCTAAAGAATGACGATTGCCCTAGAAGCGCCCAGCAGTCTTGCTGAGGCATCACAACTGTGTGCTCTGTTTACACTGCTGCTGTGTAGTCACCAGAGCCAGATGCTGAGCTTGCCAGCTTCCCCCACCCCAACTGCAAAGTCAGCTGAAAGCAAATAATGCTGCCTCATTTCTGCAGAGGCTGCAGTTTGAAATTCACTATTCCCAAGTCACCTTATGCTAGATGCTGGTCAGTTAAGAGAGAAATTGGCCCAGTCTTCTCTTTGCAGCTTCCAGGAGTCACCTTGAAGGGTTTCCTTTAATTGATTTAAGCCCGGAATTACCAAACTGAATTCTTTCTGAAGGACCATCTGGCCCTGTATGCGTCGTCGGGGGGTGTTTTATATGTAACCCTGCCTCTGCAGACTATCATAGGGTATGCAGACTGAAAACGGGTCTTTTTCGCTGTTTCCACTGCTGCACAGGAAGAGACACCATCAATTTGCTTCAGACACCTTGTAAAAACACCATACACTCAGATAGTTCAAGCTCCAGTTAGGCAGTTATCAGATGGTGTTGTTTCAGCTCAAGAAGAGGCTGATCTATTCGCTCATTTTATATTAAAAACAAAACATTATGGCCCTGTGTCTCCTCCCATGTCCCTAATAGACGCTGGCTGCCTTGCTTCGATGAAGCTTCTATGTTAGGCAATGGTAGAGGAACGTTCACATAAACTCATCGCATACACCACATGAATTTGGGATTCAAAGGAGCAGTTAGGGCCAAAATTCATAGAAACAGAACAATTTTCCTGTAGGTTTTTTTTTAAGTTCATGCAACAAATGATTATGCTTCAGTCTGAAGTTCTATACAGCCCAGTGGTGGCTGGTACCCTTTGGAAATGGTAGGGCAGAAAGCAGAAAGACCAGCAGCAAGTGGCGCCAGAGCCAAGGACAGGCAGAGCCAATTCAGGGCAGATCCACACCATACTTTTAAAGCCTTTTCAGTACACATTTAAAGCATGTGACTGCCCCCACAAGGAATCCTAGGAACTATGGTTTCACCTGCACACAGCTGCAGTTCCCAGCACCCTTAAACTAGTTCCCAGGATTCTTTGGAGGATGTGTGTTGAATGTTGAATGTTCTTACATATGCATTGAATGTGCCTTCAATGTATGGTGCAGACCTGTCCTAATTCTTGTTTCGTCCCCATCCTCTTCCCTGCTGCATTCTACAAAGGCAACCCTGAGACTAAGGGGCAGAAAACGGATAGGCAGTTCAATTCCTGGACTGATAGTTAAGCAAGGAGGCATGCAGATGGGGTCTGACTGAGGGCAGATGGAGGTTGGTGGGACTTTGCCCTAATAGACCAACTTCTGCTGATAGAGCAGCACTTTTGCCCTCCCCAAGGCTTTCTTTGTCCACTCTGAGATTCATTGTCAAATCTTGCTGCTGTCAACGTCATTGTAAAGCAGACCTCTCTCGGCAGGTCCCGCTCCTGGAGAGAAAACTGCTTTCAGAACTCCCCGATGGGGCCTGTGTGGTGGCTGCCCGCTTCCCTTTCCTCAACTGGAGTCCTACCAGCATTGCTGGAGACAGCTTAGAAACAGCCTGGGCCTATAACATCACGGCAGTACGGCAAGCAGGCAGGCAGATGCCCAGCTAAAGGCTAAACCTGCTCCATAAAACTCAGCTGTGCAGGGAAAATGGAAAGGATGCATGAAATCGAAAACAGTGCTTTTTCTTTTGCTAGTAGTTGTCTTAACTAGGAGGAGGGGGGAGTTATTGGTTTGTGTTTGCTTTATTATATATTTTGTATTCTCGTTTTATATTTTTTCTGGTGTGAACCACCCTGGGATCTTCAGATGAAGGGCAGTATACAAATTTTAATGATGATGATGATGATGATGATTGGTTATCATGGTCCCGCAGTTCAGATGAGGGGGCCAGTAAAAGAAATTTCCATAAATAACCACACACTTATACCAAATGCAACACCATGACACTAGCAGTAATTCTTTTTTTCTGTCTCCCCCACCCCACCCCCAAATAATGGCTTTATCACCTTAAGGGGCTGGTGGGTACTTACAGATACCAGTGGACGAATCTACCCACATTTTTTATTTCAGTTTATCCTTTTTTCCCAGTCTTAAGTTCAGTTTAGCACATTGGTTTGCAATTTGTTCCCCTTAAAACCAGGCAGATGACCTTCTCAGTAGTGGTGCCCGCTCTGTGGAATGCCCTCCCGTTAGATGTCAAGGAAATAAACAACTATCTGACTTTTAGAAGACATCTGAAGGCAGCCCTGTTTAGGGTTTTTTAATGTTTGATGTCTTACTTAATTTGTTGTAAACCATCCAGTTTCAGTGCACATTTTAATATGCCCATTTTTCAAACAACTTTGCGCTTATATAATGCATGTTTAAATGCTGCTTTCACTGGCATATACATATTTTTACACAATTTCCTCTAACATGCATGATCTTTTGGTATGAGAACTGCGTTGCAAATTTCAAAGATAAGCTGATTTTTAGTTTGCTTAATCATTCTGGGAAGTATGAGTTAGGCTGATTCCCACTGAAATGTGAACCCACCCAAGTTTCTACACTTTACACCTTTACAAACACAAGTAAAGATGAAGAAATTATCCTGGGAAGTATGTAGGCATCATAAGAAACAAAGAAATATTAATGTGACTATGGAAAAAAGAAATTGGCATGATTTAGGGAAGTATCCAACTAATGTGTCCAGTCAGTGCAATTTCTGCCTGTGCAATGGAACATCCTTCCTCTGCTCCCCCTGTGTGCCTCATATCCTCCCCAAATTTGTTCCAGAAGGTTGGGGGAAAACCCATCATAGATTTAGGGAGCACACAGAGTGCGAGGGTGCACAAGTCTTTGCACTGATGGAATGAGTTATTTAACACTACAGTACTTTGGATACAAGATTCCCCAAGATTATTGATTTGGTGTCAGTTAAGTCTTCATATTTAAAAATCATTTTTCCATGAAGTTTGAAATAAGTCGTCATGCCAGGTTTCTGCCAAGAGAAGGGAGGCTGAGAAGTCAGGGTGTCCATAAACCTGTATTTTAGGAGAAAAGAATCTCTGACCCAAATTGTGTGTTGTAGGGTCAGTCAGTGCATAGGGGGTCCTACAAAAACCAAGGTCCATGGGTTAAAGTTAAAAACTAAATATAAGCCCAACTGAACGGCTGAGGAACAGTCTAAAAGGCTGAGGCTGCTGTCAAGAGATGCTAGATTTATTTTGTTGGTGCAGTGCAGAGAGATGTATGTAATGTTTTCTGATTTCTTGAACCATGATTAAAAGATGAACATCAGGCTGCAAGCTTGTGCGTTCCCCGCTTTTCAGTTTTCATGATTTAGCATGCCATCTGCAGAGGGAAATATTAACCATGGTTACCTTTAAACAGATTTTACAAACCAGCCTCAAATCCCCAATATCGAACTCAGCTTTGTTAAAGCTAGCCATAAGGAGTGTTGACCTCAGTGCAGACTGCAACACTGCAGGACGGATGGGCAGAAGATAGATTGGAATCTCCTGGTGGTTATTTGCAGTCGATTGGAAAGGGTTTCTCCCTCCCTAGAGTTCAACACCAGCAAGTAGAATTGGCAGGACAAACCTGTGTATTAATTGGTTGCCGGTCTTTGCACAGCTGTACTGGCAACTTTTAAGCTTGCATTTTGAAATCCTTACTGTAGAGTAACTCAGACTGCAATATATAGCTGTGTATATATCAGGGGCTACCAGTAAGGATATTCAGAAATTTGAGAAAGTTCCATAGGCACCAGGTTTGTGGCATAACACAAAAGATTTGCCACATTTAAAAGAGCAGAATAAAGAGACAAGAACATAGAACAGGGCAGGAATATTTACCAAGATCTTTTCCAGATACCATAGGAGGTACTGGTGGGCACACTGTCACACATAGGGCCAGGTTGGCAGTCCCTGGTATTTATGCTGTATGGCTTCCTGGGTAAAATAGGTAATTGGCACCATTATTTTGCACCTGACTTTGAAACTGGGGTGGGGCAGGAGTGTGTGTGGGAGAGAAGAGCGAATGCACAAACCCATGAGGCAGTCCTGATCTCTTGACCACAAAACTGCATATGGAGATGTCACACTTTCCCCAATGCTTTAAGCCAAAGCCAACTCATCTCCAGTTTACTTTATTTTTCTCGTTTTCAGTTACAGCGAAACAGAGGACAGAAATGTATTAGTAATACCCAGCTTCTGACAGAGACACTGCCACAACATAGCTTTCGTATCACATTTGCTGATCACCAACATGCATATAGTGATCTGAAAATCTCTTTTTTTTTCGCAGATAGGAATGAATCTTCACTATAAAATAACAGTGACCACTACATTAGCTTTGCCGTCCGTGCATTCAGAATGTCTATTTCAGCAACTCAGGCTTTTTAAGTGCCGCAAAAAATGATTAGTCATCACACTGGAACCAGTTCAGCCCCTGTCGATACTGATAGCCATCCTTTGCAGGAGGGGGAATTTTAGCAGCTCCTGTAAATCTAATAAGGTACTATTTGCAAAATCTCTGTAAAATGCCCTTAATATAGCCTTTGCCATAGGCTGTGCAAAATGGTTTACTATCTACATTATTAATATTAATTATTTTTGCATTGAAAAGGTCACAGTATAGTGGTTTAAATAACTAGCACAATAAATAATAAATTATTATTATTATAAAGTGGAAAGAGGAGGAGTCTAGTTAAACAGCATCAAAGACAGCAGCTGGGTGTATGGCACTTCAGTTCAACGTACTGAGGGCATATCTACACTTCCTCTTGTCCTAATACTTTCCTCCGGGGTAAACTGCTCTTTAGCGCTCAATCTGGGTTTTCTCCAGGTTGATGTTTGCTCCAATTTAGCACTAAAGAGCTGGTTTTCCCTGGGAAAGGAACAGGGGGGAACTGCTTGGACCTGTGCTTTTTAGGCATAGGACAAGCAGAAGTGTAGATGAGCCTTGAGTATCTTCACATATTAAAATAGGGATCAGCACCTGGTGGCCCAGAGACTAAACCCCCTCCCTCAGCAAGAGTTACCATCAGGCTCCTGGAGGAAGCAAAGGGTATATATGTACATGGGAATTGAGGTGATGTCTATGAAGTGTTCCTTTGCTGGCAAAACCATTTGGGACCCTCCATCCTTTCTTAAAAATGGCTCAAGAACTAGCTACTAATCAGGGCATTAGGATGGTCTGGTCTCTCACACACCTGTACAAACCAAACTGCCAAATCTGCAGGAAATCAGGAGTCAAATGATGCAATCCTTGTGCCATTGCGATGGTTTTGAGTTGCAAAATGTAAAAAGGAACCAAGTTGAAACAAGAGCACTCTATCCTTTTTTACCAACACACTTCCCTCCGTCCCATCACCTTGACAAAGTACAACACTCATGCCTCAAAACAATGAAAGAAGCCAAACGCTGAATAACCAGATTCAACAGTGGCTGGTGATCTTAAAATGAAGGCTTTGTTCCATGTGAACTTGAATGTGCTGCCCACCATGGCATCTAGAGTCTCAATCTTAGCTGGCATTTTACAAAAACCTAAAGGTCCTAGTCTTCATATCTGCAGACTAAAGAGTGAAAATGCAGGTGCAGCATCTTCTAAAAGGTAAGGTATGGAAGGGGAATCTGATCAGAACTTCTGGTCAAAAAAGGTTATCTACACAATCCCTTTCTATGATTCCATGTCCCTCATACCTTTTTCCCTTTCATATCTCCTCCCATTAGCTTCCAGCCTTTTGCCAACACGGAAGGGCAAAAAAAGTTAATTTAGGTTTCTGTAAATTTACCCAGGATGGATAACGTAAGTTTCCTCTGGCAGAGTTCAGGTTTTTGATAAGTACGTAGCCCTGTTCTAAGGTTAATAAGAAAAACATCAGAGCCCTTCTGGGTCAGACCAAAGGTCCATCTCTTCCTTCTTCCTACAGTGGCCAACCAAATACCTCACAGACCTGCAAGGCTTTGAAGGCAATAATAGCACACCACCTCTGAATCTGGAGGTTATCGTTATTTCAATTTACCTACCTTTCTTCATATAGCACTAACAGCTGCTGAAGTCATTGATGTACTTTCCGTGAATGCATCTAAGCTCCTTTTTAAAGACATCTAAGCAGTGACCATCACCACATTAATATGGCACTGTATTCTATGAGTTAACTGTATGGAGAAGTATTTTTGCTTATCTGCCCTGAACCTCCCACAAATCAACTTTGAGGGATGAACTCAAATTCTAGTACTGAGAGTAAGAACAGCTGCTTTTTAAAGGTTTATCCTACCTTGCCTTCTGTTCACAAACACACGTGTTCATGTGGATAGCCATGTTGATCTGTCATAGTCATAATAAATAACAAATATAAGCTTTCAAGGTATGAGCTTTCGTGTGTAATACACACTTCGTCAGGTACTCTGAAGCAGAAGTATGTATATATATACCAGAGCTTACATTTAGTTGATCTTAAAGGTGCCAATGGAATTATTAAAAAAAAAAATTTCATCTTTCATCTTGCAATTTCTTACACCTGTTCATGATAGCATCTTAAGCTCCACCCACAGCTCAGAAATGTGCTTCTGTCATGTGGTTAGAATAGCTCCTTAACCTTCTATTAATCCCAATAACAGAAGAGTATGGTTGCAAGGCAAATTCACTCAGACCCAGCAAGGAGATTTCCTCAGATCACTTGCAAATGCAATGGCTTAGTCTAGCTAAACGGTCTCTGGCAGACTGACACACTGCTTATAAGTCAATTGACCTGGTAAAGCTCTTCAGTACCATGCTCTGAGTTGGCAGAAATAATACCTATTACAAGGGAAGTGTCACGGCACACACAAGGGCGAAAACTACCCTGTCCAGCCAGCAGCCTGTCAGGATGACTCTCCTGGCTGCCTTATGGGCCACCTGAAGCAGGCCAAGGCGGAGGAGGAGGAGCCAGCGATACGGCCAGTCTGCGCCCCTTAGACCCCTGCCGTTCAGGTCTCGCTGAGGGGGCTGTGAGCGCATCGCTCCCTGCTCGACTCTCTTCCTTCCCTCATCTATTTTAAAACTATGCTGAAATGGGGCAGCGGTGATGTTTCAGCTACTAAATCTGGAGCGCTTGGCCCATTTCAAGCAGCAAGCATATCAGTGACCAATTTGACAGAAAAGCTGGTACAAAATGAACAGCTGGTAGCAGGACTCAAAGAACTTGTCAGGGAAAAGGATAATGAGTTATGCCTTAAAGCAAAAGAATTAAAGAAAGAAAAAGAAGCACCTGAAACCAAGATTTCCAAATTAAAGCTGCAAAACAAAGCCAAAGTAATATCCTCAACAACACAATTAGAGGAACTCAAAAAGCAATTATCAGGAGATGAAATCCAAGAAGGAATATCCAAGCAAAAGAGAGCTGCAAGTCGTGGAAAAATATTGGTACAATCATACCTCGGGTTAAAGTTGCCTCAGGTTGAGTGTTTTTGGGTTGCGCTCCGCAGTGACCCGGAAGTAACGGAACATAGTACTTCTGGGTTTTGTCGCTCGCGCATGCGCTGGAGTGGCGAATCGCGACCCGCAGACACGGGTTGCATTCTGCTCAGGACGTGAACGGGGCTCCGGAACGGATCCCATTCGCATCCAGAGCTACCACTGTACTTAAAAAGAAAGTTGAGGAACTTGAAAAACCCCAAAAATGAAGAGCTACAGAAAAAGGAGGTGGCTGCATCTTTGTTCTTGGTCTTCAACTTTCTTGATAAGGTTCTGAATCAGAAATTTCATACTCTGCAATGAAGCCTCCTTTGAGAACTGACCTGCTGGGAGCCTGAAGGGCCCTGCGCTGCTTCTCTCCACCTGGCTTGGGGCGAGGCCTGACAGGCTCCATAAAGGACTGCTGCTGCTAGGCAGAGAGTGCTCCGGGGGGTTTTTTTTGGTTTTTTTTATTGCTTTTATTTTTTAATCTATGTCATTTTAAATTGTTATTGATATTAATGCTGTATTCTGAGTTTTAGATTTTATGATTTATGTGGAAGCTGTTTTCCATTTCGTTGTGTACTTTTTGATGTGTTTTATTTATTGCTTATGACTTTTGTTATGTTGGTAATTATGGAAATCTTGTCATGTTGTAAGCCATCTTGAGCACTGTTTTAACTATGGAAAGGTGGCATACAAATAAAATGATGATGTCAAGGATGGCTATCTTTTGAGAGAAATCTATATCTGACCTGTGTGGCTTTTGTGTAGTTGCTCCCCGCACCCCACCTCCTATGTTCTGTAAAATGCCTAACACACTTGTGAACATTATTAAATTCTAAATATATAGTAGCAGCAATATTGTACTTGAGTGCACCCTGGCCCAGAATCCAAGTGCTGTTCACCTGACTATGGTGGGAGCAGGAATAACTGAACACAGCAAGAACATCTCGCCTTTTTCATGTTGCTATAAGGGGAATAAACTGATAGTAGCTTGGGGTAGATTCTAAATTATAGTTATAAAAGCAGCTGAATGAAAATCAACCTTCCTAAAGAGCAAGTCCTGCTTTCTATAATTAGAAAAGACTTGTTGATGAAACTTTGAATGATTATTTAGCCAACTCAGACTGCTTTAAGCATTTAAGAAAAGGGAGGGGGGGCAGAGAGCCCAAAATATCTTTTCATTGCGAAGTTACAGTCTCTAGAAGAACCAAGCTAGTTTCAAAATACATTTAAGGAACCTCTAAGCCCCCATATTAGGCCCAAGTTTCCATCAGACATAATCAATGTGAGACACTATAAGAACAAATGAACTTGCTGGATGGGGCCAGTGGTAAATCTAGTCCAGCATACTGTTCTCCCAGTGGTCAACCAGATGCCCTAACAGGAAGTCCGCAAGCAGGATCTGACTGCAACAGCACTTTCCCCTCTCCTGTGGTTTCCAGCAACTGGTATTCAGGGGTATGCTGCCTGCAGCAGTGGAAGTAGAACATAGCCATCGTGGTGCTCAAGGCACTAACAAGACTGGGCACATGGAATAATGAGGACTGGCAAAGCTTCCCACACTTGTGCACCAGCAATTTGGGGTGTGCCTTAGCCAACTAATAATGGATGTTCTTTCCATGCTAATAATAATTAAAGGTTATAGTCTTAAAATACTTATTGTACATGGGATCATACATTTTTACTTACATTTATATCCCATCTTTCTTCCATGATGGAACTCAAGGCAGGATGCATGGAGTTTTCAACAGTCTCCCATCCAGACACTGACTTCTGCAAGGCTGCTACATCCTTTGTGTCCAAACTATGCCCTAGGGCCCATTTGGGCAAACGACACATATATATATACCTCTGTTGTTTCCAGCTGTTACAGGTCAATATGTACTGGGATCTACAATGAGATGGAAGACTATAGGCAAGGCGGGAAAATTATAGGTAGAAGCAAAGGTCTGGCTGCCATAGGAAGTCAGTAAGATAGAGCAGGCTTGTTCACATACCAAAGCTGCCACCCTCTTCAGAGGTTGACTCAATCAAGAACTAGGCTGTTTGTCAATTAATAGGAAATTCAGGTTGTCACAGTTAAAACTGGGTTGGAGGAGAATGGGAAGGGACAAGGACTCTTCTTCCTTCACTGACAAATGGTCGAGAAAATTGTTTTTCCCATCAATATGGGAAGGATCAGTTCAATTATATTGGTCATGACAGGGCATCTCCAATCTTCATCTCCTTATTAAGTCTCTGCACAAAAGCTTCATTCATAACCAACAGCATGTCTGCATAGCCCTCTACCATCCTTCCTGTCCCTGTCATTCATATTAGATTCACTCTTGCAGAACAGAGGTGCTGATTAAGCAGGCCCTAACCCTACTAGGTTGCAGGAGAAACATCCTCCTGAGTCTAGACTCGAGACTCCTCAACATCTGGGAAGGAAAACAAAAATTAAGCTTTAGAGAATATATGCATTTATAAAGCTGCCGTCATCATTTATGACACGAAATAGGTCTTTAAAATGAAGCAGAATCTGACAGTAACCTACAGATTAAGTAGTCTGCTGAGACCTTAGCTGAGGCAGATCACAACCTGCTTCACTGTAAGAATACTTAAAAGTGGAACTGGAGACCCTCTTCATTTTCATGGGAAACCTAAAGTACCTGGTATTTCTTCCTCTACAACCCATGCAACGTTTTTGAGACATGCCATTCCCAATACAGTCCAAGAGAGAGAAAGCAGCCATAATTTTCCTTTAAAAAGAGAACTGGAACCATCTTAGACTGGGTATTATTCCAGCAAAGTTGGAATTTGCTTTAAGGATTAAAGTAGATGTTACACCCAAAATATTAAGAAAAAGCAGCCTCAGAAGTCTATGACAGGAACCGGAAGAACACTAATGTTTATGCATGCAGTTACTGATAACTCTTCCTCTCCACTCTCTGGTTTTTCAGCTCAAAATTGCCCCCTATCTACCTGTTCCCTGCCCCAAGCTGCTTTTCATTAAATCTCCTCTCAGGAGATTGCATGCAACATTCTGCCTTGCACTAAGATAAAGCAACCGAAAGTGTTACTTACACATTACAGTATTTCCTCAAAAGGATTGCTTGGAATTAGGCTTCTAAGGCAAGCTTGGGCAGCTAATTCCCTGCAGTCCCTCTGCACAGAGAAACAGCAACACTGACGCACTTTGCTGTAGTGACTGGTCCTGCTTGCTTCCCTTTTCTCTCCCCAGCACTGCAGTGCACCTTTGAACAAACACACAGGCAAGCGAAGGCAGCTGGAATCTCAGCTGATTTGTCTTCTTACTTATCCCCTAATTACAGGAAGTAAAAATAAACCTTGCCAAGGAGAACTTGTGTTTCATGCATACTCAGAAGTATCTCAACATTCACCTCTCCTTTTCTTCCCTTTGTATGTAACTTCACAACAATCTTATTATCAATAAACCATGCCCACCCCACAGTGAAGTTTGTGCAGTCCCAGGTATTATCGTTCCAGGGCATATAAATTTTACAAAATCAAGGTCCTTAATTATTCAGGGCCGTATTACCAGAGCAGTTTTCCAGTTACAATGTAGGCCACAACCTTATCAAACTCAAAAGATTAAATGGAGACCTGTGCAGGTAATTCTGCATAATGCAGTCCTGTGCTCCAAAAATATCCAGTTATGAAACCATGTTTCAGTGAAACAGCCTTACAAAGCTGAATATGATCAGAATTCCTCCTTCTGGCCCCAAAAGATCAACACACCAAAAGGGAGGGGCATATTTCATAATACATACTTGAGTTGTACCTATAAAATGATACAAATAAGTTATTAATTTAAGTCTTAATCTTGTTTGAATAAAGAGGAATTTTTATATATTCATGCACGCACACACGCATGCGCACACACACACACACACACACACACTTAAAGTGCCCACCCCAACTTGAATTTGTGCCTGCTTTCAAAAATAAGAGCTTAGTCAACACTGTGGAGTTGTTTTGTGCCTGTAGAAATTAAATATTGCTTTGCTTAGCCCTTTGTAATGGAATTCACTTCCTACCCTGAGAGAGGGATGGGGCAGAGATCTACTCATTTATTGCTCATAGACCTGAGAAAAAATGGGGGTGGGGGGGAGTATCAGCGCTTACTCCTTTAAGAAAGAAGGCGTTTCTGTGCACTGCAGGAGAAACTTATGTACATTTTTGGGGTCTCTCAGGGATGCCAAAGCATGTTAAGCTAGCTAAATCTAGGTATCTAACCTCAGATATGTCTCCTACTTGAAGTAACCTGGAAACCTTGTTTCCTCCCACCCACCCCCATCTATTTATGTACATATTAGCAGTTTGCATGTAATCCCTGCTACCGAGGCACCTTATGCATCTTGTTAAAACACAAATGGCACTGGCTGATGCCCCGGTGAAACTAGACTAGTTTTTGCTACACATAAGAGACAGCTCTACAGGTCCTAATAGGTAAGGCAACACCAGATACAGTAGCTCTACATTTACGTAGAGTTAAGTTGACTGGAAAGAGCCCTTTAAACCATAGGAATCACGTAAAATTCATGCAAAAGTGATATGCAGTCTAATGCACAGATTTGTTAATACACGGTCCAGGAAAATCAGTCTTCAAGGTTTAGAAACTGCAAGTCTATTCCCGAAAAAGCAAGGATTTCAAGCCTCTCCCTAGAAACATCTTTGTGTCCAAACTGCTGTTACTTGTGTTCCCCTAGAAGGCCATCCCTAGGCACTAGCATTCCGCCACAGGACTCTTTGGCTCGTTCTATGGAGCAGACCTGAGGAAAGCATCTCAGCTGAGCAGTTCATTGATCAGTGTTCAGCAAGTTCCTAGATGATGTTATCTAGAAATCAGAGAGCTGCTCTGCGATTGGTTGGAAGATGTTGTTGCTCCACTGAGCTGTGAAAATCCACTGTTGCAGGATTCCAGACTTGTCATGGACCCCCTGGAATAGAAAGAAAGAAAGATGAAAGTTAGTGGGTTGGGGAAGGGTCAACAACCAATTCACCTTCACTTCTTCAATGAAAACCCCAACAGGATTGGTAATCTCTCGTTTGCTGCCAAAAATCTAATTCCACCTTGAAAGAAAACATTTTAAGTGGCAATCCTGATAAATCCTACGAAAGCAGAAACTGGTAGCAAGATTAATATCATCACCATTTTCCATGCTCACAGCTATCCAGATATGCTTAACTGGATCACCTGGAAGACACATACCAACAGTGGAAAGAGACTGATGGCAGAGCTCTGTTGTCCTGGAGAACTGAGTTCACATGGTGATGCTCCAAAGCAGGATTTTAAAAATTGGGAATGCATTCACATTATTGGCACTTGTGAACTACAGGTGTGTTGCAAGCTTATTATCTTATTAAATGAGCAAAACATTATATTGAATTAAAGGACAAAGAAGTAGATCAAAGAAAGCAGCAAGGCAGTTATTAGAACACCTGCTGATACCTTTCAAGAACCATACCAAGCACTGACTGATGCCCATCATCCCCACATATAACAAGTCATGTAATGGCTCCTCCTGCATCCCTCCTACCTGAATTCCTTGGATGCAAGCACCTCATAGTAATACATGATCTTGCACTTGTGGTTGGAGACCTGGAGTGTAGCCAAGACATCATCAACCCGAGAGAGGCTGGTCCCAGCACAGGGAGTTGGGCTGTGCATTTTCCACTGGAGGATATAAAAGCCAGGCCAACGAGTCACATGAGAACCCTGAAAAGTGATAGATAGTGAGAAAACCAATCAGGTAAACATAAAGGATTTATGTTTGTTTGGCTTTGTTTCAAAGCCATCTGGGCATCTTGAAACAAAGGCCAAAAATTGAAGTAAAACGGATGCATGCAGGCCAGGGGAAGTCAACAGATAGAGTCGTTAACACTTTCCAACTAACTGGGTCTTTTTAGCTGAAACAGGGATTTGCAAAGTGTGATCCAAATGCACCTAATCTGAGGTTCCTTGCAAGTTTATCAGGGGCTCCTCAATGACAAGCTTAGTAATGGTTGAGAAGCTTGCTGGGCCAATACCAATCTTTCCCTACAGTGTGCAGTCAAAGAAGAATATTGGGTGTGCACAGGAATTCACCTTCAGTTCATACGGGGCAATGGTGAAGCTTGGCCAGGGCCCTTCATGAATTGAGCATGTGACATAAACAAGTTCCAGTACAACATGCCAGGATTCCATAGCAGATTTGCAGGGATTCCTTGGCAGATATTGATATGGAAAGATCTTAAAAGGAAGAAATTTTGAAACCCATTCCTCTGAGACATAGAACTTAATTCTGTGTGATAGGCTTTCCCCCCATGTTTAGTCAACAGTAATAACCAGGGTATTCTACTGGATAAAGTATACTGGGCTTTACTATGAGAAGCCTGGATTCATGTACAGCCATTAACGTGTTAGAAGGCTTTTGGCAATTCACTACTCTCTCTGGTTCAGTTTTCCATCTATAAAAGGTAAACAGCAGCAACAAAAATAAAATGCAGTGAGAGGGGGCACTTCACTGCACATTTAATACAGTGGTGCCCCGCAAGACGAATGCCTCGCAAGACGGAAAACCCGCTAGACGAAAGGGTTTTCCGTTTTGGAGGTGCTTCGCAAAACGAATTTCCTATGTGCTTGCTTCGCAAGACGAAAATGTCTTGCGAGTTCCTGCGGGGTTTTTTTCCTTTCCCCCCCCTTTTCCCCAAGCCGCTAAACCACTTATCAGCTGATCGGCTAAGCCGCTTAACAGCTGATCGCTAAGCCGCTTATCAGCTGATCGTTAAGCCGCTTATCAGCTGATCGTTAAGCCGCTTATCAGCTGATCGCTAAGCCGCTTATCAGCTGATCCGCTAAGCCCGCTAAGCCGCTAATACTGTAGCGCTAATCCGCTAAACCGCTAATGGGCTTGCTTCGCAAGACGAAAAAACCCGCAAGACGAAGAGACTCGCGGAACGGATTCTTTTCGTCTTGCGAGGCACCACTGTATATTATAAAATATGTAACATCCCAGAACTAAGTGCCACAGGAAGCTTTTTTTCACAGTTGGTGGATCAAATATGCTCACTAGCAGTTGATATCAAGAAGCTCCTCACCCATGTTGGAATTTCACAGAACAATGAAATGGCCTTATTTCGAAAACTGTTGAGTTTGTAAGCCACCCTGGGAATATTTAATGATGGGTACCTATATTAATGTAATTTTAAAAATGAAAAAGGGAAGTTCCCAAATATTTATGACAATCAAACCACAAAGGCCAAGCATGAGATCTTAGGCACGGAACTGCAACTGACCTGGATGCTCTCGCCTTCACGACACACCAGCTGGGACTCCACACGGCTATAGTCCACCCCCAGGACCCAGCTCTTGCCTATTAGCTGTATATTATCCCCCGCAGTCAAAGCATTTGGCACTGTAGGCTCCTTGCGGCAAATCTCAGGTGCTCTCTTGGAATGGAAGAGGCTGAACACGACATCTCCTTTCAGAATGTCGAAGTCCCAGGTGATCACCGATTCACCTTCCAAGATTTCCACAACTATCTAGATTAGATAACAAACGACAGCATCCATCCTGTTCAATTCAGTGCTGGCGTTGGCCCAAAAATCAATTAACTAGTGCAGCAACATCTGGCTCTAAGCAACACAGAAATGATTCTCCTTTTTGGGAGGAACTAGCAAACTCAATAAATGTATTTTAAAAATTATTCCAATTTTCTCCTGACTGTGCAGAACCTAAGCACAAGATGCCAAGCCTCACACACTAGCTCTGTATTTGTGGACAACAGTTCCTCCATGGGGTGCCCCAGTTCAGAATGTATATTAGTTGGGTAATAGGGCTTATGCCAAAGCAGGGAGATCTTAAGAGACAACCATCCACCAGTGCTTCTACCAATACCAGACTGAGCACTTCTTACAGAGACTCAGAATAACTATGAGTAGGAAGAGTAGAGTTTTAATTCTGCCAAGAATGAGGTATTTGGAGCACATACATCAGGAATTTGAAGAAATGCTTCTAGACCCCAGGCAATGTTCCTTTCCTTTACAGCATCTCCAAAATTCCACCTAAACCTAACTGCCAAATCTAGAAGAGCACAGAGCATTCACCATATACACATACTTTTTGTTCTACTGTTTTTAACCCTTCTATTGACCAGAATAACTTCCTCATCCTACCTCATGAGGAGCACCTTTGAATATATTTGCAGAGTGATAGATGGTTTCTGTCCAGAGGCGGATGTGATCAGAGATTTCAGGCTCTTCATCTGTTTGATAGAGTGATTTGGGAACAAGGCCACCTTCAGGCACATTACACTGTGGGATGGGGGAGAGATGGGGAGTGAATTTCAAAATGCAGATCAACACTTTAAAACAATGCCAACTGACAGAATATCCCCTGCCATTTCATACAGCACAGCCTCACCTTCCTACTATTTAGCAAGTAAAGTGAGAGAACAGAAACAATCTCATCCCCCACCCTGCCCACTAAAGCACCTTTTAACTAGATGCAAACAGGAATAGATATAGCAACCAGATGAATTCTGAAAGCACTTTTATTATTTCTATCTCACTCATTCATCCACATATACATATACATACTTTAGAGAATGACCATTATTCGGACTCGCATGTCCTCAATCTTGCTGTCAATGAAGTAGAAGGCTGGCTGATAAAAAGGCTTTGCCAAACTAAGAAGGTAAGAGGGTCTACTGTAAATAGTAGGAAGCCTAGTCCAGCCTAGAAGCCAGACAGCAAAAAATCATGGAAGACAGACACTGCAGTCTGTCTGCTGCTCCTTCAAGACGGAACATAGCAGAAAATGGGACAATGCAGTTATGCAGTTTGTATGAATGTATGCAAATATTAATTTGCAAGGCTCATTTTGGGGATTACGGTTAAAGAGCAAAAAGGCAGATTCTGAAGAATAACAGGGAGTTTGGATCTTTAATTTGGTACAGTGTGTATGCTAGATGAGCTAGAATGCACTGTGAATAAATGTGCTGCTCAGTGAATTTTCTGCTTGTTTATTAAAAATATGTACCTAAAATAGCATAGCATTTAAAAATAGCATATTTTTAAATTGTCTAAGTTTGAATTTTAAATTGCTGTAACCTGCCCTGTGACCTTAGGGAGAAAGGCAGGCAAGAAATCAAATCAATAAATAATCTCCAAGCAATTAACAAAACAATGCAACAACATTTAATAACACTTCTGTTGAAGAGGTCACTCACTCATTTCTAATTGAATCTGTACTATGATAAACCATCCGGTCTGAATTTTTACAATAGTTTTGCCAATTGCCATAAAAAGTAGAAGTGTTATCTGAACTATGATAAACGATTCATAAGTCAAACCAAGCAGTTTTTTTGCCAACAGCCTGAAGGGGAAAAAATAACTCACCAAAGCATCTTGAATTCTAGAAATAAATCACTAATTCTGCTCTAAACAGGGTGCCCCCTGAGGCAGCATAGAGATTACAAATTATAACATTGACAATTGACTGGATCTTACATCAAGGATATAGACAGCATTTTTCTTTTGGCAAACGAAGGACACAGAGACAGTAATGTCTCTGCAGGCTACTGAAAACATTTTTGTTAAAATAAGTAATCTTTCCAACAGAAATATTTTGACTTTATCCATAGGCCCACATACTGTCCTCCTGCATTGTGTAACAACCCAAGTAATACTGTACAGCAAGTACTAATAATAGCACAAGTGCAGACTGCCATGCCATATTTGTATACAGTTATTAAAGCTTCTTTAGCCTTCTTTCCAAAACTAAGAGTAAAGGTTATGCCCTGATGTTCATACAGACCTCAGCACCAACAGGAGCTTGTATCTCAATTGCACACAGCACACTAATAGAACTAAACATTTTATAAGGATGTAATGTAAGATAAGCAAGATTAAGCCTCACCTAAGAATTTTATACTACACACTTTCTCCAAACTTACCACACATTCTCCTCCAAGGAAGTCTGGAATCACATCTTTGTCAAGATAATCCACAAGCCCTCCAGGTCCCTGATAATTGTTGCCACTGTAAATGAGGAACTTCTGCCTAGTGTTCTCATTGATAAAGGGACTCACCTGAAATAGAATGTAAAAGCTATTCTTCTCAGTCAGGACACATTAAAAAAAGAACGGTCAAGTCCCACCAAAAAGCATTTTAAAAACTCAACCCACAAGCCAGTCAAACAAGTCACTCTTGGTCTTTAGCAAGTCTCCAACTGGAGGAATATTTTCTTGTGGTAGGGTGGACTTGAAGAACTCTCTGTAAATGCTTGATATCTAAACCTAGTGCACAGATGTTAAAAAAGCACTCTCTGTTGAACTTAGAAACCATAAAATGAGATGAGTGAAGAGGCAGGCTTTAATGTTGGGGTTATACCATGTAACACTTTACCAGTCAAAGTTTCTCCTATAATTGAATAAAAGGGAAAAGTAAAGATACTGGAGGAAGATGTGCTCCACAGAATCATAGAACTGTATAGTTGGAAAGGATCCTGGGGGTCATCTAGTCCAACCCCCTGCAATGCAGGAATCTCAACACACAGTCCCTCATCCAATTTGAAACTGTGCTGGTCCCTGATTAGTTTTGCAAATGTGCTGGCAGTTTTTTTGTGCATCACCAGGAGGTATATTCAGTGTTTCTCTTCTAGGAAATAAAGGGGCTGGTACTCATCATGAAGTTGTTACAGTAAGTGACACATTTTTAACCAGTGCTTTACTTCTAGAAAAAAAGATGTCAGTGCTGTGTACCCTTGAATGCCCCCAGAAAAATGGACTGGGTATTTTAGAGGAAGACTAGAAAGTTACATAAACAAATCAACAGTGCCAAAGTTAATCAGCGCAGACCTTGCATTTTTGAACCCAAGGACTATCCCAAACAAGATATGGCATTATTACCTGTAATACAGTAATACAGTAACTCTCACTGTAAAGGTGTTTTACATCTTACGGTTATCTTCATTCTGGCACCAAAATATAAATTCTGCATTAAATAAGTTGCTACTACCTGGACAGGAACCTGAACCCAGAAAAGACATATCCTTGTCTGTCAAAGCAGAACTCATAGGTTTCCCTTTTCATTCCCTGGTGGGACCCAACAGACTAGTAACATCTTTTCGTTAAGGCCAGAGCCAAGAGTAGGTAGCGTCTCCCCAGCACCATCACTCACCAGAGTCCATAGAACAGGGAACACTCTGGGTGCTCGCACAATCAGAAGCCTTCCCAAGGTCTCTGGGTAGTTTTCTTCAACCACTTCAATAATCCTAAGGAGCGCTTTTACTCCAGGGCGCCAGAGGTGGCGCATGTTCAGCCCTTCAAGGTCAACGAGACAGGTCCAAGATCTGAAAGAGGTGAAATCCACAAAGCTGTTTCTCAAGCTACACATTTGGCATTCAAAACCAGAAGCAACGAATACAATCTTCCTGTATGAGGCTTAACGGTGTTTTCACAAGTGCTGCACAGAACAGTGCATCTGTAAATGGCACTCCCACAAATTTGTAAAGTGTGAAAAAAGCTACCGTACATGGTAAAGGACCTCTGGACGGTTGAGCCAGTGTTTGTCCGGGTCATGTGGCCAGCAGGACTGAACCACTTCTAGCACCATGGGACACCGTGACGGAAGCCAGAATGCACAGAAATGCCGTTTACCTTCCCGCTGCAGCAGTACCTATTTATCTACTTGCATTGGCATGCTTTTGAACTGCTAGGTTGGCAGGAGCTGGGGCAGAGCAACGGGAGCTCACCCCATTGCGGGGATTCGAACTGCCAACCTTCCGATTGGCAAGCCCAAGAGGCTCAGTGGCTTAGACCACAGCACCATAGAAGTGACAGGTTCCAGATTAAAATGCATCCCTAGCACTAGCTGTGAAAAGAATTCTGCTCTGAGGACAAGGCATCAACACGCTTTTAAAAAATGTTCTCTTATTTACATGAAGCAAAAGAAGAAAGGGGTCATTGCATAACTGGGTGGATACTAACGTGATTGGGCGGCCAAATAGATTGGTGTTTTCCTCACACCTCCTTTGTCCTTCCTCGTTAATTGACAGTACCTGAAAGGAGAACAAATGAATGACTTCAGTTACTAAGGAACATCCTCATACCTTCTCTAAATTTTAGGCTTTGCAAGTTATGACAAAATTTTACTTAGAACATAGCAAGACCAATTAAGACCCTGTTGTAATATTTCAGGTTATAAATGATAAAATCTCCCCATTGTGTATTGTTGGCATCAGTCTGTCTTCAGAGACAATGGAGTGCCCCTGGGGGTGATGTCAAACCAAAGGGACCTTCCCAGGGCACAAGCCTGGGCACTTTGTATGAAAATCCTGGAGTGCCCAGACAACAAGGCATTCCGCTGATGTGGTCCAAAAGAAAACAGAGCAGGCTTTTCCTTCTCCAAACCTGGGCTACGTTCCCAGATTGATAAGCCCCATCTGCCCCTCACTTCCCTCTAAAGCACATGCAGAAACTGCCTTCTTGAGTACTGGACCTACTGAAACCTGAAGCTTTTCTAGAGAAACCATGCATAGATAATACAAAGGAAGCATCTCCTTACATGACGAAGGAGTGACTCCTCTCCCAGTGCTTTCACAAGACCTTTGGTGTCCATCTGACCAAGGCGAAGTATGTAAAGTGGCCTTCCATCTTTAAAGACAAAAAATAAACAAAGCAGCTGAATGAATATGTTTTTGCACTGTTTGTGTCCTACTGTACTTAACTGGGAATATTAAAAAATTAAAGGCATGATTGCCTAAGTATGTTCCCATCCAATTTCTTTTTGGAACACAGAGGACATCTCAGGCTGCTTCGCTACATTTGCCAACTTGTGAAATGTGAAATTTATCAACTCTGAAAATGCATGCAGGGAAGTAAACATAGACCAGCAATAGGTAAGAAGTTTAGAGATGCAACACGGAAGAACAGAGAATGGATTCAACTAAACTTTACTGATTACATATGACCATTCCTGTGTTACAATAAGACTTCTTGGTTCTTGCTTGCACGCTTTCAGAAATTAAGCGCAGAAGTACTCAGAGGTGTCCTTAGGTGACAGAGTGACATGTGGCCTCGGTCACCCCACATAACATAGTATGTCCCAGAGCACAGCACCCTGGCTTAAAGTGAGCTTCCCACCTTTGTCATGGTAATGCCAACCACCAGTATAGTATTCTTCCAGAAGAGAAGGTGGTCTCCATGTTTGCAGGATGTAGTCTACTTGGTACTGCTTGCGCCAGGTCAGTGACTGGCACAGCATCTCTCGAGCCTTGTCAATGTTGAAGTCACGAGCCCTCAAAAAACGGAGGATATGTTCATCTTTGGGTATCTGAGCAAAAAAAGAAGAAGGCAAGACTCATCCTATTGTCAAAGGCATGACCCTTTAAAGAATTCCTGCAGAATAAGAACAACTCATATGTCAAATTTTGAAAACACAAACAAACAAACTACTGTCCTCATTAACAATCTAGAATATAGGGGTACCTCCGTTTATGAACTTAATTCATTCCGGAGGTCCATTCTTAACCCGAAACCGCTTTCGCTAATGGGGCCTCCCGCTGCCGCCGCACCGCTGGTGTGCGACTTCCGCTCGCATCCCGGGGCAAAGTTTGCTACCCAGAACACCTACTTCTGGGTTAGCAGAGCTCATAACCCGAAGCGTTCATAAGGAGGACGGTATGTAACCCAAGGTTCCACTGTACAACTAAGTTTAGGCCCAAGTTATCTGCTTCTTCTGTTCTGTCTAGCGATTGCTGCATTTTAATCACCCAAATCAGTCAGCACCAACACAGGTTGACAACTTGCAAAAGACCTGCTGGAGGAGAGATATGCGGAGACCCTAGAAAGAACTGTGAGTAGAGGGCTTTTATATTTGCCACAATTTAGACCCCCTGGGAAACTCACCCAACCTAAGCTGCTGTAGCGGGGTGCTGGGTGTGTGGAGAGTAGCTGAATGAGACACAGCTGTGGGCAGCTTGATTGGGCTCCATCAACCTTGGTGTCTGCCCATAATGGTTTAATTGTGTGTTTCTGTAACATTTATCATTGTTTTCAGTGTTCACTGCTCAGAGATATTTATATATATTAAGTGATATAGAAATGGTCTAAACAAAAACCTTGAACAATTTCAGCAATGTGTAAAATAGAGGAAAGGCAGGGTCCCTTAAATATAAAAATATGCAGTAGGTACAAGGATACTAGTTCTATAATAAAGTAATTAAGACCACCTGATTGCTAAGTCGGCTTAATATTTACTTTCACCAAACAGACAGCTTACCTTGCCTTTGTGTGTTTCTTGCAACCACTGACGGAGTCTGATCAGGCAGCTTTCCTGCATGGGAGTCAATTGCCCTAGGTACCTTTCTATGTAATCAGCATCTAGTTTGTCAGCTGAGGAGCAGGAAGAAAACAGGCCCATAAGGAAGCAAGTCAATAAGACCAGTAACATATTTCTTCCAATTATTATTGCTTCCAACAGCAACACAGCAAAACAGCTTCTGTCTTATACAAAAAATGGTGGAATATAGTTGCAATAAAATAAAATTTTAAAGAAATCAAAATAACAATAAATGCAAAATACCTAGATGAACTGGAGTGGAATATCACCCCTTAGCATGTACCTTTATTACAAAGCAGCTATAGGCACTATTTTTACAAGGGGGGAAATGATATTCCATCAGTGCTCACAAAAGGGACTACAGCAGGACAAAACACAAACCCTTTGCTATGTGGGCACTCTCTGGATATAATAGTGCAAGGTACTGGAACAAGAGACAAGTAGAAACATTTGGAGTAGTAAGGCAGATATGCACCAACAGGCATGCACAGCCAACCACTAGCAAAGAGGACTCTGTAACAGGAGGAGAATATCCTGGGATTGCAGCTGTGATGGGAGCAAATGGGAACAAGAGGGAGTGAAGGAGGGAAAGGATTTTCTGGATTGGCTCCATATAATGTTTTTGTTCCTGAACTCAGTAGTCCAGAGTAGACCTGATGAAATGCCTTAGGATAAGCAGCTGCCAGACTGCAGGAATGCCATAGTCAAAATTAGGCTCTCCCAAATTATCCAGAACATAAAGATATCTAGTTACAGGTAGGTAGCCGTGTTGGTCTGCCGTAGTCAAAACAAAATTTAAAAAATCCTTCCCGTAGCACCTTAGAGACCAACTAAGTATGTTATTGGTATGAGCTTTTGTGTGCATGCAAACTTCTTCAGGTATGCACACGAAAGCTCATACCAATAACAAACTTAGTTGGTCTCTAAGGTGCTACTGGAAGGAATTTTTTTAATTATAAAGATATCTAGAGACAGGATTGCAAACTATTGGTCAGGCATGAAAAAAGAAAGGAGGGTAAGCTGTGGCAGGTTTCAAGCTGAAAAATGCTGAAAGCATCCTAGTGAGATAGCAAGGAACTGCTGACTGGCTTACAAGCACATACCATCGGGCGTTGATGCCTCCACAGAGGAGCAGGTGCTGCCTCGCTGTTCTTTGTCACTTCCGTGTGGGGGTGCTGCTGCTGGTACAGTGCCACACTCACATCCTGATGAAGGCCTCTTAGCTGTTTTCCCTCTGACTGCTGGAGGAGTCCATCGGGGGATAAAAGTGATCCCCTGGGAAATCAGTTCCTTTAGATAATGCTCTATCACTTCTTTGCCCTGAAAATTAAATGATTTATTAGAGTTATATTCTCAGTCTATATGGCCTATATAGATTTGTCAATGAAGGATATTTACATGCAAAAGAAAATGTATGCAATGTTTGCCTAGTTAGTGGATGGAGTTCTAGGTGTGAATCTAGGTTCAAATCCAGTTTTATCTGTGAACTTTATTCCAGCCGTACCCTCTCAGGCCAACGCCAACACACCCACAACCCACACACTTGCAGTATTGCCTATGTTCCCTTTAACAAAATTAATCTGGCAAGTCCAAGTGTTCTATCATTTGGAGACATCTATACAGCAAACACACAAACACATTTGGATGTATAAACATTATCTCATATTCTCTATATTTAATATGTTACAATATGAGAAAGGATACCCTGGAATAAACAAAATAAATCAGGAATAGAAAGATGGTTAATTCTTTTAAAAATATTTGCATTCCCATTTAGGAGAACACAAAGAGCTAGTGTCTTAAACCTGATAGATCCATCCCAGAAAAGGCAGAGCCTAGGAAGGACGTAAGGTCTCATTTGGGCACCACAACTTATCAAAACACGTCGTGACCTTGGGGCTGTGCAAGGTCCAACTGCTTGAGTCCAATCCAATCTGCTCTCCTGACTTGTGGGCTGATTTAAACCTGCTTTCTTTTTGATGACAACATTCTCTAGTTCTGCTGGCTTGCAGGCAGAGCAGGTCAAGACAATAAAGTGCTTGGAGTTATGCTTGGGCAGTATCTTACAGCAAGTTTTGTCTAAAGTAATTCATTTATTCTATTTATTCAACCAATCACAGCTCACCCGCTTGATGTTGGCTGTGTACTGTTTCATTGCAATTTTCTCCACTGTGTTTTCGAAGCCAAAGAATGACTTGATGTCAAGAGATGCAGATTGTTCAAAGCATGTCCAGTCTTCATTCTCAGGGTGAACCTAACCTCAGACACAGATATGTCACAGTTAGAATAAGTGCAGCATACTCTAGAAAGGCTGTTCATGATAAAGGCAGTGAAACCAGTTCTCAAATGTACTTCCTTTTTGTCTGTTCTCCTTCTAAGAAGACTGAACATTTCTTTTGGTGTAATTGTCAAAAAGGAATAAAGTGTGCAGTTGGCAGCTGAAATGATGACTCACCTTGAAAACTGGTTTATATGGACATCTATTGCCTAGTGTTCCTACCTATTGGAAACAGGGTTAGCGTGGCATTTGAACTGCTTTGCCTCAAGTCACAAAGTTTTCCTGACACTTGAGGGAGTTTGTAGTTTCTGTTCCAGTCACTGTAGCAGTAGATAGGCTATCCACCCAGTGAGAATGGATGGAAGATTCTCAGCAAAATAAATTGACTGAGGAAAATATAGAATTAAAGCCAAGCTGAGAATGAACTCATAAAGCTCAGGCTCTATAAAAGTATTCCTCTTTCCCTCTCCCACTCATCAGAAACAACAATTGGTATGCCAATTATAGTGATATTCCATGAAGTCACCCTCTTTCAGAACTCAAGTCAGATCAAGAACTAGATGTGATGGTGGGAAACCCATGTGCTGAACAGCTGTAAAGTAGGGGAGAGAACACAATCTCCAAGTAAAAAGCTGTGGGCAGGAGGGGTTGCTGAACCCTTCTGATGGTTCCCTCATACCATTTTTCTTCAAGCTTGAAGATCTGAAATATGCCAGCTAGTAGAAAAATAGTGTGGAGGGCGAAGCGACAGTTGGAAGGATTCAGCACCACACCACCCACCATTTTCCCACTTGAAATCACCTGTCTAACTTTTCAGCATTTTGGTAGTGACCTATATTTGAAGACAAAGGTCTGCTTCCTTCATGTCTCATTCCATCCTCAGGCAGCACCTGAGATAAAGCCAAAGAGACAGCAGAATAGAAGTGCCACTGTATTTTTAAGCAGCTGCACACAACACATTTGTTCTTAGCTGTAGAGAAATAGACTGAAATTTAAGAGACCTGTAGGCTTTAGTCACAAAAGGTCACCCAAAGCAGCAGAAGTTCCAAGTCTCTCAGCTTTCAAGAAGCTGCTGTCTTGAATACATGCCAACAAAGCAGATAAGTAAGGTAACACAATCTGAGCTTTTGTTTATCAAACACAAATGGGTATTTAATTGCTTTCAGAGATAGACTAAGCTCCTCTTAAATGTCACTGGTAGAACCAAGCCATAAACCTCTGCTGCACCAAATACAGGCTTACATGGCAGATGACACACCATTGTTATAACAGCTACCTGGCTACATAGTGATGGGGTTGCAGCAAATATCACTAACAAAAAAATAAGTGGGAGACATAAGGCAGAAAGAACATGAGGCAGGGAATCTAGGAACTACGTTCACTTAGGGTACAGTTGTTCCTTCTGGTTTCTGCTGGTCTAATTATGAGAGTTTTGAAGTGCACAGCTATATTAAGACAATCGATAGTATAGACCAGAACAGCCCTGTACCAAATTCAGCTCCTCCTACCTTACAATCCCTGGGACCAAGATAACAGCAGGCATTTTGCTAATCTAATGTTAGATATTGCAGCTTGGTAACATGTGTGTCAGGCTGATCAGTTAAGCATTGGCAGAACACAAATGTATGTTCAACTCAAGTGAAAACCACAAACACAGACAGCCTTATAACTGTCCTAGTAGCCCTCTGCTTATCAACACAACACCGTATTTCATGCATACTGGTCGCCACCGCATAATAGTTGCACCTCCCCTTTTCTGGACCCCCGAAATGGTCCCAGAGCATTCCCCACATAATAGTCGCAGGGTAACTTATGCGGCTCCACTAGGCTTCAGGCCCCTTCATTTCCTCCTCCAGCTGCTGCCACCCCTGCTCCCCTTGTACCTTGCCATCTCGGCCATGAGCTTCTAGTAGGAGCGGAGTGGGAGAGAATGTTTCTCCCCATCCCGCCTGCTGCTTTTTTATTGTTGTTTCAATGGGAACCAATGTAGGGGATGGCCAGGCCATGTGCACTGAGGGGAGACGTGGCGGGCGGTGGCAGGCCTGGCTGCCGGCACCACTCGTTTGCTGTTCCCACGGCATTCCTTACCAGAACTTTCTGTCCAAATTTGAATGGCTATTCCGCTCTTGCAATGCAAAATATAGAGCGGTTTCGTTCACCATAGAGATTCTGATAAATGAGCGACACCACTGCATGTCAGTAGTCTGGACAAGAGAACATACGCACAAGGGAGCCTTCATTTTTACAGAAATGTACACTAGTGTCTTTCTGTTTTCTCTCCCCATAACAACAGTTACTTTGTCTCTGGTTCACGCTCACTCTCCCCGTGGCGCTGGCCCGACTCCTTGGATCCACCTGCTGTAGTCCCTACTTTTCTACTCTCACATAATGGTCGCACTTTCGTATTTCCCTGCATAAAAGTCACCAACCCCTTTTAGGAAAGGAAAAATCGTCATCAAAAACGCAACCATTATATGGTGAAATACGGTAGCTCTGGAACTAGATGATTTTTCAACATCAGTACAGTACTGCTATTTGGATCTTAGCTAAAGAGAACCAAGAAAAAAAGAAAAAATAACAACACAATCCCATCTGAAATGTATACCTCACCATTCAGCAGCCAACTACTATGCCCAGAGCACTTTCCCTTTTTTCAGTTTAGGACACCTCCAAAAGCAGCAAGCAGAGATAACTTATTTTCTTTGCCAGTATAAGTATAAGGGTTACAACCCTTCAAACAAACATAGAGAGATGCAAATCCAAACCAGTAAAATCTGCATTCAGTTACAGCCTGCTGTACAAGCCTGAGAATGTTATTCCTAGTAACAATAAGACAGAAAGCACTACTAGAGCCACCAAGATTCAAGCCCACCCAATGCACTTTGAAGAGAAGGGAAATCTGATAGACAGAATGCTTACTGAATAGTTACATGTCTCCAGGACAATGACACGGTTGGCAAAAGTCTCATTATGAGCTTCAATCACAAGAGTTCGCTCCTTCCAGTTGACTGTGTTTTTTTGTATGAAAAAGACATACTCTACTCCAGCAATCTGAAAAAGAGAAATAAGATTAGCATGTAAGGACTACAATGGAATATATTACGAGCACAGCCCAGGCAGCCTTAAGAGCACATGTCTATGAGGAATCTTAGCTCTCACCTTCTTCAGTAACCGAGGTGCATCTACATTCAATTTACAGCTGCGTTCAATTATGTGGATGGATCCATCATCACTCTTGGATTCACTAAGGATCTCACTGCCCAGGAAAACAGGGATCTCTGGGCAAGTGGGGAAGCGCTTTTCATAAGCCTGAAACACACACACACACACCGAGAGAGAGAGAGAGAGAGAGAGAGAATATGTTAATGCTGTAAAGACCATTCTTCTGTTCTTGGAATCTTCTTGTTCTTTATCACACAACTCTGCAGCACACATCACTGTAATGAATGAAAGTGGATGGTGTTTGAAAGTTCTTTTTTTTTTTTAAAGGTGGATGAATGCCTGTGACCCTGAACAGTAACACACACATGGAATCTGCTGTGCCTTTCCTCACTGAATGCCTGTGCAGCTGTGTGTGATTATTAAATATTAAAATAATATTGAATAAAATGATTATGATGTGATTTGGGCTGAGGTGAAACCATGGTAGAGGTCAGTGGAAGTGTTATACTCAGACTTCAGAGTGGTGTAACAGAGTGTTGGACTAGGACCTGGGACACTAGGGTTCAGCATGCCCAGTGGTCAGGGGTGATAGAAACTGGAGTCCAACAATATCTTAATGGACACAGGTACCACATTCTTCATCTACTTTGACTGGCAGCAGCTCTCCAGGGCGGCAGACAGAGGAAGTTTCCCACTTCTTGCTACATGACCCTTCTTTCTTTTCCTGGTGGTACCAAAGATTGAAGCCAAGACCCTCTGCATGCAAAGGATGTGACCTACCATTGAGCTGTACCCCCTGCCCAAACACAACATGAAAAGTCAGGACAGAAAAACCCTGGATAGCTATTAAAAATAGTAATAAGATAAAAGAATGTTACATGCCATGCCCAATCTCTGCTGAGTAGTAGTTAAGATTTCAGGGGGTTCCAGGCACTCACCCAGGGTTGTGTTTCCATTGGAAAATCAAGGCACAGAGGAGTCTGTAGTGTCTTAGAAATATGGTTTATTCATACATATCTACACCTGAAGCCTTCAATGGAGAGAGAGTGCAAAACATTACACCCCAAGAGTGTCCTTTGTTGTTCCATTCATAGCTTCTGCAAGCTTGGGTCCAAAGCAGCAGCCAGTCATGGCCCCTGGTTTCTCAGTGCAGCCTCTCCTAGCCAGTGCGCATGGAGTTCTCCCTAATTTCCAGAACACCTTGCCAAAAACCTCTGTGTAAGAGGACAACTTGTTTTCCTGTAACATCACACCCATGCTGCCCTGGCAACCTCCCATAAGGTCTTTTGTCTTGTGGATGGCTTTTGCAAACCACAGAGCCTAGGGCTTGCCAATCAGAAGGTCGGCAGTTAGAATCCCCGAAACGGGGTGAGCTCCCATTGCTCGGTCCCTGCTGCTGCCAAGCTAGCAGTTCGAAAGAACATCAATGTGCAAGTATATAAATAGGTACCGCTCCAGCAGGAAGGTAAACGGCTTTTCCATGCGCTGCTCTGGTTTGCCAGAAGCGGCTTAGTCATGACCTGGAAGCTGTCTGCGGACAAACGCCGGCTCCCTCAGCCAGTAAAGCAAGATGAGCGCCGCAATCCCAGAGTCGTCTGCGACTGGGCTTAATGGTCAGGGGTCCCTTTACCTTTTAAATGGCAGGGCCATTATCTCCATCTGCCCTTCTATCTGGCAGAAAAACAAGCTCAGCCTGTCAGCTCACCTTTATTATCAAGGCTCTGATTAAACCCTAACACCCAATAATTTAGAGGGGGAAACCTGGGAGATCCCTGTTCCCCCACTAACTCATAACAAGAACTTTTGAAGACTGTTTAATTACTTTTTATTTGTATAAAGGATATTTTTAGTTTAAAAAATAATGCATTTCTTTCCTCCTCATTTTTTAGATCAACTTTTAGTTTCAAGTAGCAAGGGATTATTCCCCATTGTTTGACTCCCCTGTTGCCCCCAAGTTCCTATCCCGTCCTTTGGGGGGTATTGTTTTGTTCTTATTATTGTTTATTGTGTATTTTGTATTTTTATGCTGTGTGCTTCCCTGAGATTTATGAATGAAGGTTGGTATACAAATTTAATAAATCATCACCGTCATTTTCTAGCTGAAACACAAAGCCCTTGTGTTATGTAAGATGCCCTGTCCCCAACTGGCTCTTGGAAATCAATACAGACTATGGGAAACACACAACTACTGTTATTGTTTTTTGAGCAGTTGTTGTTAGACTGGCTCATACGAAAATCAGTTGCTATGTGGCAGAAGTTGACCAATAGATATGTCACAGTAGTAAAGGATCTACAGTGAAGGTCTCCAGAGACAATGCTATGCAGGGCTACTATTTTGGGCAGAATCCCAAAAACACAGAACAATGGAGCATTTTAAGAAATACACAATAGTCTGCTTCAGGCCAATCGGGGGCTCTGGCAAGTGTCGAATGGCTTATACTGAAAAACTCAATTATGCTAGATTTTAGAACACGCCTTTGGACTTCTATATCCAAGACATTTAACAATCAAGATATTTTGCAGCACAGTCGCTGATCACAACTCAGGCAAGCAGTGAACAGCTGATGTTATATTTAACATGGTTCACCTTTAACATGACAACTTTGCTAAAGATTAAATTACATTTGATGATGCACAAGTCACCATGACCTCTCAACTTTGTGTGGTGCAAAATTCCTGTATGGATCAAATAAGGGGAGAATACTGTAGGTAAGGTCTATATAGGTTTATTACTCAGGATTTGCTAGGGGAAATGATGATAATAATAATACATTTAGGGATGAAAATCTTCAAAAGATAGATGAAAGTTGTTTCAGCTGGAACTTGAGAAGGAAATGGCATTATGAATAGATGCAAACCCTTTCTATAAAATAAGATGTATTCCTAGAAAAGATTCTAAAAAGATATACATTAACCCAGCAATTCTCTCAATATATGTGATTTTAAAACAAGATTTGGAGTCCTGCTGAAATTGTGGAGCGGAGCAAAGAGAACCAACTGTATTCTGGTTGATTTTAGATGTCAAACATATCACATGGCAGAGCAAACTCAGTATAGGCTAACAGAGCATCTGCATCTCAGTAAAGGCTAACAGAGCATGTGCATCTGCATAATTTTCACAAAGTAACAAGCCCTACATGTGAGACTTCTATGGATCCTAACAAAAATTCAGAAGTGTATTTTTTGATCAGAAAAATGACTGCAATGACAAAAAAGCAATTTTTTTTTTTTGGTAAAGACTGAAACACAAATGAACAAAGGAGGACATTAGCTTCTTATTAGCTCTTACATCCTGCCACTATGTCAAGGAGCTTAAGAGTGGCAGTTAAGCCTTACAGCCATCCTGTGAAAGGTGGCCATTTGCCCAAAGTCATCTAATGAAATTTGCAGCCAAGCAGGGATTTGAACCTGAGTATTCCAAACCTGCAGCCAATGCACCACACTAGCTTTCTTTTAGCCAGCATTTAAGTGTCTAGGCCAGTCTTCCCCAACCTGGTGCCCTCCAGATGCTTTGGACTTCAAGTTCCATCTTCCCTGACCTTTTGACCATGCTAACTGGGGCCAACAGGAATTGCAATCCTAAACATCTAGAAGGCAGCAGGTGGAGGGATATAAGCACCAATTCTACCTTCAGAGGACTACCACACAAGCTATTATTTCATCTTATCATGATCTATTTTTGCATGCCAGGTAGGACAAGGAGGGAACAAAGCACAGAGGCAGTATCAAGGGCAGCGAACTAGGCAAAGCTTGTTGGCAAGCCAAGGAAAAGAACAAGTTCAGCCAATGAGGACAGCTGGCTGAGAACAGCAATGTATGTGTCACTCTGTGATTGACAAGACAGTTTCCACTTGCCAGGGACTGCAGTGAAATTTCATTAACTGGAATATGTAATCAAAACCAAGTCCTCGGTCAGAGTTTTATAGTTACCTGATTTGCATCTATTCAAAAGGCCATGGCTAGGTTATTTAATCACATGGGGTCCAAGGACTGAGTTTTGTATGTCTGAAATAGGACACTACTTCAAAGATTCTGTGTTCTACATTGTTGTTGTTGTACTTGTTGCTGTTGTTGATAAAGTCACTTTCTTCAAAAATGTGATCCAAACCAACTTACAAAAATAGTGTAAATAAAGAACTGTTAAAGTGAAGGCATTCAAGCCTTAGCTGGCTAGGTGATATCACGGCTATATAAATACCAATTCTATGAAAATTCTCTTTCCTATTTCAGGTTTTTCCAATATACATTTCTCCTGTTATGCTTAAAAATGGCAAATTAAATTAATTTCTTTTATTTATTTTATTTGATTCATTTTTAGGAAAAAGAACCAGACTCAGTCAATAAATATTTTTTTAGGCACAGGAACAAAGGAGGGCTAGGAATACCCAATCTCGAACAATACTATGCAGCTTTCTAAATTAAATCATTGACACCCTCATTAAAGGCAAAGTGGATATTTCATGGGTACAAACAGAAAGCACCCACACAAGACTATTGGTACATGCTCTGCCCTTCCTGTGGTTGTCTTACAGAACAAGAAAAGGTGGGCAATCCATTCTTAAAAGTAACATTGATGGTGTGGTGGAATTGGAACTCAGTTTTGGCTCCTAGGCTTTCACTGTGGATGCCTCTGTTAGATCACTCCTCATTAAAACATGCAGATAAATATAAGCAACTCCTAGATTTTGAAACAAATGGTTCCTATAGAATTAGAAGTAAGTTTGTAAGAGCTAAAGCAATCGCAAAATAGGAGCTGGTGGCAAAGACAAAAGGCATAAGATTGTCATGGCTGCAACTGTATCAACGGTGCACTTTTGTAAAGTATCTGGAGGGCTTCGGACCCTTGACACTTTTTGATTCGCTATGTAGCAGACCTAGCCATGACACAAAACATCTTCCTCCCAGAATCTCAGCACTATAAAACACCTGGCTGCAAATGTTTAACTAGGCAACACTGTTAGTACACAAATTCAACATAGACACAAGTGTGCATGTATAGCCGCTATCAGGTTCCTTATAGCTGCCTTGTTGAAGCTGTGACCTAGCCTGAACCTGCTTTGTGAAATACCATATTATTACAACACATGGAGATTTAGCTGTAGGCCTAACAAGGAGGAAAATGTTGTGACTAAATGCATATTTCAGGATGAAGCACAATGCTCAAATGAATACTGTACAACGGAAGAGCTACACAATAGGAATGCTGCTATGGGGACTGTTCCTTCAAGTTATTCAGGGAAAAGTTTCTAAGCAAACAGACCTCAGCTATAGCCGTAAGTCAGTACAAAACGCTTGGTTTTAATTTTAGCAGATGGTAGAAAAGAATTGTGTGTTCTGCAAGTTATGCCAGCTAGGGCATGCAGATGGAATGGGCATGTGCCTATCCAGAGTCCTATATATCAGCATTTTGCTCTCAACATAAACAGGAACTTCCCATATCTGTATATGAGGACTATAAATGAAGCTGTCTGATCAACAGTCCTGATACCAATCACAAATGTGAAGTGCCCCCCCCCCCCGACTGCAGGATAATGAGAGGAGCAGCAAAGAAACTGGACAGAGCCTGGCACCTGTTCCACAATACCCACAGTGACAGAGTGCACTGTCACAACATCTCTATCTTATGGGCAGGATGAAGTTGTTTCCTATGCATTCTACTTGTGGAAAAGTTATCGCCAAGTCTATTTACTCATTTCAACTATATAGCAAATAGTAATGATTAACAGCCCAGATTAAAGTAAAGACAGGATCAGAGTGGCTGCTGGTTTTCCTTACTATTCTATGAAGAAGAAGAAACGTGGGCATTAGAAGTAAAAATTCAAACATATGTTTTCGCGCACAGAGTAGCAAAAGAGAAATTGCAAATGTTCAATGCAAAAAAGAGTAGTTAATAATAATAATAATAATAAATTTATACCCTGCCCATCTGGCTGTGTTTCTTCCCCAGCCACTCTGGGCGGCTTTCAGCAAAATATTAAAATACAATAATTCATCAAATATTAAAAGCTTCCCTAAACAGGGCTGCCTTCAGATATCTTCTAAAGTCAGATAGTTGTTTATTTCTTTGACATCTGGTGGGAGGGCATTCCACAGGGTGGGCGCCACTACAGAGAAGGCCCTCTGCCTGGTTCCCTGTAACTTCGCTTCTCGCAGTGAGGGAACTGCCAGAAGGCCCTTGGCGCTGGACCTCAGTGCTTGCTCAGAAACCCTTTTCCTAGTCTTCTTTTTGGTCAGTCTTATGGCTACTTCCTAGTTGTTTTTCCTTCAGGGAAATGCATTTGAAAGTTAGTCCTGTAAGAAAAATCATAAACTGGCAAGCAGTTACAAACCAATGATGAATCAGACACAATGTATGAGAGTCTGGAAATGGATTAGCCTATCTATGTATCTGCCATAACTCCCCTCAACACCACCACACACATTCCATGACAGTACGGCTGCCAGGCCACATACGAAGGGGTCAATGAATACTGTAAGCTAGCCCCATATTGTGTCTGAATCTACAATTACAAAATACATCCCTAAGCAACAGTACATTCACAAACCACACAAAGTCATGTTCCATTGCAGATGTATTTCCTATGTGGCTGGAGGGCCTACGGTGCATCTCATGTGCAGAGCCATCCAAGGATACGATAGGCCACTGGGGACAAGTCTGCCATTTTGACATTCGGGTAGGGACAGAGCTCTGTCAAACCACTTTAGCTGCTCTCCACAAACCTCTGAAATCATCAGCTCAAGTCTCCTAACTGATTCAAAGGAAATTCAGTCGCTAAGGAACTGCTCTTTGCTGCAGGGAGAATCCTCTAACGAATGCAAAGCTTGAGGGAGTAAAAGTCTGTCACATTATGCATATCCGAGTTAAGATTCTGATTTGAGAAACTTTAAATAAAAATTAAAATATTAGGGCCTCCGGGGTCTATATATTAGGAAGTGGCTGTTTCAAGGAACTAGATTATGTTTGACCTAGATACGGTGACAACTTCTCATAGGATGGATCAGTACCTGATGTTGAGATAAGTATGGGGAAACTAATCCAGTAAATTCATTAAACTCAACCCCATGGAAAGCACAAAGTATTTGCAAACAATCACAGTGGGTCTGCATACCACCCCTTTAAGCACAGTGTCTTCAGAAAGACTATCAAACCACATGTAGTGCAGCAGAGACTACAGCATCTCTGTTACCTATGGAGTGTGTACTGTTGAAAAACATGATATTGTTTTGTTTTTTATATGATTTATTATGCTTACGCACCAACAACATACATAAAAAGAAAATATTTATGTCATTTGTTACAAATTACACCGTTAACCAAAAAGAATAAATTTGTATAATTGCCAATAAATCTTCTTGAAATACACTGACTTCCCGTCTTCTCCATACTTCATTTCTAGTTTACTAACTTTTTGCATAAATCTATCTATTCATTTTACAATAAAACATTATTTATGCTGTATCCTTATTTCTTACTTAGTACAACTACAGGGGTTATTCAAATGCAGCAACAGAATTCAGACTTCCAGTTGTTCTTAAGATATGTTTAAAGAGGTTCTCATTACTTATCCTTCATTCTTTCAAATAAGTTAGCTAACTCTGCATATTCAACTAGTTTCTGTAATCATTCTGACCTCGAAGGGGCTTTGTCACTTTTCCAATTCCTCGCAGTTAAAATTCTCGGTTTAATTTTTTTACATAGCCACCACATATGGAACATTGTACCGGTACAACGAAAAACATGATATTGTTGCTTGATTTTGGAGTTGTATAATTTAATTATAAAGTAGTGCTACTTTAATTTAATTTAATTTAATTACATTCGTTTAACATGTGTAAGTTACGTTTGAGTTCATTTTTACAATGAAAGACAACTAAACTAAATAATGAACCCAATTAAGTAAAGTACTATCCTGAATGCCCTATTCCAGTCCTCTGGAGGAAAATATTCATTAAAAGAAACACGCTTCCTATAAATCAAAGCCTCATCTCCTCCGAGCAAAAGCATCTATACAATACTCACAAGATTATCATACTGTTCCTTCAAATCTTTCTCCAAGAGATGCATTTCACACATTGGCAGATTTTGAATCAACAGACTGAGAAGTTGCAACACTTGGCACACAGATGGTGAAAACTGCGGTGAAGACTGTTAATACTAACAGAAACACTAAGGTGAACCTCAGAACAGCAATCTACAAGAGTGTGTTGACTGAACCCAGAGGTCCAGCACTCAAAGAGTTCATTCTTTATAAGGATCTTTTTTATTTATTTAACGAGGAATACCTCATTAAAATTGTTTAAAGTAAAAGCTTCCAGAAGGTAGAGATAATATGATCAACCAACACTTTGGCAAATTATTCCCAAAGATACAAAAGATGATCCTGCTCTTCGGCAGCACCCCAACTTTTTTGTAGTCGTCCTCACAAGTTAACATTTTCTACAGTCACTTCCTAAAGCAAAATCTCCACTCAAAGTTTCTGTCTACCCGTCTGCACATTCCTCAAGTGCATTTATTGTATTCTTCATAAGAACAGGCTTTAACGATCCATCTGTTTATGCTGGCGAGGAATTGGTGAATTCCAAACCAAAACAACATAGAGATCCAGGGCTCCACTTGCCTAGAAGCCAAGCCCTTTGATATTGTTCCTTTGATATTCTTATGCTCTTTGATATTGGCCCTTTGATATTGTTATGCTCAGAATCACATTATTGCTATTACAAAAATGTTCTTGGGCTAAATCCTAGCACTAAAAACAAAAGCTAGTGCTAGGTGTTGCCTTAAGTTAAATCATTTAAGCAACATATTTATGCTTAACTGTATAATGTAATCAAATTTCATTTTGGCAGTTACACTTTCTTGTAAGTAGCAATCTTTTTACAACCTAGGCATCGTGGATAGACTGCACCATGTTTTTCTAGAAGCTCTTGAGTTCACTCATGTGATTTAAGATATAGCTGAGGATTCAAAACATTCAGGATTCAGTTTTGTTTTTACCAGAGCATAATTCAGTTAGCGTGTTAGTTTCACTTTCTATAAAGCCAAGGGGTTACAACAGTACATAAGACTGCCTAAGACATTTTGTCAAGCAGAGAAAAATTCTGAAATAAAAAATGCAACAAAAAGAAATGCATCAATATTTGGTCTTTAGAAGATATATGCTACCAAACTTACAACAGATTTGTCTAGCTGCAACCCTCCTGTATTAACAGCCAATTTACTGACAACCACCTGACATCAACCATCTGTGTCTAATGGAGCTGAAGTGCACATAGGTGCTTGTTCTGTTTACCAGTGCCTTTGTGTTGAATACTGCAAAACACTCTACAGAAGGAAGTCAGGGAACTGTCACTTGAGATACCAAATGTACTTGGAAACTTTCAGTGCAATGACAACTGCTTTTGTCATCCACAACTCCACATGTTAATGGAAAATAGTTCATATGCTTGCCTGCCTCTCTCTCTGAACTGAAGCTTGCAGAGAGCTTTAAATGGACTAATTATGCAGACAAAAGTACTAAATGCCCAAAGGCATTAGCCATAACTCACAAGGGATACAGGAACATATGTCTCTTCCCCCTGGTGCGAGTCAGATAGATCTGGTAAAGATAGATGACGTTAGCAGAATAGACTTAGCCACAGTTTTTAAGACTCTCCTTCCAACTTTGTTTTTCAACAAGATCTGAAGCAAGATGCACAATAGACTGGGATTTTCAAAAAGCAAATATTTAGAGAGGCCAGGGATGCCAGACCTGAGTGCAAATGAAGTGGGGAGAGGAACTGCTAAGTTTCCTGAAGTCACTTGGTTATTTTAATTAAAAAATGAGAGCTGCTCTCAGAGGCATTCAAAATCGCCACCAACATTGGCACAGTGTATTTCTACACCAGGTACGGAGGAGGCAGCAAGATCTCAAAGGTCACAGTTTTCAAAGGACCCCTAAATAAGGCAAAAGGTGGAAGCCAATTTGTACCATAAGGACATAAGAAGTGTCCTGTTGAATCAGACAAACATCCTTCTAGTCCAGCATTCTGTTCTCACAGTAGCCAAGAAGATGGCTATAGGCAGCTCACAAGAAGGATATGACAGCAATAGCACTTTCCTACTTGCAATCTCCTGCAACTGGTATCCAGAGATGTATTGTCTCTAACAGGGGAGGTAAAATACAGCCCTCATGATTGATAGTGACATGAATCTGTCTAATCCCCTTTTAAATCTGTTAGTTGGGGGCCTCACTACATCGTGTCAGATTAAATTTCATTGTTTAACAAGGCACTGTATGGAGAAGTACTTTATTTTATAGTTATTGTAAATTCCAAAATTCAGTTTCATTGACTAACCCCAGGTTCTAGTATTATGAAGAAAAAACTTACCTCTATCCATATTCTCCATATCATATATAATGTTATACACTTATGTTCCTTCCCAGCCCTTATTCACATTTTTTAAAAAATCTAAGACTTGTAACCTGTAAATATTGCTCATTTGGGAGTTGCTCCAGCCTCTTCATCATTTTGGTTGCTCTATTTACACTTTTACCAGCTCTACAATATCTTTTGAGGGGCAGCAACCAGAACTGTGAACTGTATTCCAAGGGCAGTTGCACCATAAATAATAAATTATTTCCAGCCCCTTTCCTAATGGCCCCTAAAATGTTATGTGCCTTTTTCACGGCTACCACACACTGGATTAACATTTTCTTCAAACTATTCACCATTATCCAATAATTATTTCCTGCTCAGTCATCAGTTCACACCCCATTTCATGTAAATGTGAAGTTACAATTTTTGCCCCAATATACATCATTTTACACCTTGCACTGAACCACATTTGCCATTTTACTACCCATTCACCCAGTTTGGAGAGATTATTTTGGATCTCCTAGCAGTCCCTTTTTTGTTTTTACCACTGTAACTTTTACCACAAGTTTACATCATTAGTAAACTTGACTACCTCACTGCTCACTCCTAACTCCAAATTATTAATGAAAATGTTAAAAAGAAGTGGTCCCAATACAAATCCTTGAGAGAACCACTTCTTACCTATATTCATGGTGAAAACATTCCATTTATTCCTACTCTCAGCTTCCTGTTCTCTAACCAGTTATTAATCCATAACAGTACCTGCCTTTTAATCTTATGACTGCTAAACTTTCCAAATCTAATTTTTTACATTCCTTTCTGATAATTACTACAAATAAATTCAGCACTGGATGACAAAGAAGTTAGAAATATTTTTTTGTGAAGTTGTGAAATTATGGTACCTCATGACAAGAAACCCAATTACAGGTTGATCCTACAGAAAGTTTAACCAAAAGAACAGATATAAACCTTTCATATACTGCAAATCAACACATCATAACTCTGAATACCACACAAATCAGAGGCTTCTGAATATTTTTTTGAGCCTCTAAAGCTATGAAAGACACCAGAGAAGTAATAAGAAATACCACTTACCGCCATGACCAGCTCAAATGGGTATTTGTAGACCCTAACAGGAGACTGATATTTTTGCACCATTTTTACTTCACACCTGTAATGAAAGATAACAGAAACCTGTTTTAAAAAAGAAATCTACTCTGAACATCACACAGCAAACCTAAACATACAACACTTTAGACTCTGAGGTAGAACTGCTATTTGTCCCTTGGTGATCAAAGCCAGGAGACAGAACAGAAGCAGAGGTTCAACTAAGATGGGCCAGATTTCTAATATGGGTACCCAAGAAAAAGAAGCCGTTTGTATGTGAGTCCCCAAATATTATAACCCTTTCCTTTTATCTTATGTTTGATGTCATCATATCACCACCCTGAGACTAATGCTTTTGATTTTAAAGGCTGTTTAAACCAACCACATTCAATTTTGTGCCCAGCTGTGCTAAAGTCATTTGATTTTTAATAGAAGGGGGGGGGGAGAAAATCCAGATGCAAGCTAGCATACTTTTACAAAATGTTCCATACACAGTTGGGGAAATTACACCATTCTGACAAGTGACTCAAAACCAGCTGGTTACCTTGAAATGAACAAAAAAGCCCTGTGGGATTGACAATACCCATCTCTGCAGTTCAGTTACCCAAACCACTGGAATTCCTCCATCTGCCCCCATCAACAGCTTTTAGCCCGCACACGCATGCCAGTTACAAGAACCCTGAGAAATAATGAATGCACTCTAACAAAAAGCTCATTGAATTCCATTCTGCAAACACTGTAGGATATGCTGCCTCCATTATTAATACTAAATGCCCAGGAATGCTAGAAGTCCAGAAGGCCTCTAGGTTTAACTTTTCTCACAAATATTCTAGGACTGAAAAGGCAAGCCACCATACAAGCAGTGAAATCAACATTGGGAACAAAGAGCTAATCAAAAACAGCTTGAGTCAACTGTGGGAAAGGAAAGAGTTAAAAACACATAGGTTCTCTACACCCACCTTCAGGAAGCTCTCCACCTAAAAGCCATTTAATGTTCTTAAGAACTACTTGTACAATTAAGTTCTCTGATAAAAGAGAGGAAAAGAGAACATGGCCATTCATGGCCTTAACGATACCTGGAGTTTGAAAATGGCTTTAATCAGTCCATTAATTTTCAGAACGTCTCAACACTTCAAGTCCACTAAGCAACCATCTGCGAATTGTGAAGTCCTGGATAAGAGTTATCACTGGTACTACACTGATAGGAATATCTAAAAGACAGAGCACATAAAGCCAGTGTTGGTGAGCGCTAACAAGACAGTCAAGCTGCAGAAAGCTTTGCTGATATCATATAACAGACACCCAAGCTACAAAAAGTGCAGGGTACCTTACAACGTAAGGATGTAAGTCCAGTACTTGGAGTGTACAGGGGACATATGAGTAGGTGCTAACAAAGTGAAGGAATATTATCTGCAAAATAAATTTAACTGTAGTCTGCCTTGCACTTGCTGACCTACCATCTAAGAAATTCATGTTACATTCTGCAGGAGGTTCAGCATTCTAAGGAAGCCTTGACCTGCCCTGGGCTATTATGCAGCTACCAGTAGCTGCTAAAATGATGGGAAAGTATAGGCATAAGCCAGCATTTGCACTTTGGGATAATGCAACAAGTAAATTCATACAAGTGTATTTCATAAGATAACTACTCTAATCTTTTCATATTTTGCTTGCATTGTACCAAACAGATTATCACAGATTCCTTGCTTGCTTGCTTGCTTTCCCCTCTCTCTCTCTCTCTCTCTCTCTCTCTCTCATACACACATACAGTACCTACCAATGGAGGCAAGTTTGCTGAGTAAATTATCCCCTTGTTTTTGTTCACAACAGCATGATCACATTTCCCTTCAGCTTTCTAGGGACAAAACCCCCAATTTACCATCTGCCCAGGTAAGAAGAGGCTCCTGCCTTCATTGGATAAGAATGAAATGTATTACTCAGGCCTTGTGCTTGGTAACACTGTTCTAGGGAAGGGGATCCTATTTCCCTGTGGCAACTGCAGACCTGGTCGGGCAACAAGAACAAAAGAGATGACTTTTTATGTTATTGTTCCCCCAGCACCCCTAACTACCTCTGTAACAAAGAGCTTCAAAAGCCAGGAACTACTGATGCCATCTGCTAATGAGGACTACAAGATTCAAGGCACATGAATTTTTTTAGAATTAAAATCTGCTATATATTTTGGAACATGATTTGGCTGTTTGCATGTCCATTTGTTTGCTCTCTATACATCTGGACGCTTCTTGAGATACCATTCCCAAACTCAGCCTAAGAATTTCCAAAGGGGGGTAGGTGTTCATCACTGTCTTGATGACTGTCACCATTTTGAATCAATATAGTGAACTGAAGCATGACTTTGGCATGACCTATTTTTTGGCATATGTTTGGCCACCTCTCGAGATACCATCACCAAACTCAGCATGAAAGGTTCCGAAGAGGGGCAGAAAATATCATTGCTGTTTGGACACTGGGCACCAAACATCAGTTTGACAGTACATTGCCTGTTTTTTGACGTAGGCCCAGTCACACCTTGAGATATCATTGCCAAACCTGGCATGAAGGATCCTCAGGTGGGGGTCTGTGTTGATGTTTGGATGTCATTTTCAATCAAGCTGGTGGACCAAAAGGTGACTTTGGCATGGCTTTGCCCATGGTTTGAAAAAAAATTGGCCACCTCATGAAATATTGTTGCCCAACTTAGTACAAGGGTTCACAAGCTGGGGGCAGCAGTCTTCAACAAGGTTTGGATGCTGGGCATCATTTTGGGCATCAATATGGTAGACTGAAACATGACTGAAATTACTTTGCCCATTTTTTTGGCTTAGGTTCAACTGTAGCTCAAGATATTGTTGCCAAATGCAGCATGAGGGCTCCAGAGCTGATGGTGGAACTCTTCATCGTGGTTTGAATGCATGGTGCCATTTTGAATCAAGATGCCATTTTGAATCACCTGATTTTTGGTGTTAGTGGTTCAAAGTCACAAACTACACTATCCATTTAAATAAATATCACATTTTTTCTGGTTTCTACAAAATCTTGGCAGCACCAGGCACTCACTTACAACCCCTGCAATGCAAAAATTGCTACTAAATAATCTGTAAAATGGCCATCCAACCTCTGTTTTCCAATGACATTATCTGCACAGCCAGTTGTTTACTTCTAGTATCTTCTTCTTTTCCTGGGCCATGACCTTCAATAGGAAGGAGTGATAAAATGACCACCTGTGCTCCAAGTTCCTTCAGCTTCCTACCCAGAATTTCACAGTCCCTTGCAACATGTTGCAAGAAGTTTTACAATGGTTTGGTTCAAATCACAACAGAAGAAGAGAAACACTTCATATAAATGGCTTAACCACAGATGGTGATTAGGCCTCATACTGATTTCTGTGGAATAGCCTTCCACAGGCAAGAACCTTTCACAGACAAAAGCATATTTCATGTGTCCAAACCCCTAAAAGTTTAAGTACCCATTCAAAAATCCAGAGACTCTGCATCACCATCTGTGCCTTGTTTTTCTAATGTGCTTCTTAAAACAGCAAATTGAGTTTGCAGCCCTTAGCTAACAGGGTTGTATTGGAAAAGCAATTCATTGAACAACTGTATGTGTGGAAGTCTATGTGAGAATATATTTTTATTAATTTAATGAAAAACTAATAATACAATAACAAGGAACAAAAATGCCCATCCTTCCTAAGTTTAACTTTACAGCTATGTCATCATCTTTTCCTTAAGTAGACATGGAACTACTGGCCTGCCATCTCCTCAGTTAGCTGCATCCGATTTTAAATTGACCATTTTCCTTTGCCAGTCCTAAACAACCCTTAATGAATTTGTTTTGGTACTGTATTCTGTGAAATTATGGGGTTCCCTGTAAGCTTAGGAGGGGCTTGTCATTGAGAAGTACTTCCCTGCTTACTACCGATCTTCCCATGCAATGTGCAGGTAGATTCTAGGGCCTAGGCCATGCTATGAAAACTACAGTTCACAGAAACCGCAGATAAGAAAGTATAGCTGCAGCTGTGATATATATTCCACACTGCAGATTGAAGGCTCACCATTACAGAGTACTCCTACTCATAAAAATGCCTGCACACTAAAGCTAGGTGGTAGGGACTGGGAGAAGGGTTCTAACCAAGCATTCTCCCTAGGATGCTAGCTTCCTATATGCAGAGAATGTTTGGGGGGTTTTTTGCCTGAAGAAGCATTCAATCATATGAGCCCCCACTTGATTCTGAAGTGACATAATTCACATGGCTTGACAGCAAACTCCCAGAATCCTCTGCAGAGATTCCTCAGTAAATAAGTCAATACGGAAAGTATTCCCTCAAAGTATAATGTATGTAACTCCCTATTGGAGCCTTGTTCAAAAGAGACTGTGCTTACCAATTATGTCTGGATACACAAGAGGCATTATGTTACCCTGTGATTTTGAGTCTACAAGGCAGAAACATTGAATATTGCTTTTAAAAATACCTAGAGATTTGTTGGTGACCTAAGGACACTAAAAAGGAGGAACAGGTAATTGCCACATAAGCCATTTACTTCGTGACAAGAAGTCACTTAAGATTGTCAGTCACTTGTCACCATCTTTAAAGTTTTACTTCCAGTTCTGCTTCCCTAAGGCTCATGACTAAGTCTTCTTCCATCTTTACACATCTAAAAGCACAGCAATTCTTTCCCACCCACACTCTCCTTTTTTCAAGTCCTAGCCCCTATAGTTATATAAGCTTTTTATTATTATTTAAGAAGTCTTGCCTACATGGCAGCAGCAAGTGGAAATCCCACTACTGAATATACCCGTTTGGCCTCACCACTGGGAGCTCACATGGAAACAAGGCCTTGGCATTTATATCAGCATGAAGGTTGTTAAGCCTACTCAACACAAATGACACTGATCCTACCCAGCAGGAGTTCTTAATCAATGCAGCCAAGACAGCAGAACTATGTATCCACTTCCGAACTAATCCAGTTGTTATGTTTGAAAAAAGTTTATGTTTTCTCATCACTTTTTCTCATTAATTACTGAATTCCTATGACTAGAAAACAGCACCAGCAGAGTCATGCGTACCTTTTTCAGATTGAGGGTCGCATTCCCTCAAGGGCAGCTTTCCAGGCCACATGCCAGTGGTGGGCGGGACCAGAAGCAAAAGTGGGCAGAGCAATGGATGGGACTCTAACCTTGTACAAAAGGGTATATTTCAACCACCACAAACTCTGGGTTTTCTATGCACACTCCAACACACATATATATTTTTGTTCCCCATCCAAGCAAGCAAAATACATAATTACAGTTTCAGAACACTTTCCAGCCAGGGAAACACAGTCAGAGGGCATTGAGCAGGGTCAGTGGGAGCTGTGTGCTGGGCAGAAGGGGTATAGCCTAGGAAGGGGGCTTGGTCTAGGCAAAGTTCCAAGGGCCAGGCAGGGAGGCATCCAGGTCCCAGGTTCCCCAGACATACCTTAAAGGCTAGATGAAATAAAATCAAATGTATGGCATGCAGAAATAGGTCAACTAATCTGGAGTACCAGCTGTGCTGCCTGAAGCAAACATATATTACATCCAGAATACCAACCAGAGCCCCACTTCCAAAATGACACAGAAATATGCTTCATCTCCTGTCTACCCCTCTCCCAGATAGCAAAGACAGAGCACACCCAGGCTAGGGGTGATCCAGCCTATCACAGCTCCTTTTGGCAAGCCAAGACAGGAGGCAGGGACCCACAAGAATAGCTAACCTATTGATTCACTGCACTCCCATGGTGCAATGCTATAGCAACTACCTCTCTTCTCAGGCCAGTAAGCAGACTCTCTCTCTACCTACTGACCTGAGGAGACAAGCCTGGAAACCTAAAGTCAGAAAGTGAGTTGCAACAGCAGCAAGCGGAGATAGATAGTCATAAGGCAAATGCAGCAGGTAACTCCCTAAATTAATGTATTACTGTTGTTATCACCACCACCACCACCAGCAGCAGCAGCAGCAGCAGCAGCAGCAGCAAAGCTATTCTAAATTATCTCTCTGTATGCTGCATAATGCAGGGGTGGAAACCCTACAACCCAGTTGCTTAATTTCATCTAGCTCACTGGATACCCAGGTCACATTGTTGTCAGCCAGCCCAATCCACTTTCAAAGCTCTACTAAGGCAGGTTGCTGTCCAATACTGGGCAGCCTCCTGCCCAAGGAGGAATGCCTTTGAAAACATGGATGGACAGCCAATAGCTAACAATAGGGCCCCCAGTTGACATCATTCTGTGGATCAATATTCCCCCAATAGAAAAATGGTTTTCTACTTCAGTATAACTTTCAGTCTTCCTTGAAAGAGAAGAGTTAATCTTCTCGATGGGAACACTGCTTCAGTGTGTATGTTTACTCTGTAGCAGCAGCAGCTATTTAAAGCAAGCAAGTTTGAGAGCTGAATCCTTAACCTGGATTAGCTGTATCTTTAACCTGATATGCCAGACCCATCATTTAACTGCACAGTAATTTTTCCCTTGGTACGTAGCAATAATGTCAGAAACAAACTCAATGTACTTTCCAGGCTTAACTTATCCTGTAAAATATCCTACTGATTCAGGAAGAAGAAGTAAATTACACAACTGGCTATGACTGTATGGCAGCTTCTGTAGTCTCAGCAGTACATGGTGGGGGCAAACCTCTGTTGGATACTCTAGAAAGCTGTTGGCAGACACTGAAGGCAATATAAAGCTAGATGGACCAATGGACTGACTTGGTATAAAGCAGCTTCATATGTAGGCAAACTAAGGCCCGGGGCCTTCTCAATCCGGCATGCGGACGGTCCTGGAATCAGCGTGTTTTTACATGAGTAGAATGTGTCCTTTTATTTAAAATGCATCTCTGGGTTATTTGTGGGGCCTGCCTGGTGTTTTTACATGAGAAGAATATGTGCTTTTATTTAAAATGCATCTCTGGGTTATTTGTGGGGTATAGGAATTCGTTCATTTTTTATTTAAAAAAATATAATCCGGTCCCCCACAAGGTCTGAGGGACAGTGGACTGGCCCTCTGCTGAAAAAGTCTGCTGACCCCTGATTCAGGCTGTACTTGGGGAGCAGTGTTTGAACAAGGCACAGATTTTGAGAAATTACTGCCACTACAACACATACAACAATGGAAGAGGTACATGTGAATGAGAGTGTCGAGTCTGCTTTTCAGTTAGGCATCAGCAGCCTACTGCAGAGGGATAACAATTCTGATTAAATAAACACAGGCAACAGTGATGTGGTACATAAAGGAATCCATCATATGTATATGCACATTTATAATTCAAAGAACTGAGGACAGTAAGTGAGCCCATAGGTAAAGATGACTATTTTTTGGACCTTTCTGTGTTACACAGAAAAATATATATGATCTGGAAGAAATGAAAATGGATATATATATGTAATACTTGCTCATTAAGCTTAAACTTTATTTGCTAACTCAAATACATAGCAAGGCTTACATATATTTTTAGTATTCAAAATAGTGCCTTTCATATTGTTTTTATTCAAACAGTTATTATAAGTATACCTAAGATTAGAGGTGGAGCTGCAAGCTGCTGCACCTTAAAAAATGTTATGCCAATTAACAGGAAAAAGCTGTTAAAGCAACTATCATACAAACAAAAGGTTGCACTACTTTGGCTTAAGTACTTGTAAACTCAACCGCATTGTGTATAAAATGATGAATCTCTTCTGTATCTAGTAAAATGCTCATTAATGTATGTCCCTATTATGTTGTTAGCATCTGTCTGTCTCGAGAGACAATAGAGTGCACCTCCGGGTGGTGGTAGGAGTCAAATCGCTGTGTTAGCAGCATTGAAATGACCTCCCTGGAGTGCAAGCTTGGGCAGTGTGTATGGAGGTCTTGAGCTGCCCAAACAACAAGACCCCACACTCAGCCTTGCTGATGTGGTCAAAATGTAAATAGAGCACCACATTTGGCACCAGCTTGGCTGCAGGAGTTGCCAGAAGGAGACATACAAGGTATCACCCAACCACCCTAGGGACTCGACCCAAGATTTGTGTATGGTTTACCCCTTAGCCTTTTCTTGTCCCAAAGATATCCCACAAGGCAGTGGAGGTTCTCCTAGATGGGCTAACCAGGTTAACAAGCCCCATCTGCTCATTTCCCTCTACAGCATGTGCAGAAACTGTCTTCTTGATCATTGGACCCACAATTAGCCTCATCCGCTCAATCTGCCAGAGCCGGTCTTCGCATGCAGAACTCCCTAACTCACCAAGGGGTTGAGACCCATCAGCTATCCTCACCTGGTATAGCTGGTCAGTTGAAGCTATTCCCAAGATATGGCTGCTGTTGCAGGGTAGGGCTCAAAGGTGGACAAACTACTCCAGTAGGAGCACAACTTGTGCCCCACCAGAGGTGCTGCCCCTCCCCAACATCCCATACATGCCCTCATTATGTAATCAACAGATAGCATAAGGACTAAGTGTGCATTTGACTATTGAGCAAAACTTCATAACCATACTAGACTCTTAGACATGCTTCATGAAACAGTTGTGCATGCTCCCAACAGATTATTGCCACCACCATTGTGCTCTGAAAGCTTTCTAGAACTTTCCAAGTGATCACTGTTGGAAACAGAATGGAGGACAAGATGGACCTTTGATCAAATCCAGAAAGCTTCACTATCAACAAAACTAACTGTCCTGAACCAGTATACTATATATACTAGAAAGAACAAGCATGTTTTAAGTTTCTTTCTAATCAACAACTTACAATTTTATACCTGAATTTTGGGATATGTTTATTTATTAGAACATTTTTACTCTGCATCAGTAAGAGACAACCAGTTTAAGAATTAGGGGGACTGAGAAGGGAACCTAGGGATTCAAATAGTGTTTATTAAATGTTCAGTTCATCTTTCTAGCAACCCTGTGAAGTTAAGTTGCTTGGGAAGAGCATGTATTAAGAGGAAGAAGGGCTAAGTGCTTAACTTCTATAAAAAGAGATGCAAGAGTTCAAACTTGACAGTATCAAATCTAGAAGCTCTTTCCAACTCCATTTGATATTCCTAAAGTTCAAGGAACTCAGTAGTTACCAAGCAGAAAATAATATACACTGCATACCTTCCCCCCACCCACAGAGAAAGAACTGAGATTGAACAGAAATTGCCTATATAACATATATTTAGTGCGTACTGCAAGGAGCAGTATCAAGGATGAGGCTTGATTATTTGTTATTGTTAGGGGCACCAAGCTATTGACAAGTATTTTTAGCCCTGAGAAGAGCCTGTGTGTGTGAGAGAGAGAGAGGCACACCATTCAAAACCAGCCACCTGTCAAATTCTTTTAACTATTAATAACATTAATAACATTACCACAAAACTGCCACTGAACAATTTAACTGGAGATGCTGGGGATTCAACCTGGAACCTTCTACAGGCAAAGCAGGTGCTCTACCACTGAGACCCACCCCATAGGGTGGGTGAGAGCACATGTATTTGTGCAAGAGGCATCATTCAAAGCCAGCCAACTGTCAAATTCCTTGTTCCACTAAGAATCTGACAGGTGGCCAGCTTTGAATGGTGCCTCAAAACACACACAAAACCTCTTTTCATAGGGAGATGGGGAAGGGCTTATTGCAGCTGAGTGGCAGAACACCTTCCTTGCATGCAGAAGATCCTGGGGTTCAATCCCCAACATCTCCAGGAAGGGCTGGAAGAAAGCCCTGCCTGAAACCTTGGGAAGCTGCTGCCAGTCCATGTAGACAATATAGAGCTAGATGGACCAATGAGTCTGAGTCAATATCAGGCAGATTCCTGTGTTCATCAGGAGCACCCATAGCTGAGCGGCAAAGCAATTGCTTTGCATGCAGAAAGCCCCTGGTTCAACAGCTAGCATCTGCAGGTAGAGCTGGGAATGTCCCCTGCCTGAAATCCCCAGAGAACTGCTGCCAGTCAGTGTAGATAGTACTAGAATTACTTGGCCCAACAGTCTAACAGAGTATAAGGCACCTTCCCAGTGCTTTTCTCTGGGGATACGCAGGGGTACACTACCTCTAAACATTTTGTGAACCTTTGTACTTTTGTCCATTTACTGTATTTATTTTTCCCAATTCGAACTATAAAATGGTGATTTTCTTGGGTCAAAATGAGAGTACCCCTAAACATTTTTTTAGGAAAAAAAGCACTGCACTTTCCAATGGTTCTCTGATTGGGAAAGGGAGGAGATTATTTATTGCATTTATTAGTAGCCTCATAGAAGATTTGCTACAGGGGCAACCTGCAGTTTTACAAACTAGTAACTGCTAAGGTGGAGTGAAGCTCCCAATGGTTCTTCCTCATCCTTCTGAAGCCTTTTGAGGTTGCATACACACCATAATTTTAAAGCACGCCCCTGCTTTTAAGGAATCCTGGGGGGGGGGGGGAGTTTACCCCATTTGGTAAAGGTAAAGGGACCCCTGACCATTAGGTCCAGTCGTGGCCGACTCTGGGGTTGTGGCTACAATTCCCAGCAAACTATAGTTGTTGTCACACTGTGTGTGTGTGTGTGTGTGTGTGTGTGTAAACGGGCTTTAAATGTGCTCTCAAAATGTATTGGGCCCCATTGGTGGCTGGGGTGAAGGGATCATGGGGGGTGAGTTGAGATAAGAGAAAATGCCCGTCTTCTGTAGTTGGAATTGTATTTCTATTCGGGATTATTTCTTGCATATTTCGAATATTTCAACCCCCCTCTTCCGCCCTAAAAGCGAGGGGGAAGGAGGTGTCGCTAAGGGGGGGGGGGTAGAGGTGGCCCTGTCAAAATCGGGGGGCAGCGCCCTCAGCTTGTCAAGGTGGTGGTGGGGAGCACCCTAGGCCTGTCAAAATGGGAGGGGTCGGCAGCACACAAGGCTTGGTTGTTGTTGTTTTTTTAAAAAGGGGGGGTGGCAGCACCCTCAACCAGAGCCATGGGAGGAAAAGGAAAGAGATCCGGTCTCCCGGTTCCCACCCCCCTCTCAGAGGATACTCACCATCATTCACACCAAGGAGAAGCCGAAAGAAAAGCCCGCAAGCAGACCCAGACCCAGCGCTTCTGCCGCCGCCGCCGCCGCCGCCATCCTCCTGGTCCTGCCCAGAAGGGTGGGAAGGTGCAGTTTACCTCAGCGCGACGGTTCCCCTCAAATGAAGGAAAAGCGGGGAGAGGATCGAGGGGGGGGGAGGGTGAAGGGGAGGGGGTAAGGCGGCGAAAAGGCCGGCCGGCGCGCCTCAGCCAATCAAGAGCCCGCCAAGCTCGCACGCGCTGCGGGCTCCCGCGCCCCTGCGATTTCTTGAACAACTGACTCCCCTTCGCCGCCGCGGCTCAGCGCCACGCCCACTGCGCGCGGCCGGGCCACGCCCACCTGCGAGAGGAGAAGAACAAGGAGCGAAGGCGGCTTGGCGGACTCCGCCCACCAGCTGCCAATCTTCCGAGAAAGCCCGCCCCTTCTCCTCTGTCCAGGGGAAGGTGGTAGCTTAGAATTAGATCGAGCAGCCGTAGCGCTGCGTGTGGTAAGCAATAAATATAACCATCGGAAGGTTCGCAATCCAGAGCCAGCTTGCTTGGGAAGGGGCACAGCTCAGTAGGAGGATGTACTTATTTATTTTCTTGCGTTTGTGACCCACATTTTTCTCCCAAGGACCTCAACGTGGGCATACATGGCTCATATGCCAACTTGAATAAAATATTTAAGGAGGTGGGGGCGGGGAGGCAGGTGAGTCATGCCCCACACAATCGATTACACGAAACGGCACACGCACAACATTTGAATGGCAATGTCTATCAACTTGGGGTAACCCCCTCAAATATTTTATTGAGGGGCCAAAGGGTCCTATGCTCATTTAATCCCCATAACAATACTGTGTGGTAGGTGAGGCTGAAAGGGTGCGATCGGCTCAACATCACCCAGTGAGGTTCATGGCCAAGTGGGGATTTGAACCCTGGTCTGTCAGGTCCTCCTCATACCCCCAAACCACCACACCCAGCTGGCTATCTAGTAAAGCAACTCTTTTTTTCAGGCGGAAGGCCCTGGGTTCAGTTCTAGACATCTACAGTAAGGGTTAAGAGAGACTTCCTGTCTGAAATCCTAGAGCTGGTGTTTAAATGTCTTTGCTGAATTATGAAAAAGCTATCAGTGGTTGTGGGATGGTGGTTTTCTGGACAATCATCTGCACTCCTGCTGCGCGGAAGAGGTCCTTTCTAAAAAAAACCATACTGTTTAGGAATTTCCAGAGGGGTAGCCATGTAAAGCTTTGTTGCAACAAAGACAACTCCTTAAGAACAGCATATCTTGTGGCACATTAAAGATAAGCTCTCTAAAGTTTATTATGACATAGGCTTTCATGGGCTACAGTCCATTTCCACCAAAGCTTATGCTGAAATAAATGTGTCAGTCTTTGTCCTTGTTCATCCACAATACTAACCTCAAGTGGACCCACAAACAATCAAACAGACTATGGCTTTTCTTCTACTTTCAATCAGTTCTTAACTCATGATTTTGTAGTTGGTGAGCATCTGGGGTAGGGTGGCCAAACGAACCATGGTTAGGGGGTTGGGTTCACACATAATGCCAAGAAATAAATTTTAAAAAGCTATGGTTTGTAAACCAACAGCAAACCATGATTTCAGATAGTGGTTTGTTGACTATAAACAAAACACAAGTCACCTGTGGGGCAAGGTTTGGATGATCAAACAAATGATAGGTAAAGGTAAAGGGACCCCTGACCATTAGGTCCAGTCGTGACCGACTCTGGGGTTGCGGCGCTCATCTCGCTTTATTGGCCGAGGGAGCCGGCGTACAGCTTCCAGGTCATCATCAAATGATGGTGGCTTTCAAAAACAAAGACGAAATAGCTCACCCACAGTTTAATAAACCATGGTTTGGCATTGTGTGTGAACCAGGCCATTCATGTGCCACAATACTTGTTTTTATGTACTGGGAAGGAAGTTCGATTGAATGCATAGTAGCATGGCTTCTCATTGTATACAACTCTATTTCTTTTGTCTCATTATTGTTTGTCTGCAAATAAATGTTGCAGGTTTTTGAAAACCCAGTTAAAAACAGACAAACCCTGCAGAACCTGCAAGGGGCAACAATGGATCAAATGAAATGAGTGTGTACACAATGGAAAATTATGCTTCTGTCCTTCTTAAATACTGTTGACTGTCTCCAGCCTAGGAGGGAGAAGGACAAGCTGATGTGTAAACACTACAGGTAATTGAGACTCTTTTATATATACAACCTTAATCCCAGTCTAGTTCTACCTCCACTGTGAGAGGAATCATGCCTCTGAATACCAGTCACTGGGAATCACAGGTGGGCAGATTGCCCTTGAACGTATGTCAAGCTTGCAGGCTTCCCACAGGTGTCTAGTTGGCCACTGTGATAACAGGATGCTGGACTAGATGGGCCATTGACCTGACTCAACAGGTTGGTCTTATGTTTGCAGATGTGATACGGGGGCTTAGATCAGTGAATGCTCCTCCCTCATGAAAGAGAAAGAGCACCCAAGGGGAGGAGGATATGAAGCAGGGCTGATGGGGAGTGTGGCTCTAGAGGCTGTGTGGCCTAGGGACACATGAAACAGCATTGCACCCCCATTGATCAAGCCGTGAACTGTTGGTGTATGTTTTGGTGGCAAAAGTGCACCAGAAAAGATTTGATATATTCAAATGCAGAAACCACCAGAGTTTGAAGTCTGCAATTTTGAATATTCACAACCACTTATATTTAAGAAACTGTCACAAAGCTGTATCTAGCATCTTCACTGTACAGCTTTCACCATCAGTTGAAGATGCACCTCTTTACCTGGCTTGAACAGCTAAGGTATTTTGATTTGTGGGACCCACATCTTTTGCTAAATTCATCCTATTCTGTTCCATTTTGATTTTTTCACACATTTTTTTTAAAATTGCAATGAGTTTATCTGTTTCTGTAACTACATACTGTAATGTTGTAAGCTGCTCAGGGATTGTGTGGTGAAGGGTGGGGAAGGAATCTTACAAATAAGCTATTAAAATACAAATATAATATCAAGGTCTTACAAACTGGGCCATTTGAAACTCCTGCCCCAGGCTGTCTTGCATTTTTCTTGAGATTCTCAGCCAACTAACAGCACACCCATTTGCAAATTCAGCAATCTCAAAAGCTGTATCGTCATTTTATTTGCCAGAACTGTGTTCTCACATTATAGCTCTACCATATTATTTGCTAATCACATAAAAATCACTGCCTAATTTTTATTCTCTTCCCCCCTCTCCCAAGCCTGCCCCTGCAATTTTTATTCTTTTTACAATGAATTGCTGTTGAGATGGGCCAGCTGGGAAGTCTTCCTCAGTCATAATACAGTATTTGATGCTCCGTGTTGCTTTCAGTATTTTGTACATCTTCTTTCAGGGACATCTACCATACAACCATCTGGTTGTCTTCTCCTTAATCAAGGGACACAGTTCAGATACGTCTTTACAATCGACAAGAGATTCATCCAAAGACATCTATGCAGACCTAATACAAATGACTACAACACCCTACAGCCTGAAAAATGTACTTTAGTTTTTCATAAGAAATGCAAACGGCCTCTGGGTAGCCCCTCAGCAGCAGGCTGCTGCTCTTGTTGCTATAGGCTACTGGTTCTTCAGCCCTCTGCCTGAGAAATTCAGACATCCTATGGCAACACTTTCCCCCAGGTATTCTTTCTTGTTCTGAGGCTTCACATCCAGGGGGAATAGCCTCATGTGCAACAATCCAGAGGTAGCCACCAAGAGGACTGTATTGTTACTTAAAGCCTTGGACATTTGGGTTAGGAGAGTCAGTCATCTTAAGAAGAGAAACGTTCGTGGGGTTCTTCTCATCAGCTGCACACTGCTCCTTTTCTGCCTCCCAGGCAGAGTGTCCAGGCTCAGAATATACAAAATGATGAATAGAAGGAGCAGATCGAGGCTGGAGACTTATGCAGGCTTGTCAGAGGGACCCTTGGAGGTGCTTGGAGGCTGTGGATCGCCATTGGTGCTTTCACTTGGAGGAGGAGGAGGCCACGTTGTCTTCTGGTGAAGATGGCTGGAAAAGTAAAACAGGCGTCACTCCGGGGCGGGGTTTGGGGGCAGGAGATGGAGGTGGAAAGAACACAAGGGAAGAACAAAGGAAACGGGAAGGGATCCTGGCTCAGCTCCTAAGATTACAGCCAGGAAGTCCTGATGTGAAAATGGGCCTCATGGGAAGAGATGCTTCCCCTCCGTGCATCTTTGCTGATTCTACAGATGCACTATTTGCTTCATTTATTTAGTATGGGGATTTCACACCCCACTTTATAGTCTCAAAGGCAATGACATAATTAAAAGCACAATAATATTAATCAAGTCAATAAAAATTATTTAAAAGAATTCAAAACAGTGTAAAACAGATTAAGAACATTAGATCTTAAAGCATGCACACCAAATCATACCACAAGTGATCTAGGAACAGTTTATGTCAGCTTCACCAACTAATTAACACGGGATTTGGGGGCAGGATGATTTCCCAGTGCACTGAACCTCATGTAGGAACCCAGCAAGAAAAGGTGACCCGGGCACATCCAGTCACTCAGGGAAGAAACCAGGTAGCGAGAGGTTTTTCTCCTTTCAACCTTTGTTGGAGGAAGTTGCTTACTTGGAACTATCTATGGTGCGGCAACTCCTGCCTTACATCCTGAAATCAGATCATACTAGGACAGGCACCTTCCAAGGCCCACAGCTCTCCAGTCGCCATCCAATGTATCAGAGCACAATTCAAAGTGTTGGTGCTGACCTTTAAAGCCCTAAACGGCCTCAGTCCTGTATACCTGAAGGAGCGTCTCCACCCCCATCGTTCAGCCCAGACACTGAGATCCAGCGCCGAGGGCCTTCTGGCAGTTCCCTCATTGCAAGAAGTGAGGTTACAAGGAACCAGACAGAAGGCCTTCTCGGTAGTGGCGCACGCCCTGTGGAACGCCCTCCCTTCAGATGTGAAGGAAACAAGCAGCTATCTTATCTTTAAGAGACATCTGAAGGCAGCCCTGTTTAGGGAAGTTTTTAATATTCAATGCTGTATTGTTTTTAACACTTGATTGGAAGCCGCCCAGAGTGGCTGGGGAAACTCAGCCAGATGGGCGGGGTATAAATAATAAATTATTATTATTATTATGGGAAAGGGCTATAGATCAGTGGTAGATCACCTGCTTTGCCTACAGAAGATTCCAGGTTCAATCCCTGGCATCTCCAAGCAGGGTTTGGAGAAATCCCTGCCAGTCAGTGTAGGCAATACTGAGCTACATGGACCAATAAACATAAGAACATAAGAAGAATCCTGCTAGATCAGGCCAGAGGCCCATCTATAATAATAATAATAATAATAATAATAATAATAATAATACAATTTTATTTATATCCCGCCCTCCCCAGCCGAAGCCTGGCTCAGAGCGGCTAACAACAGTAAAATGATACAACATTCTAAAATCATTTCATTATAAAATTAATTCAAATCAGATTAATGGCAACCATTGGGCTTTAATTTGTGGCAGCTCTTGTGGTTGAAGATATGCATTTGTGTCTGTGCAAAACATGCTCAACTCGTTGAAGTCAAAGTGATTCAATAGTCCAGCATCCTGTTTACACAGTGGGAAACCTCAAGCAGGACCCAAATACAAGAGCATTCTCCTCTCCTGTGGCTTCCACCAACTGGACTTTAGAAGCATTATTGGCCCTGACCATCTGACCTAGTGGGAGGCAGCTCCCTATGTTCATAGCCCTCCTCCTTGCTGACACTGCCTATTCGCCTCCCATCTGCAAAAGAGCAAGCAGTGGCAAGCGTGAGGGAAGATGGAGCAGTATCTTCCACTTGTCTGTCCCTCTGCCCTCTGGGCAGGTATGTCAGTGGGGCCTGGGAAGAATAGGAGGATCTGCATAGGGCATTTGGCCAAGCCCCCACCCCAAACTTGGATCTGGAAGTGTGCACAGTTTCTAATAGTCTGTGACACACACCCACACACCAAATTTTTGTTCAACAAACACCTCAGAGGTCCAAACTGCAAGCAGCTGATCTAAGTCTCAGGGGACAGAACAAATGACATGGGTGTGCTGTTTTAGGAAGCTGTGGGTGGTCTGGCAGATCATCCGGATATGAGAAGAAGAGGATTAAAGAGTTTGATCTTTAATAAACTGGATGCATTTTCAACCACATTTTCGAAGAGCCTTTAATAATTCAGATAACAAGCAGGAGGTACAGGATGGGGAAACAGACTTTCATCTTAGAACTAAGATTAGGGGATGGTGTTTAGCTGGGCGATAGAGCACCTGCTTTGCATGTGGAAGGTCCTGGGTTCAATCTCTGGCAGAAAGGGCTGGGACAGATTCCTATCTGAAACCCTAGAGAGCTGCTGCCAGTAAGAATAGGGGTAACTGAGATAGATGGACCAATGTTCTGTCTCAGCACAAGGCAGATTGCTACCGGTATGTTGTCTCTTGGTAGCAATACTTACTTCAAAATGTGGTGAGCTGGCATTGTTGCATTTGGGAACCTCTCTGGTCATTCTGCTGAGTGGGACCCCCATCATCTGCCTGAAATCTTGCCATGTAGCACCATTGGTTGTAGGATCATTACCTGGTGCTTTGAAATCTCAGGTTTGTTATGCCATTACCTAATCCCTGGTCTTCATTTCCAGTGGCAAGAATCTAAATATATGTAACTGCATTGAGCTCACATTTACTTCATGTTACCTTTGCCTCTTTTCCCTTTCTGCCCTCTCACCATTACCTTATTTATTTATTTATTTATTTATTTATTTTATTTGGGCATTAGTCACTCACTACAAAGGAGCCACTAAGCCGAAGGCATAGCATAGAAACCAAAAAGAACACATTTCAATAATACAATTACAAAGACCATCAACAAATCCAGCTAAACAGCAGACCTTCAACAGCAGAAAACAGTTATAAATGAACAGCAAAATTTGTAAGTATTATGCTGTAAAACTCCATATACACAGATGGTCCAATGCAAATGGTAGTATTTCTTCTTCATTTCCATAACTAGACTATGCAAGCACAGGATTTAAAATGGGGAAGGGGGAGTAAGTTTCTAGTCCATCTGGCTTTAGAGTTCCTGGTGAAATTTCAGAAGTCAGTCCTGGCTGCTACATTTCTTTATGACACCATTCATGCAACAGATACATATGCTTTGGAGAGACAGGAGAATAAGAGAGGCAGAGACTCTGATAGGTGATTTAAAGAAGCTGCATAAACCAGAGATGGCTCACAAGCTTCCTGTTGAAGAAAAGGCGCCAAGATACTCACTCTTTGTAGTCAGGGGTGCTGTCATCAGCTGTACAGTCATCCCAGTCATACAGAAAAGCTGCCAACCCAAGTGAAAGAGTAAAAGTTCAGAAAGCACAGTCACATCAATATACAACAGGTCTAATGTGGTATTAAATGTTATCAGTTCTTAAATCAACAGCTGAACATCATAAATTAGGATCTAGTCAGGTGACCAGCAACATGGTGCACACATAGCCACACCCCCAAAGTTCTTCTCCTGCTCAGATTTTAATCTAAGCCACAGAAGAACTCAACCCCACTCTCTTACCAACCCACTGGCCCACTCTCCCACTTGGCTCTAAGCCCCTTCTTAAGCTCCACCAGGGTGTCAAAGCTGGGAATATATGTTCCACTGTACAGTTGTGTTCATGTCCATGAAGCAGGTGTGTGAGTATTGTTCTGTAACCACCTATTCTCAAACCTTAGGTAGAACTAGGGCTCAGTACCTGAGCTGACTCCTGGAATATGTGTGGCAACAAAGAATGGATGCCCCTGAGCATGTGTAGAGTACCTTTGCTGCACCACTCGCCAAAGCCATCAACACTCATACATCTGAGATGCAGGCTTCCTCTGTGTGTGTGTGTGTGTGTGTGTGTGTGTACACATGGAGCAACGGAGCAGCTACTTTCTTATCCTGCGTCAGCTGAGTGGGAGGATTTTAACTGAAGGAAAGAACCGTGCAAACACATATTCCAGTGTGACTTCGGTGTTCATACACAAACACTCCCCCAAGTGGCATTGAACTGCATTACAGGGAAGGAACTTCCACAAAGAGAGTTCAAAGGGAGGCTGACTTTTGAGTAGGAAGCTGAATACTTTCAGAACAGCATTAAGCCCTCAAATTTATTGGCTTATCAATCAAATCTCAACTCACCCCAAATACATGAACCCAAGTGATGTAACTAAGTTTTCGAAAAGTGGACTTTTGAGTGCATTGCCTACAAATTGAGTCAATTTGTATGATTCGTCTTTTGTAGAACAGGGCGTAACATGTGCTGTGAAGTTTTGTACAACTTGGTTTGGGGTGTTCCTTCTTTTTCTCTAAAGCAGCTTTCAAGTCCTAGGTATGGAGAACCACTTCAAAAGATGTCTGCAGCAACTGGTGAAAGGGCAGGGCTTGCAGCAGCTATGAGTATAGCTTCAGCACCTTGGACAGGGCACCCTTGATTAAAGGCTGGGAGGGATCTTCTGGTCTTAATCAGCTACAACTTAATCTTGGGATGCTTCCAGACTGTTACTAGTTTCCAGTGGGTGATTCAATCGCATACTAGCAAATTCAAGTTGTGCAATTCAAATTGGTTTGGCACTCTTTTACAACAAACCCTCTTCCTTCCCTCAAATCCCCCCCACCCCTTATTCATAAGGTATGGGAAATGCATTAGAAAAGTGTGAGATAACAATTGGTGGAGGCAACATCATATAACCTCCCCCCAAACAATTAAGAATGAATGTTCAATAAACAGCTGATGTCATTGAAACCTCCCTCCTCAAAAAATAATTATGATGCATGGTTAATAAACAAGTTGCCTGGAAGTGATCTTGGAAAAGACCCCTGTGCAAAATTGCCTATAGAGATTTGTGTCTCATGTTTAACAGCCCCATGTCTATTACATGGGCTGCCCATGCATCAAGCATCTCAGCTGCTTCCCCTCTTGGGTTTGTATGGGCAACCTTTTTCAGTCCATGGGCCACATTCCCTTCTGGAAAAGTTTCTGGTGGGGTGACATATGCCAGTGCTGGGTGGGGCCAGAGGCAAAAGTGGGTGGAGCAACAAATGTAAATTTTACCCTTTTAGAGTAGACTAGTTTCTCTGTTCTCCATCCAGAGAAGCAGGAGGCATGATCAGAGTTCAAGGAACACAGCACCAGCCACACAAAAACATTGGGCGTAGGAAGCAGTTCTGAGGGCCATATAGAGAGGCTCAGAGAGTCATATTTGACACCCGTCCCTGGGATTCCCCACCCCTGCTCTAGGGAGAGACCTTTGAATTTATACATAAATTTCTATGCCACCATATCAAAGAAATGATCTAACCAAAGCAGGGTTCATAAAATCAAAGGTTAAAAACATAAAAAGTAAAAGATTGACAGAACCGAAAACTGGGTCACATGGCAGGCTACGTTTGTGTAAATAAAAATGCTTTAAGCTAGTGCCTGAACCCAAACCCAGAGGACACCTGCTTGATGTACAAAGCCACCAAATTCCACAATAACAGGGCTGCTTTCATTGCACCTGCCAAATTGATGTTATATGGGACAGTTTGCAACGCTACTCTGGAATATCTCAGAGAACAGGCAGGAACACCTTAAATTTGACCCAGTAGCCAATGGAGACTGGTCCATCAGGGCTAAGATGACACTACTTCACCAGCCTCCAATTGCCCTCAGCCAGCCCCCACCTACCCACATTCTCACTTACTACCGGTTTATGGGCTGGTGTCTTGTAGAACTCAGGACCGAGGAGGATGTGGAGCAACCTGGAGTTAGTCGGCTGCACATGCCATTGGCTCTTAGCTTCTGCAGTACCAGTTCCAATGGGCCACCAGTGCCAGCAGCATGTTGGCAGTCAGTACCAATTCTTCATCAGTGAGATAAACCAGCTCCAAGCTGCAAGGAACTCACCTTCCTTTGTGGCATTAGATGATGAGATGGGCTCCAAGAGTTCTTTTGCCTCTGCTATCAACAAGCCTGCAAGATCTGGAGGTGGAAGAGGAGCTTCTGTTGTTCTTCCTGTTTTATCCTCATCTGCTTGACTGTCAGCTCTTACAAGAGAAAAAAAAGATATTGTTTCCCTTTTTTCTTTAAGATGGACATGCTAAACAAGCAAGGGAAGTGCCCCCACCAACCCTGACCTGGTTTCACTCTCATCTGAGCCACAAACTCACTAGGTTGCCTTAAGCAGACCACCACACTAAGGGGGGTGGGAGGGCCTTTTGCAGTCCAAGGGCTGCATGCCCTCTTGCGCAACATCGTGGGGTGGACACATGTTGGTGGTGGGCAGGGCAAGAAGCAAAAAAAGTAGCCAGATCAATGAATGTGATTCTTAGCGTTGTACAGTCAGCTACATCCCAGTCACACAAAAGCCAGAGGTTTTTATGCATGCACAAACATCCCTACCCCTCCATCCAGGCAAACAGGAGGCATGCTCACAATTCAAAGACACCTGACACAAGCAACTGAGGAAGAACAATTCCCACACGCCATTCTTACCTCTTCTCCTCCGGTAATGTGCTAGATGTGCTCAAAAGCTTATGGGCATTCTGTGTGAAAATAGAAATGGAGTGGGGGGGTGGGGAAATGGCTTTCAGAATTACAGGAACAAATCTCACACCAATCATGGTGCAGTTTTTTATTTATTTTGCTGAGCTCATTGTCAATTCAGTGCCCTGACTTCTGATCCCAAGTAGTCAATCCACAGCAAAATAAACAATCTATACAAGTCAGTCAAAGCCATTTAATGTTGATCCCATCTTCAAAAAGGGTGGGGGGAGAAGACCCAGGCAACTACTGACCAGTCAGCTTGATGTCAGTACCAGGAAAGCTCCAGCTACGAAAGCTGAGGCTGCTGAAGGGGCCAGAGACCATTTTCCGGTCAATCCTGGAAGACCTGCTTCCTGCCTTGTAGGCATTTTCCACTTGGCCTGAGAGGACGGGGCCCTGACTGACTCCAGCTACGAAAGCCGAGACTGCTGAACAGATTTTTGGGCTGGGGCACTGTTTAGGGGGTGGGTTGGCCGAGAGTGGGCGGCACTGCCACATCACCTGCACAAATAAGAGCAGCTTCCTATTGTGGAGCTCCAGGCGTTTCCGCGTGACCTCAGACTTTCTCAACTGCCCGTCAACCAGGGACAAGCGCCTTTTCAGCTCTAGGACATCACTCTGTTTTGGAGAGAGAAGCAGAAGAGGGTAGAAGGATTGAGACAGAAGAAGATGTCTTGGGAAAATAGGCTTTCCCATGGGAGAAAGCATGGGAGTTTAGGCAAGGACTTTGCTTGACAGCCAGCAGGATGGGCTGCCATCCCTCTCCTCATCTTTCCCAGTAGGAACTTCATGACGGCCAGGATTGTCTTGCCCCATATAGGCTCACTTGACCAACTCCATCTGCCCCCACACTCCAGAAAATTACATTTTCTATTACCTCCTCTCACTGCAGACTGACCTCTGCTTCTGAAACCTGTTTCGTCTTCTTCCCCACCAGCTGAGTCTTCAGCTCTGTGATCTCAGCCTCCAGCAAATGGATCACTTCTTCGTAATCTTGCTCAGCGCTGTGGGCTTGCCGCTGGGACACCTCTGCTACCTGCAGCTTGTTATGCAGGGTTCGGTTCTCTGAGAGGAAGCCCAGTGCCCTCTGGGAATGGGGGAACAGAAGCGGGATGTTACTCCCAAAGTGCAACAATCAGTCCCTTCCCTTTTCCCGAAACCATATCCTTTACATGTCCATCAATAAAACTCCCAATCACGAGGGCCAGATTTATACCCAAACTAAGTAAGCTACAGCTTAGGACTTCTGAATAAATTTTAAGAATCCCACAAAGACTAAATTTCAAGTTTTACAAAACTGGTCTAAAAAGAGACAAGGGAAAACAGACATTATCAATGTGGCAGAATTATTCTTTTGTCGGGTGGGGAGGGGGCTAACAATCTGAATGATGCCTTGATTCCCTTCCAATTCTTGGGGTCCCATACCTAGCGAGGGTTTGATCTCAAGGTAGGATTCTATTAGGAATACTAGTCAGACAAGTTTCTTTGTAAGACAATGACCTTAGCAGGCCACTTAAGTGTCCTCATCAGCATCCCAAAAAGATTTGCTAAGTTGCAAGAGCTACATCTAAGAGATGGTTCCCTCCAGGCTAATGCGTAGGCCTTTTCTCCACCGCACTCACCTAGCTGCTACCTAGAAGAACAATACACAGTGTGTGTGTGTGTGAGAGAGAGAGAGAGAGAGAGCTGTGCAAAAAGCAGGCTAGAAGCTGGACACAAAGATATACTTGATCTGTGATGGAGCCACAGCTTTGACTAATGGAGAAGCAAGATCTGTTGGGGTGTTAATGCTGTGATCACCCCCTCCCCCAAATCTTATGCTCAGGTTGTATATATGTGTAAGTAAAGCCATTCATCATAAGGACACCACAGTCTCTGCTGTCTCTCATTCCAGGAAACCAAACCCTGGGTAAGCCCTGGAATTCAAGGAATCTCTCACCACTGGGGTGACGAGTAGCAATATGTAATTGCTACAACATTATTTGTCACATTGTGCTTATAAATCTGTGCACAAATAACTGATCTGCTTTTCATATATGCTAAGGAAGAATTAATAAAGTATTTTCAAGTTATTTTTATTGCAAGATATATGTTTTAGTTAGATAGTTAGGTTTTAGTTGCATCTTTCATCTGGATTTCTGCATTGTGACCTGTGACTGTAATTCTACCCATCTGAGGAAGGACAGCTAAGTAGTATAGCATCCATCTCCAGCAACAGCTGGGAAAGTCCCCAGTCTGGTACCCAAGAGAGTCGCTGCCAGTCAATGCAGACAATAATGAGATAGTAGGACCCATGGTCTGATTCAGTATAAGGCAGCTTCCTGCGTTCATGTTAATTACCTGCACAAAAAATGCCAATGAAAAAAATCAAGAGTGTAATCAATCACCCAGCTTTTCACTGACCTGGTTCAGTCTCTGGAGCTCATCTTCCATGGACTTCTTGTTGCTTTCTACCTCCTTCAGGAGAGACTAGAAGACAGATTGCAATGTCACAAACTCACCCAGCCAGCCAGGCAATACTGTCCAACCCCAAAGAAAAACACTGCCCTGGACAGATCTGCAACTTCACCATCCATTTAAAAAACACATGCAGAAATCCTCAGGTTCAACTGCATTTCCAGAAAAGAATAATAGTCCCCCATATGAAACCACCAGACAATACTGAGTTAGATGGCCTTTCTTAGTATATGGCAGCTTGTGGTGTCTTTCAGCTTTTGTGAGCATGGCATCAACATGCTTGGAATCAAACCCACCTGGGTGAGCCTCTCACCTTTAACCTCCGGACTTCTTGCCGCAGGTCTGTCATTTCCAGCTGCAGCTGCTCCAACTCTTCACTGTCATTGCAACTGACGGAGTCGAAAGTCTGTAAGTAAGGATTTCCAGCAGCTGTGTTAGTCTTGTTGCAATGAAAGTCACAAAGAGTCTTGTGGCACCTTAAAGACTAACACATTCATTATGGGTGTTTCATTTCCTTCTGATCTCATCCCCCAAATTGTGTACATGATCATGTAACTCAGAATAACACTTCATGCAACCGATGAAGTGGACTGTGGTTTGCGAAAACTTGTGCCATAAATTTTTTGTTTGCTACTATTTTCAGGTGGGATACAGCACTGATCATTGCAATGCATCCCCAATTATTATTATTGCACAATTATAAGGCTATTGTATAATGTTCGAAGGGTGTATGGCTGTGCGGGTGTGTGGACTATGATGAAAGGACTATGCATGTTTTAATTTGCCCCTGCACTTGATACTGGCTATCATTAAGTAAGCACACACACACTTCAGAAGATGGGCACAGTTCCCCAGCCGGCAGCAAGCATGGGAAAAGGAAGAAGAAACTTTGGACTAGCCCAAGGCTGACCAGAGAATGGAAAGCTGATGTGTCCAGTAGGGTGGCCACTTCATGCTGAGTGAAGAGCACTGAGTTGGAATTGAGGCCGGCCTCCTCGAGCTCCTCTGGCAGCAGATCCCTCAGGGCTTGGAGGAAGTCTGCGATGGAAGAGAAAAGGGTTAGAAGAGGTTCACAGCGGCGAGAGACCAATGAGGTCTCTTGGTGCAGCAGTAACTCTGGTACCCACAGTAGGTTATTTCAGAAACAAATCTAAACCATGGTTTCCAAAAGCTGAAGTTTAGACTCTAAGTTTTGTAGCAGGCATACAGGCCAACCATGAGCTGCCAGCTCCTTTCCTTCATCACCTTCCCTGACGCTGTCCCAAACAGTGGCATCTGAGAGTGGAGCAATGTCCCAAACCGTAGGAGCCATGTCCCCAAACCATGAGACAGGAGCAAAGCCTCAAACTATAGTCTCTGTTATGACCTGAGCTGAATCCTAGAACAATAGGATCCAGAATGCAGCAGTCTGATTGGTTCGCAGGAGCCACCCAATCCAGCTCCAGGTGGAAGTGAATTGGCCTTCAGGAGCAGCCAATCAGGCTTCTGGAGGAGGTGAATCCGGAATTAGTCAGTCACGCGGGGCCCATTGTGTAAATAATGTAAAGTTTGGGGAAAGTTTCATTCATTACTACTATGAGCTGAATAAAGAGCATGAAATTCACACTCGACTCCGAGTATATTTCAGTCTCAGATCCTGGTTATTGCACATGCTCACTCACATCTCATACACCATCGCCTTGTTTTGTTGGACAGTGTTGGTTTGGTGACTTTCCCCCCTTTCATTCCTCTTCCTCCTGCCAGTGGCTGCGATGACAACAGTGGGAGTGCAGAAAGGCCTGCCTGGCCACCTGCCTGCCCACTTATTTGCCCTTCCCACTTGCCCTACAGGGGAGCTCACTCAGGAATTCCCAGGCTTCCCTCGCTGGCTGAGCATGCCCACTCAATTAGGGTTGCCATATTTCAAAAAGTAAAATTCCTTACACCCACAAAGTTATTGAGCTTTTTTTAGGAGGCCCCAAAATTCTTGAGCTTTTAAAATCACCAGAAATAGTGGTTTTAAGCCATACATGCCCCCTGCTGCAATTTTGCTCTTTTTTTATAATGTGTTTCCTTGGGGGAGGGAGTGACTCCCTGATCCAGGAGGTGCTATATTAACGAGGGAAACGTCCAGAACTGCACGAACCTTGAAAGAGCCATTTACAAAACTGAACTACAGAGGGCAGCACCTCTCTACTTTTCGCTAGCTGCTGAGCAAAGCTTTTCTCAGATAGTATGTCCCTTGCCTACTTTTTCTGGCTACAGTTTGGGCCAGCAATGCTTTCAACTGCTCCAGCCCCCCCATTTCTTCATGGGAGTGGAAGAAAAATAAAATAAATACTGTATCAAGTCCACACTGCTGAAACTCACCTCCATAGGCTACTGTCCCCTGCGAGTCAGTTGTCAAACTTTGCCGCAACTGCCTCTTCTTCTCCTCATTCACATCGAGACTTAAATATTGCAGCATCTGATTTCAGGGAAAGAAGCAGTGAATTTTGCAATGCAGAATTCCATGGGGAGAGGGATTGATTATTAAACAACTCTGAGAACTGTAGCTCTGGGAGGGGATTCCCTAAGAACGGTCAGTACCCTTAGCAAACCACAGCTCCCGTAATTTGATGGGGGAGCCATGACTGCTCAAAGCGGTGTCATAGGGTGTGGTGTGAATGTGGCCTCTGTTTTGAGTGGGACTTTCTCGTCAGACTCACCAGTTCAAGTTTGCCGTCCTTGAGGCGAATGTGAGGATCCAGGGCCACTTTTGGCTTGGTGGCTGGAGCCGCTCGCTGGTTTGAAGAGGAAACAGGAGCTGTAAGACAAGAAGTCACCGTTCATCTACACGAGCAATGAAAGGATGCCTGCTCCTTGCATTGGGTGCAAAAAAATAAAAGTCTGTTTGCACTCTGCTTTCTCTCCCTGCCCCCCCCCCCACGAATTCCTGTGGGGCAGAATTAAAGCCTCACTTGCTTCCACATGCGGGGGGAGCGGGAAGGCAGGCAGAGAGAAGGGTGAAGGACAGGTTCGAGGAAGAAATGGGCTGGGATGGAAGCGGCATTGGTAATGGTTGTATTGTTACTGCAGTTCTTCTTTGCACTCCAAGTCAAACCTAAACCCAACAGAACTACAAAGTTAACGGAAGAGTTTCTGCTTGATATCTAGAGGTTAAGCGGAGCAATGGGCCCTGCCAGGGGGCTATGAACACCAGCCAGCCCTGCTGTTGGGCAGTTGTGTGTGGCTGATTGTCTCCCATTGTGGAGAGCTGCCTGGCGGAAGGTCACCCTGAAGGCAGCTCCTGATGGCCACCCCGCTGCACCTCTCAGGTGAGGAGGAGGGTGTTTCACAGGAAGGTTGGAAGAAGCGGCAGAGGAGCCACCCTCACAAGCATAATCCAGCTAAATCCTGAGCTCCGCCAGTCCCTGCCAAGCACAGAAGGGCTTTGTATGTGGCCTGAGGGAACTGACAGGGTTTGCAGGATTTGTCACCCACCATTCAGCCCAGGCGGGTTCAAGGACAGAGCAACTCCCCCTCTGCCTCCTTGCTAATCGGGATTAACCGGGGGTTTTGCTCATTAGATCAGGACACAGATTTCCCAGGTGCACCTAAAGGCCAGCCGGCCCCCATCTCTCCTCTCTCTCTCTTCCTCTCTCTCTGATAGCCCCCTTCTGTCTGTGGCTAGACCGAGGTGGAGTCCTGCCCTGACTGTGGCAGAGATCACTCCGAATATAACTCAACCTTTCTTGGAACTAGCGGTGCCTTTCTCTGTTGTGGGCTGCACTCACATGAAGAAAGGGTCAGGTTGGGAAACAAAATGGGCAGCCAGATCCAGCCACTTAACACTGTTCAGAGGGAACCTGGGAAGGGCCACCTTCAGGAGGTAATAATAATAATAATAATAATAATAATAATAATAATAATAATAATAATAAATTTTATTTATATCCCGCCCTCCCCAGCCGAAGCCGGGCTCAGAGCGGCTAACATCAAATGTATAACACATTAACATAAAATCAGGGATGGACATATTAGTAAAGTTTAGTTTATCTTAGTTTCTCGCCCCCCCCCAAACTTCAGTTCTCCACATTTTCACTGCAGTTTGCAATTTTTTAAAAAAATTAAAAAGTCCTCTAGAAAATCCACCAGCAGCTTAGAAAGAAATTCTGTGTTTCCCTGATCACATCTAGTTTGGCCTATTGCCCAGTCTTCTCCTTACAAGCTAGATTTCCATGTGTAGGTAAGAACAGTACAGGAAAACAATCTACAATGTGCAGCCTGTCCCCCTGAGGTCTGTGGTGGTACAGTCCAGGAAGGACTTCAGTGGCTTATTTTAGCACACTGGAAGGAGTGATGGGCTGATTTATTCCACCAGTTCAACATGCCATTGAGGAAGTCCCCCTACCGGAAACGGTGAGCTCTGGCGGACAGATGTCTGGAGATGGAGAAGGCACAGGGAAGGGACTGTCGTGTCTGCTCTGGAAAAGAAGAAATGCAACAAAAAACATGTTGGACTGGGAAAAAGCTGAGAGCCTGAAAGGCAAAAAAGAGATGCAAAAGTTTCCCTTGGAGCCACAATAAAGTGAAGCCATTGAGCAGCCACAAAGGGTCTTCAGCTTCACAAGTGTTGGTGTGGAAACAGGGTTGTATTCAATGCTAGTCCTATTCAGAGTAGATTCATTAAAATTACTGAACACGACTAACAGATTCTTTAATTTCCCTGGCTCAACTCTGAGTTGGATACAATCCATACAGTCCAGCAAACTGAATAGGCAAGTGAATCTACCTACAGTGGGGATTGCAAACACGGTGCCCAAGGGCACAAAAGTACACACAGAGAACAACCCTGAGGTCCACAGAGCCACCTGACCCCCCTGAAATGCTAGCGGAAAGAAGCATTCTCTCTCTGAATGGTGCCCACAACAGTTTGCTTGCATAATATATCTATTTCCCCTTACCAAATGCGTGCTGTGGGTTGGGAAGGAAGGAAGTGTATGGGTGATGGCATGGACATTAGCCAATAGGCACTGTCACAATGGTAAACCACACTGAAGATGTGGGATATTTCCCCACACATACACACACCAAAGCTTGCTAAAAGACCAAAAACAAGTTGAGTCTATTTGCAGAGCAGAGAAGGATCTTTCAAGCATCCTTTGCCACTCTCAAACATCATGTGAGCATTTGCACTTGCAATATTTTAGTGGAATGACCTAAGAGAAACAAGCAGAAGAGCAAATGTGTTTGTGATCATAAGGGCAAGCAGAAGAAAAAGTCATGTTGACTTTGGATGTGGACCCTGAATACATGACACTAGAAGTGGCTCACCAGATGAGGTGGGGCTATGATAGCATGCCATCAGGGGTATCACTGCTGCTTACTAGGAGAAAGGTGGAGGAGGGGTGAGGTCGCATGCTGCAAGCTCACAGGTAGGAGCACTGGATTGGCTGCATCACTGTGCTGGCACCATGTCACCTTCCCCACTGCCTTGCTCTTCCTGGTAAGCAACAGCAGCCCACTTTCCAGAAAGCCAGCAAAACAGCTCTGCTTCACCTGGTGAGCCACTTCTGACTAGAACCACATTCCAGTTTGTCACAACATTTGTCCATAGCATCCTGGGAACTGCAGCCTCAAAGGATTATTGGAGAATTTTGTTTCAAAACTCTTTTCCTCACTCAGAATCACAGTTCCTACATTTATGGGGAGGGAGGGAATATTTTGTGGCGTAGACTTGGTGCTTTTCATAGTAAAATCCCTGCTATCCAAGGGGTGGGGGTGGGGAGAGGAAAGCTTGCTAGCAATACTACCAGAAATTCCCTGCCCTGTCTAGGACCCTTCTGTCAACAGGAGTGTTGCAAAAACAACAAGCTGGCTATTTTTAAATATAAGAGACATCCTATGGAAAGCTCAAGACAGCACCCTCACCCTGAACAAGGAGAGGGCAATTGGGCCCAAGCTGCTATATGCCACATCTTTCCCCAAACAAGTAATCCATAAGGATTATGGCCAAGATCAAATCCTGTTGGAAATGGAGAACATTTGGGTGAGATCTTTGTGAGTTCATTGAGTCTCACCACCTTACCTCAGGGGACCTCACGTGGACTTTCAACCTGCAAGTGCCCAGGCCGTTCCCCACAGCCTTCGTCGGCAAGGAATGGGTGCTGTTGTGAGCTGAGAGTCCAGGATGGAACCGTCCTCTTCCAGAAATAAAGGCCACTTCAGTGTTTCCCTCATGTCTTAAAAACAAATGAGAAACCAATTTAGAACTAAACAGCCTCATGCCCGGGAATTCTGAGATGCCAAAATATCGGCACAGTTTTGAAAGGTTCTGTCTGCCATCTTGATTCAAAATGGTGGCCAGTTGTAGCCAAACATAGACCAAAAAAAATCAAAAACTCCTCTTCCCTGTGGTGCTGCCCCATGTGGCTGTGTGAACATGTGTGTGGACATTGCAGCCTGAAGGGCTGTGGAATTTCCGTTCCTTGGAATATGGTCAAATACGAGGTTGGACAAGCATAAGCTTGCAAGGGGAACATGCTTCAGTTGCCTGGAGCCAACCTTGTTGTAGACACATTTTTAAATGCAGTGCACTTTTTTAAAGGGGTACTGAGATTGACATTTTGATCTGGAAGTGGGAATTAAGGCAGCTTTGGCTATCTCAACTCTGTTCAAGATGGCCCACTGCAGTTCTTCCAGCACCACATCATTAACATCCAAAGGGCTTTCAGAAAGTCTCCTTTACCTGAATTTTGTTTTTGCAAGAATCCTTTTGGCCTCTTCATATGTGGCCCCCACCAGAGAGTCTTTATTGACAGCGATGAGCTGGTCGCCTACCCGGAGACGGCCATCCTGTAAGAGAGCCATAGAAGAATATCTCTGTGAGATCAAGCTTCATGGAACACGGAGGAGTGAGGTGAATCAGGACCACATTATTTCCTTGGTTGTCCTTCGCTAGGAGTAGTTAACCTTTATTGGCCTGAGGGTCACACTCACCCTTGACCAACCATCTGGTGGCTGCATGCCAGTGGTGGATGTGGCCACACCGACCCACACATTTGCACATGCAGCACACACATTACACACACGTAGAGATGGCTCAGATGAGGAGAGAGGCTATTGTTGCCTACTTCACTCATCACATGATCAATCTGATGATCTGGGAGGTGGAGATTTGTATCTCTACCAGGGTGAAGAGGTTTAAACTGCTCTGCTCATCACAGCATTGTGTCTCTCCCCCCCCCTTTTACCACCATCCCCAAAATTGGTGAGGGACCAGAACTATCTTCTGGGAGGGTACTTGATCTAGTCCCTGAGGATAGGAGTTAGCTATTGCTGTTCAATCTGCTTAACACTCACTCAGTGGTGAGTGGGGTCAGAGGAAAAAGTGGGTGGAGCAATGGATGTGAGTTTTCCTTTGTGTGGTTGGCTAGTTTCTACACACACACACTCCTTGCTGAGGGGCTGTGGACTCAGAAGAGACCCAAGGGCTCGATGGAGAGGCCTGGTGAGGTGGCACATGCCTTGAAATATAGCAGTGCCAGCCTGAAGCTGTTCAAATGCTCGGCTCACCCTGTAACAGTCGCCTTCTGGTTGCACCTCTTGGATGTAAACCATGGGTCCATCCGGCCGGTTGGCCCCTCCTCCGATGGTCACACCCAGCCCAGAGGATTTTGCTATAGAGATGCTCTGGATCCCAGATTCAATGGAGCAACTGCAAGGGAAGAGGGTAGAAGGTTAGTGGAAGATGTTAAGAAGAACCTAGCTGAATCAGGCAAGGAACTTGTATCCAATGGCAACCAGCCGTAAGAAACGTAGGGAGAGGCCTACTCGTCCATCCAAGCTCAGTAATGTCTACACAGACTGGCAGTGGCTCTCCAAGGTTTCAGGCATTATATTGCCCAGTTTCTCCCAACCGTACATGGAGATGCCACGGATTGAACCCAGGTCCTTCTACATGCAAAACTGATGTTCTGCCATGGTGCTATTACCCTTCCGATTTATACCTCTTAGAGGCACACAAGCAGAATATGAGGGCAATAGCCCATCCACAGTGTTTCTCTGCAGCGTGTGGTACAGTCGTACCCTGGTCTAAGAACAGTCCTGTTAACCAATGATTCGGGCAACATACTCCACAAAACCGGAAGTAGGTGTTCCGGTTAGCGAACTTTGCCTCAGAAGACGAACGGAAGCTGACCAGTGGTAGGGCACTGGGGGCGGGAAGCCTCATTGGGGAAAGTGCACCTCAGTTTAAGAATGTTTTTGGTGTAAGAACGGGCTTTCGGAATGAATTAAGTTCGTAAACGGAGGTACCACTGTATTCAGCAGTAGACTGCCATTGAACATGGAGGTTCTATGGCTAGCCGTCATAGCAGGAGGCAGGAGGCAAATCACATTCAGACTACAAATTCACCTAATGACCTTTTGGCTCTCATAGTCCCGTGGTGCAGAAAGAACCCCAAAGCTCCATCAAGATCCTTCCTGCTTTGTCCACAAGGTAGGATCTTCCACATATCTCTGTCTCAAACTACTCTTGCTATTGCTCTATGATAGGCCCATCCAAACTTCAGGAAAATAAGAGGTAAGATAGCCTTTCCTGGACTGTTTTCCATTTAAGGTGGCTAGTGGAAAGAGTACAATTGTCAGGGACCAGGAGACAAATAGAGGTGAGGACTGTGAACCTGAAGGGGGAAGGCAGCATGGGGCTACCCTAGAAGCACAGCTATCAGATGAACCCGCAGGGTCAGTGCCCCTTCTTGGCCCAAAAAGGTGACACTGCCATTGTCCGACTTGGAGGACTGTAGAAGACCCGGGAAGACCTGAGGCTCACCCACTCCATCACAGTAGTTTACTGAAAATGGGTGTGTGGTACCAACAACGAGGCCACTTCTGGTGCTCCTGCTATAATAGGGCTCACTTGCAGCTGGTTCCTTGCTAGAGCAACTTCAGAGCTGTGTGTTCCCCACAGCACCACCTGAGCTGGGTATCCAGCCTGAACCCTGCTCCCCCCGGTATCCAGCTTGTGTTCTGCTGGAACTTCATCCCACCTTGCCTTGTCTCCTGCCAGAACTTCACCTGGTCTTACACCTTGGCTAGGCTTTGCCTTGGCACACTGCAGAGCAAGTCAATGTGTTTCAAAGCTCTGCAATGTGAAACAAAGACAGAACTCCGTGCATGTGGAAAGTTAACCCCTCAGGGGAAAGGCTAGGTGAAAGTCCTTTCTCCTAACATGCTGGTTATTAGTTTGAATGAATGTGGCACATCCATTCTTACGGGAGGTGCGTCTGCCACACAAATGGCTGCACAGCTTGCACGAGGAGGATGTGTGCGCATGCACACTCTCATCTGCCAGGATGCTCCACACGTGATGGGGCACACGAACACATACAGGTGATCCAACAGGATTGCAGCCAACCATTGACACCTCTCAAGAGCAATGAAGTACGTACTGCGATGGTGGGTGTGGCGAGTGTCCTGGATTCCCAATCAGTGGTCCGTGGGAATTTGCCGGGCTCAGCAACAAAGGGCTCTGGGAACGAGATGAAGACCCCGAGGACGTACTCTCCAAATACCTGCCTGAAGAACAAAGCCAAGGACACTGTTTGGAGGTGAATGAGAGACTTCCCTGGACATCAACAAGCTTCAAGTCACACTGAGAATGGAGGAAGGGCCTGAAGTTGGGCACTCCTTGTGATGGCCTGGGAATCGGATTCAGAGGCTGAACCTGAGGAATCCCAGCCTGCACAGGAGTCCCCGCCTCCAGGACCAGCTGAGGCTTGAACCTGAAGGGCCCTCACCTGTGCCGGATCCTCAGGAGCAGACACCAGCTGAATCTGCTCTGGCTCCGGAGGTGATCCAGGACCCATTGCCTGCAGGTGCTCCACTCTCAGCCCCGTCAGGGGAGGCTGAGGTTGCCTCTGGGTCCGGTAACCCTCCAGCCTCTCCTGATCTGCAGAGGCTCAGGGCAGAGAGGCGGAGGGAACTAAGTTCTCGCAGGAGGAGTGCTTGCCTCCAGGCCAGGAGAGATGAGTCACCTGTGGACTGGGACCGCCCTATGCCTCGGGGCAGATAAAAGCCAGCCAGCCCAGTCCCAGGTTGTGGGAGCAACATTGTTGGTAACCTGGTCCTGCCGGCAGCCTGTCCTGCTCTTCTGCCAGAGTTCCTGACCACACCTGACTCCTTGCCTTGGACCCCGCTTCAGCCTTGACGGACAGACTCCATACCATACCCTCGACCTTGGACTGGACTTGGACCATGCCGCACAGTAACCCCCCTGGGACCAGCACACTCCTGCTTCCTCCCATAGCCTCTCTCCAAGTGCGCTCCCTCACCACGGGAGCAGTGGCATGCAGTGGGAGGCATCTGGTTCCTCGGGTGCCCATGAGGGTGAGGACTCTAGCCCTATAGGCTCTGGTGGTCCAGGAGTTCCTCCTGGATGCTTCTGTCTGACAGCCCCAGGTGCTGCTGTCTCCTGATCTCCAGCCATCATTTTAGAGCCCTGAGTTTGAGCCAGCTCCTAAGCTGTTGCCTCTACAATTCCTGACTCTGTGTCTGAATTGCTTGAAGCATAAAGAGCTGTTGAGCCATTTGACTGCAGCAACAAGGGCTGTGATAAGTTGGACAGTGTGCAAAATTTAATAAAACTTCATTTTTAAAAAATCATTTTTATTGGTTTTTAATAAAACTTCATTTGAAAGGGGCTGGGGGATGACCACTCAGCCCAGCAGCAATTCAGACACAGAGTCAGAACTTGTAGAGGTTCTGAGCTCATAGTGGTTAGTGAGATGGTTAAAATAGTTTCAGGCAGAAGCTGACCAGCAGTAGGAGAGAAACAATGACTAAGAGGGGGCGGAAATGAAAATGACAATATCTTACATCCCTAAGTATGTACTTTTTTTTGTCCTCTTTTTTTCCTAGTTCCACTGCTAGTTCAGTTCACTCAAGATCATAAATACTGACCCCCACCATGGAGAACCGGTGAGCTGCGTGCCGAACCTGTGTTGCTATGAGATCCGAATTTTTCCAGCAGTTCTGCAAATTCTCTCCTAAACAACAAAAAGAATGCTAATTATACAACTGTCTACCCCCAAGTATAGTGTGTGAGTGTGTATCACACATAGATGGTCGTGATGTTTCAAAACTACACCTATCTGAAACAAAGGTGAACTTTTCATAATTATTCTTTCTTTCTAAAGTTAGGTTTTCTGTGGCACTCCCCCCCCCCCCCAAAAAAACCCCTCATCACATATAATCTTATATCTGGCAGACATATTGTAAAGGCAATAATGTTAAATTAATAACTTCAGTATTTTGCACCCTAAATTCAGTTCTCCACATTTCCACATCAGTTTGGACATTTATTTATTTTTAAGTCCTCGTGTCATGAAATTCATTCTCATTTCAGTGCAAAGTGATCGTACTATGCATATTTTCCTCTACAAGTTTGCCTCACACACACATTTTTGCAAAGCAAGCTTCTGCTAACTCAACGTATTTTTCTGTTATTTTCAGAAAGGTTTGCATTTGCCAGGTTTTGGAGGGCAGGGGGACACTCTCCCCTGATTTATACATTTACCTATACATTACTCAATGGCAGAACTGTTATGCCAAATTCGGAGCAGCATGGATTTCAATGAAAGGCTCTTTTTTGTTTTGTGCATTGTTTAGGAAAGTGGAAATTAAGTTGGTCCAACCTTCAAAAATGTGACCTGAATCAAATTTCTTCCCCATCCCTAAACACTATCAAGACCAGGGACAAATCAGTCTTGATGCAATGAGAAATCACATTTAGAATATGGATGTTTGATCATGCTGTGGAGACCTATAGAAAGTACAGGCTGGGCAAAGATTGGCCAGGCTGACCACTGACAGGCTGAGTCATTTATTGATGCTCAAACAGCTGACCTCAAAAGAACAGGGCGGGTGGGACAGGGAGGGGGCGATCTGGGCACCTCACCAACCCAGGTCACGTGATCTGCGTCAGAAACGCACCTGTGACCCTAAGGTGGAGACAAGGATGATTACTCCTTCAAGCTCAAGGGCACGGCTGAAAGATAATAAGGGATAAATAAAATAAAATAAAATAATAATGCTAAAAAGGCCAGCATAAAACCACCCTCTCACTCCTGCTTCCTCTCCCCTTCTTCTTAATCTTGGAGATATGTATTGGTGTATTAAACATTTTGTGAGATGATTATGTAAGCGAAATCTCTACAAATCTTTGCCCCTCCCAAAAGCTTACAGGCCATCTCACCCTCTGGATGATCTTTTGCAGATTTAGTGCATAACTGATAGCAAAGGATGGCTGTAAGTGTTGCTCAGAGTTTGACCACCTTTCCTTGGGCTCGGTATGTTGTATATGATTTAATTTCCCAGCCATTTAGGGGCAGGAAAGCCTCTTTATATTAGCAGACATATGCTGCAGTTTAAAAGATGTGACTTTAGGAAGATACGACTGGGCAGAGTGGAACAAGGAAATCACAGTTATTGCAAGAGTACAAAAGATTCCATCAGAGGACTCACAAGCCTACTGGAATGAGTTTGGGAGTTAGACTGAATGGGCTTTTGGGGTTCCCTTCAATCTGAAAATGAGATTCTGAAGAAAAGGAGACTGCTAAAATGGTCAAACCATTGTGCCATATTGGTTTGAGATGCTTCATAAAAAGCAAGCAAACAATTAATAATAATCAACAGGCAATCAGATCCAGTCAGATCACTGTGTTTCCCAGTTGGTGGAAAGGAGGACCAGTCTCTTTTGCCAATGTATTCTGCCCCATTAAGGCTTAGATAATACACACACTGTGGTCTCGATTCTTCTTCCCTGGTTCTTGCTAGTGATGAAGACAGGAATCTCCATTATTAGTGAAAGGATTGTTTGGGTAGGGAAATCTAATCTCAAATGGCATATGCCCTCCAAGGCCAACTGGTTTGAAATAAAATCAAAGATAGGAGACTGCAGTCAGAGCTACCAGGGTATTATGTGTTAGCTAGTATACAGTTATTGTCTTCCAAAGCAACTACTCTATTCTGAACTTAAAATTGGAAAGCATAATGCTGGTGGTCAACAAAATGCTTGTGGTCAACAAAAGAGGTTTAAAGACTCTCTCAAGGCAAATCTAAAAAAATGTAGCATAATCACTGACAACTGGGAAACACTGGCCTGCGAGTGCTCCAATTGGAGAACAGCCATTACCAAAGGGGTTATGGAAGATGCTCGAACTCAGGACGAAAGGAAGAAACGTGCTAAGAGGAAGGCACACTTGGCAAACCCTTACCATGATCAACTCCCGCCCGGAAACCTATGTCCCCACTGTGGAAGGCTGCGCGGATCCAGAATTGGCCTCCACACTCACTGTTAAAACTGTGTTTATGGAAGACAATCTTACTCGGTTACGAGTGATTGCCAAAGAAGAAGACAGTTCAGGACCAGGCCATTTGAGAGACCACCTTATCCCTTATACACCCAGTGGACTGCTGTGGTCTGCAAGAGAGTTTCTTCTGAAATTCCAAAGATCTCAGAAGCCCCTCACACAGTAACTTAGAGTGGGGCTGCCCCTGTTCCGTGGAATACCCTTCATGTTGACGTATGACAGGAGCCCATGATCTGCACTCTCTAGAAACCGCTGAAGACATTTTTGCTTTGACTGACTTTCCCAGATGGATAAATGGGTCTTTACCACAAGTGTCCATTTGCTTGGGTTTTAAATATATTTGCTGTTTTTAACTTTTAATTATCGTATAAGTAAATCGCCCTGAGACGGTGGTTTAGAATAATAAATAAGTGGTCATCGCTCTTTGTCCCAAGTCTATCTAGAAGAGCATCCTGTTTCCTTACAGTAGCCAAGTGCTTCTCAGAAGCCGACAAGGCAAGAGCCCTCTCCTCTTATTTATCCTCAGGCAGGACCCCAATTCAGGGGGACACTGATTCTGAAGAGGGAGGCTCTCTATATGCCATGATTGGGGGAGGTCCTGTGCAGCCAACAGATAAGATGAGAGCCAGCTCCTCCTCTGAGAGCACTTACATGCCCCCCAACATTTCTCCAGTGAAAATAGGGACATCTCATTCCGTAATAATAATTTTACAATTTATACCCCACCCATCTGGCTAGGTTGGCCCAGCCACTCTGGGCAGCTTCCAACATATATAAAAACATAATAATAATAATAATAATAATAATAATAATAATAATTTATTTATACCCTGCCCATCTGGCTGGGTTTCCCCAGCCACTCTGGGCAGCTTCCAGCAGAATATTAAAATACAACAACCTATTAAACATTAAACGCTTCCCTAAGCAGGGCTTCTCAAAGTCTGGTAGTTGTTTTTCTCTTTGACATCTGGTGGGAGGGCGTTCCACAGGGTGGGTGCCACTACCGAGAAGGCCCTCTGCCTGGTTCCCTGTAACTTGGCTCCTCGCTGTGAGGGAACCGCCAGAAGGCCCTCGGCACTGGACCTCCGTGTCCAGGCAGAATGATGGGGGTGGAGATGCTCCTTAAAAAAAAACAACTTTCCCTATACAAGGCTGCCTTCAGATGGCTTGGGGGTCAGACAACTTCATGCCCTCCAACATTTCTCAGATGAAAATAGGGACACCCTAAGGAAAAGCAGGACATTCCGGGATCAAATCAGCTTCTGTAAATCTGAGACTGTCCCTGGAAAAAGAGGGACACTTGGAGGGTCTGCTTATGTAAAAGCAGTAAACTCTGAGCCGAAATGCACAAACTTTATAAGGCGGGCTTCACCATTAGGTAGAGTGTGGTAGCTGCCTCAGGTGGAACCTGATACCCTCAGGTCAGTGAAGGTTGGTCCATTCAGGCAAATGGAACACTGCCCTGCCAACCTTAGCCAGCCCCCATCTGCCTGCCTTCTTATTGCAACCTGTCCATGAGGTGGCGCTGCCTTCCTTCTGCTAACCTCAGTGTGGAACTCAGCAGAGAAGAGGAAGCAGGAAGTGGGGGGAAATTAGCTCTGCCTGTCATTGACTCTGGCTCCACTTACTGTTGGGTTCCTTGCCTTCTACCCTCCCAGTCCCAGCATTGCCTCAGGTGCAGTAGAGGATGCTAGTCCATTGCCAGTTTTGAAGGAAGAGTCAATGCCAGCCCAGTTGGCTTCTGTGTATGGAATGTGTGAAGGAGGAACATTGTCCTTTGTCCTGGCAGCAAAATGCCAACCCTGCACAGTGAAGCTGCAATCCAGAGCACCCTTACATGGGAGTAAGCCCCACGAATAGGCTTACTTCGGAGTAAATATAACCATAATCGCACTAGCATTCTGTAGTGGACCCACCACTTAATACCATCAATTAATAATGCAGCGGATCCACTCCCGCTATCTGCCCCCAATTAAATATACTGGGCCCATCTCACGATACACCAGTTACACAGATTTCTACAATATACCACAGATTATCTAGTGGGGGGACTTGTGTGAGTCTCAGGCACGAGTTGATCGAGCAAACAAGAAAAGTTTGATTAAACAAAAGAGGTTTATGAAACAAAGTGGGTCAGGAACTGTGTTCTTTCAGGTAGAAGTTAACTTGTTTAATTTAACTAACTCTAAGACATCTCAGGCTTAAACACAACACTATAGGCACAGCTCTTCTTAAACACCAGTTACTAAAAACCAGTTGTTACACTTCAGGTGGTAGATGTTCAGGTTTCTAGAATAGATGGTAAAATGTTCAACTCAGTTTCTGTCACTTAGATATTACAGTTAAATACTTTCAACATCGTACTGTTTCCTTCACAGCTTAATATTTTGGTTCATGAGTGAGGGGCACTTCTCCTCATGCACCCACTCTTTTAACAATCCCACACCTGAGGTCTTCTAAATGGTATAACAGACCCAAGGGATCACCTCACCCCTTGTTACTGGGTTGGGAGTCTTCAGCACCTAGAAGAACTCTCCCCTCCTGGCTATACGGAGACCCAGGTAGCCTGAATTCCCACAAGATCTACCTCTCCTGGCTCAGACTCAGCCTTCGCAGGACACTTCTTTCTGTATACCTTTCCCAGACCCTTGACCTGGTCACCCTATCCAAGCTGCGAGGCTCTGTCGTCTCGCTATGGATAGTCTCCTCAGTGTGTATGTTTAATGTCACTCAGAACCAGTTCTCCTTATCTCACTCCAAACTCCAAACTCCAATCAAATCCTATCTCTTAACCTGAACCTTTGCCCCTTCTCAAAACCAAAACCTATCTCTCATTTTAAATCCAGCGCTGTCTAACTCTCTCCCACCTAGAAACTGCTCCTTTTATTCTCCCCTCACCCAAAGTGCTGTTTCTTCCCCTTCTGTGGCTAGCTGACTGTAGTCCATCAGCGAGAGGCTCCAGCACTCTGGTGGAGTTTCAGAGGAACTGCGTCACCAGACTCTAGTCCAGGGGTCAGCAAACGTTTTCAGCAGGGGGCCAGTCCACTGTCCCTCAGACCTTGTGGGGGGCCAGATTATATACAGTGGATGCTCGGGTTGCGAATGTAATCCATGCGGGAGGCACGTTCGCAACCTGCAGCGTTCTCAACCTGCAGCGCCATGTCTGCGCACGTGTGGGTTGTGATTCGGTGCTTCTGCATATGCGCAAAGCATGATATAGTGCTTCTGCACATGCGCGAGTGCCGAAACCCGGAAGTAACCTGTTCCGGTACTTCTGGATTCAACGCGGTGCACAACCCAAAAACGCACAATCTGAAGTGTCTGTAACCTGAGGTATGACTGTGTATCCTATACCCCACAAATAACCCAGAGATGCATTTTAAATAAAAGCACATGTCCTACTCATGTAAAAACACCAGGCAGGCCCCACAAATAACTCAGAGATGCATTTTAAATAAAAGGACACATTCATGTAAAAACATGCTGATTCCCGGACCATCCACGGGCCGGATTTAAAAGGTGATTGGGCTGGATCTGGCCCCCGGGCCTTAGTTTGCCTACCCATGCTCTAGTCCAGGGGTGGCCAACTCCCAAGAGACTGCGATCTACTCACGGAGTTAAAGACTGGCAGTGATCTACCGCCTTTTTGGAGGTTCAGGTCAAAGTTGTTGAGTTGTTTTTAGGGAGGGGGAAAGCCGCATTTGGGGGGGGGTGCAGCGCAAAATGGTTGAGCTTTTTTCAGGGGAGCCAAGCTTGTTGAGCTTATTTGTGGGAAGCCAGTGATCTACCAGTGATCTACCACAAACGCCCAGTGATTTACCGGTAGGTCACTATCTACCTGTTGGACATGCCTGCTCTAGTCTGTCTCTGCTGTCCATCATGCATTCCTCCCTGCCCCAGGTGAGAGAAAAAGTCAGTCCTTACCGGGCATCGTCATCTCGGGCAATCAGAAGGCGCATGTGGCTGGTGGCGGAAGCCGTCCTGAGGATATCCACCGCTCTGCAAGGAAGAGGAAAGAGAGTGATATGCGGCAGGTGACTGACACTCACCAAGAGGCCTTTTCAGCCTGTGAAGCATCTTCAGACTTGGGTCTCCAGATGTTAAGAACATAAGAAGTGCCTGGTGGATCAGGCCAGAGGCCCATCAAGTCCAGCATCCTGAAACAAATTCAGAGCCCTGATCCAGAATGCTATACCTTTCGCTTGTAACGCCAAGCAAACTGTCTCCGTTAACTTCTAAGATCTGGTCCCCTGGTTGCAGGCGGCCTAAATCAAGCAAACAGGCAAGAGAAGTGTCACACATATGGAAAAAGAACATACTCCCTATCCATAATTGCATGGGGACAATAGGAACACCAGCAGCTGCCTTATCCTGAGCTGGATCATTTGGTCCATCTAGCTCCATACTGTCTTCACTGACTGGCAGTGGTTCTCTATCAGATGGGAATCTCTCTCTGTCTCTCTCATTTATTAACTTTTCTGTTTTGCAATTGAGAGTATTCATTTAAATAACCTTAAAATACCAATTACATCCCTTCTTCTCTTTCCGTGGTTCATTTCGCATAACATATTTTACATAAACTATCTGGTAAGAGAAAGGAACTGAAGATGTATCAGAACAGTTAGCAGAGCCCTCTAGCAGAACCATTCAGTATTCCATGGTTACATCCATCAAAACTTTTTTACACTGTTGAATTTATCTTAATACTGCCAGCGTTTTCAACAAATGGGAATCTCTTCACAGGGTCAGCATCACAAGGCCTTTAGGTCAGAATCAGAAGCAATAAATGGCACTTACCATCAGCATGAGCAACACCTCCTGGTAGGATTCTCTTAACGTAAACCCCATATTCCTCTCCAGTAAATTCTTTAATGCCTCCAATCACTTTAATGCCTATCAGGAAAATATAACATAACATAACATTTCCTTACTACCCCATCCTCTGAAGGCACACCCACCCTGCACACTAGTTTAAAAAACATGGGAATTGTTATGTACTGAAGTTCTCACCCTGGGCCAGCAGGGGGATACTGTAGATAGTTATGCAAATAAGGGATCGAAAGTCACGTTCAGTGATTGGATAATTTTAGAAAATTGTTACAGTTACGTTGTACTGGAGCTCTATATAAGCAGGCTGGCTGAACCCTTCAGTTCTGTTCTGTTCTGGCCTCTGAATAAACAAGAGCTGTTTGAAGAGGCGCTGTGTCGTCTGATATGTTCACCCACAACTTAACAGGAATGCTGGGAATTTTTGGCCTGGTGAGGGGCCTGGAAGGACTAACTAAACATTGATATGTCAACAAAGAAAGTTGCCTCAAACCAAGTTGGGCTGTTGGCCCATCTATCTCGGTATTGTCAACACTGACTGGCAGCAGCTCTCAAGGATTTCAGGTAGAAAGTGGATAGATAATATTAGAATTCAGAGGCATCCAATTAAGCTGAATGTTAAAAATTTTTGGGAAATGATATACAAAGAATTGAAAAAAATGTTTAAAATGACATTTGTAAAAAAAACCAACCAGAAGCATTTTTGTTAGGGATTGTAGGACAAGACCTGCCAAGGAAAACAAATTATTTATGTATGCTACAACAGCGGCAAGAGTCTTGATAGCACAAGGATGAAAGAATGAGGAAATCCCGACGAAAGAACAGTGGCAAGAGAAATTGATGACTTATGCAGAACTGGCCAAATTGACATATAAACTGAGAGATAAAGACAACTGCGACTTTAAAGACGAATGGGAACTTTTCACATATTATTTAAAAAGACAACAAAACGAACTGGACTCCTTGGCAGGTTTTGAAAAAACATACACAAATTTATTGGTTGATAACATGAAGGATAGATATGTAGAATTTTATAATATGCAGAGAAAATATGCGAAGAGAAATCAGGGAGAGGAGCTGAGGGAAGTCCTTGGTGGGGGGGAGGTGGAGGGGGGAAAATAATGTATGTGATTATATGGTTTGCGAATTTGTTATGTGGAGATTGATCAATAATTTTTATTTTTATTTTTTAAAAAGCTGAATGATGGGAGATTCAGGATGGGGGGGGGGGAGGGAGGACTCCTTCACACAGAGCATAGCTGAACTATGGAGCTCTTTCCCCCCAGAAGGAGCAAGGGCCACTGACATGGATGGCTTTAAAGGGTATGAGACAAATTCATGGAGGGTAAGGCTATGACAATGGATGCTAGCCATCATGACGATGTTCTTCCCCCACTGTTAGATGCAGTAATGCTTCTGAATTTCATATGCCTGGAGTTGTAAGTGGTAAGAATGGCCCGTTGTGCTCAGGTCCTGTCGGAACAGGATGCTGGACCTGAGGGGCTACTGGCCTAATCCAGCTTCTTCTTCTTAGGTCCTTATGTATCAGTCCTTACCACTGAAATACATATATTCCACTTGAGGCATAGAGAATGAGAGTGAAGTGAGCAACCTCAGTAGCGGCCTTGAGGATATGGAACTCCTTCATCAGGGAAGCTTTGTTATAGATCAATGTGTTTTGCAAGATGAACCTATTGGGTTGGAAGTAACACAACTGATACTCCCAGAAAACTGTGCATAAGGATTGCAGTCTTCCTAATCCTAATGAACTGGAATAAATAAATGAAAATGTCCAGTAGCACCTTAGAGACCAACTAAGTATGTTCTGGGTATTAGCTTTTGTGTGCATGCACACTTCTTCAAGCCCGAGGGATAGGAAGATTTCAAAGCAGACACAGTTCTGCAGATCAAACTGTACCCTTTTACATGTCCTCGCTTTGCTCAAACTCTTCTGTCTCTTATGCCTTGCTTGGGGCATGTGCTGGATACCTGCCCAGAATGCCTAGTGCCACAACATCCCTGACATTAAAATGACACAGAATGCCTGTACACGGTATTTCTAGTGCACGGCTGAGGAGGATTCCAAGCCAAAAACAGCTGGGGTGAAAAGTTCATTGGGGAGGGAGAGGAAGGAAAATAGGTCAGTTTTGATTGCTGTTTATTTATTTAAAAGCTAAACCACATAAATGGTTTTTATCCCTCTGCGGTATATAAAAATAACATAAAACAGCATCAAATAACATAATAAAAATGGTAAAATAGCTTTATAAAAGCAGGGGGCTGCAGCCATCTAAATTTCACTCAGGAACCCCTGACCATTAGGTCCAGTTGTGGCCGACTCTGGGGTTGCGGCACTCATCTCGCTTTATTGGCTGAGGGAGCCGGCGTACAGCTTCTGGGTCATGTGACCAGCATGACTAAGCCGCTTCTGGCAAACCAGAGCAGCGCATGGAAACGCCGTTTACCTTCCCACTGGAGCGGTACCTATTTATCTACTTGCACTTTGACGTGCTTTCGAACTGCTAGGTTGGCAGGAGCAGGGACCGAGCAACGGGCGCTCACCCCGTCGCGGGGATTCAAACCGCCGACCTTCTGATCAGCAAGTCCTAGGCTCTGTGGTTTAACCCACAGCGCCACCCACATCCCTTTCACTCAGAGTAGTCTCATTTAAATTAATAGGTGTAAGCTAGTCATGTCCATTGATTTCCGTGGTTTACTTCATCATACTGGATGAAGTGTGCTGTAATGGTTAGGATCTAAGAGACAAGGATTGAAATCCCCACTCATCCATGAAGTTCACTGGGTGACCTTGGAGCCAGCCCCTAACCAACCTCACAGGATTGTTGTGGGGATGAAGTGGGCGGGGGGCTCTTCTCATGTCCTTATGGACTTTTGGTAAGTCATGCCCATTAACTCTTTTAATATCTGTCAATAGAGAACTTCAGTATTTCTTAATCTTTGCACGTGTTCACACAATATTAAATATCCTTCCTCAAGGGGCTCAGTAATGCATCAGTCACTTGAATTCAGATTAATTGTACCCGTGTTAGAACCCAACTAGATATGGGGTCTCCAACATGGTAAGTGGGCAGGCATCTTCCTTGGTGCCCTTTAAGGCTTCCTGCCCCTCCCAAATTTTTAGTTTTGTCTTTTTTTAAAAAAAAATGAGGTGTGTTTTTTGTTTTTGTTTTAGGGGGTTGCTTGGGAAGAGTTGCCTGTTTCTGCTTTAGCCTGCATTTTATTGCTTTTGGGGTATGTGCAGGTGTTTTTGTGTGTTTGTTTAAGGGAAAGGCATTCTCAGCATTGCCAGTGTTCCTTCTGTGAAATGGGTATGTTGTGGTGCCTACTGCACAGTTCCAAATGTGTCCCCAGCTCCCAAAAGGTCAGGAAACCCAGAGCCAAATAGGATTTTGAAAAATGTAAATTCATGCATAATGTAAGAGTAAGGCAAATTCTTCCAGTTTCAGTTTTCTTGGCTGCCTCTCACCTCTTTCTCATGCAATCCTATAAGAAAGCGTGGCAGATAGTCACATCTCATCATTATTAAACACACACACATAGCCAAGGGTGACTGATTGAGCACAAATAATAGGAAGAGGATCCCTTCCCGCAAATAATTTTTCAAGTGTCTGTTGTTGCACACCCACAGTGCCCTCTGGTGGCAATATATAAAGGCTGGTGCTAAATCCAAAACAGAACTCTAGTTCAGAATCATGCAAAAAATCGGGATGAAACATGCATGTGAAATTTCCAGTCTCAGCTCCATGTGGAGCTCTCCAGGGTGCTACTGGGAGACAGAACTTTGCTTGCCTCATCATAACCTAAATCCAAACCCTTACCCAGAATCCTCTGTCATGAATGGAATTATGGATGGAGGAGAAATTCGGTTTGGTTCACATTTTAAAACGGCTTTCAAAACTTTCAAAAACAATATGCATCTTTTCAAATTCAAACTTCTCTGACTTTTGCAGCACAACTGTGCTCAAATACTGCGTACCAAAATGCGTGTGTACATAAAAACGCACATAGTCATGAAAATAACATGCAGAAATGCAGTATATCAGAGAAAGCATCTTTGCACAAATGTGTATATTAGGCAAAATTGCATACAACAATGTGTATTAGGAGAAATTTGCACTAAAATGCTGAATTTTGATGAGGACTTTTTAAAAACAAAGATTCACAAACTGATGTGGAAATGTGGAGAACAGAACATAAGATGAGAAAAATGAGAAAGTGAGACCTCATTCATACCATACATTTAAAGCACTACGATCCCACTTTAAACAGCCATGGCTTCCCTCAAAGTATTATGGCAACTGTGTTAAGGATGCTGAGAACTGTTAGCAGACCCCTCTTCCCCTCACAGAACTACAATTCCCAGAGTTCCTTCTGAAGAGGGATTGATTGTTGAATAACTCTGGGTAACAAGTACACACACACCCCCGGCAGCAATAAAAATGTGCTTTAAGCACATGGTGTGTACTCAGCCTTTGGGTACAAGCGACACAACTTGGCTTTTGGTCATTTAGAATTTCTGGTGATTTTTTTTTAAACAATTGGACTGTTTCAATGAAATGAACTCTCTACTGGGTTTTTTTTTTTAAATTTTGTTTTATATTTTACTATTTAATGTGGAATTTGTGGTTCTGATTGTTTGGATGTGTAAGCTGCCCTGAGATCTCTGCTGGTGAATGGATAAACTAAAAACATGAGATTTGACACAGAAATGCCTGGCAGGAAAAGGGCAAAAATGCAATTTATCAAAGGCTCATTAAATTCTAATTTCTTGGAGTCTGGGCTGAAGGCTGTGGGATTATGAATGCTGGTTTTAATTAACAAATCAGCCAGTCAGTGAGAGCCAGCGAGATCAGACTTCCTTGCTCTCAATCCAAGACACAAATAGATGTGTTAACAGACGGAAGGAAGCCCACAGACACTGAGCATCTGTCTATTACAACCACACACAACACACACAGCACGAGAGGCAACTGAACCAAGGAATCAACACCATTGACAAACATGTTTTGCTTGGAGGTATTCTGCGAAGCCAAGATCAAAGTGACTGATCTGCTCATGCCTAACAAATATAAGGACACGCTTATTGAATTGCTCTTGTTGGGTACAGAAAGTTTCAGTCTGAGCCACCTAGGAAAGAACTCACCTGGAGTCAAGACTCCTGGTTCATCTAGCTTGGTCATGCCCAATAGCGATAACAATTTTATTATTTATATGCCACCCATCTGACTGGGCTGCCCCAGCCCCTCTGCGTGGCTCCCAACAAAATATTAAAAACACAGTAAAATATCAGCCATTAAAAGCTTCCCTGTACAGAGCTGCCTTCAGATGTCTTCGTAAAGTCATATAGTTATCCATCTGTTTGATATCTGATGGGAGGGCATGCCCACAGGCTGAGCCAACAAGACCCTCCTATACTGACTGGCAGCTGCTCTCCAGAATTCCAGGTATGGCTCTCTCCTAGTCCTACTTGGAGTTGTTGTGGATTGAACTGAGGAATGCAAATCAGATGATATATCACTGAACTTCACCCCTTCCCATTTACACATTTTGGAAGGGTCTGTTTTGTCTGTTACCTTCCTTTACTCTGCAATAGCCCAATATTGAACTGAAATGATGGGGACACAACACACACAACAGAGCCCCTTGCTCACCCCACTTGCCCCCTAGAGTGGTGGCTCCCAAACTTTCTTCGACCACTTCCCCCTTGGTTCCTTAAAAAAAACATTACTCAGAATAGCAGTTTGCACAACCCATTAAGAAAGATGCAAAAAAAAAAATCAATCAAACAATCAATAGCACATTTATTCAAATTCCAATTAAAACTATCTAATCTAATTAAGTCAGCCAAATTGATGAACTTCATTCAGTGATGCCAGCTGCTCAAAGTCGGTTAGTCGTTTACATTTCCAGTGCCTCTTGCCACCCAGTTGCCTCTTAATGTCCCCCTAGGTAATTCCAGTGCCCCCCCAGTGGGTGGCACACCCCACTTTGGAAATCAGTGCCCCAGAACTTCCCCTTCCCATCCAATGTAAGCACTAAGTTTCACTTTCTGAAGCCGCTTCTCTCTTCCATTCTGATGCTCCACTTGGCACCCCCGTTTTCACCTTTGCTCCCATATCCATGCATCCTTCCCCTCTGTTCTGCACCCCCTTTACACAAACACCCATTTTCACAGGAAAGGAAGGAAGCCTGTGGGAAAGTAAAGGGGATCCCAAACCGAGTACAGTCATACCTTGGGTTACAGCCACTTCAGGTTGCATTTTTTCGGGTTGCAGACTGCCGAAACCCGGAAGTACCGGAACAGGTTACTTCCAGGTTTTGGCAGTTGCGCATGCGCAGAAGCACTAAATTGCACTTTGTGCATGTGCAGAAGTGCCAAATCACAACCCACGTGTGCGCAGACGCAGGTTGCGAACGCTGCAGGTTGCGAACTTGCATCCTGCACCGATCACGTTCACAACCCAAGCGTCCACTGTATATGAAGAGGGTGTGGAGCCAGAGCCATTTGATGGGACTTAGTGAAGGGCAGCTGGAATGCTGGTTACCCCTGCTCTCCTTCCCTGATTGGCTGGCCACACCCAGCATCTTCCACCCAACTGAGCAGCCGTGGCAGGGCAAGCTGGTCTACGTCCTGCTGCAGCTCCTCACCCATGTCCTGCAATTTGCCAGGATGCTGCTGGTACTCCTCTTCCATCCTGGTCATCTGCTGGGAGATCACCATAGCAATGTAGCCCGGGGCCAGGAGGGTACCAGCCATGTCCCTTGCCCTTCAAGGCATTACAGCAACAGCAGCAGGCCTGCAAGCTGCTTAGCCCACCACTGTGTGGGAAAAGCCTGTGGTGGCAACTCCACCTTCTCCTCCTCTAAACTGGGCACTCTCCCAGCTGTGGGGAAAGGGGAGACTTCAGTGATTTCAGGCCAGGAAAGCAAGGGGGTTTCCTATGAAGGGAGAGCTTAACATTAACAGCTCACCCACCACCACCCTTTTTGAGGTTTGCCTCTCCAGATGATGCCTTGGTAGAAGGGCAGTGGGAAACTCAGGCTGGCTACATGTTTGGCTACCGGTGGCAGAAGCAGCATTCCCCAGGGGGGCACCTGTCTTGTGCACACTGCAGCCCAGCCACTACGATGGCAGCAGCATACTGAACTGCTGGGAGGTGAATGGAGTGCCTGCAGAGCACCTGAATGACGTTTGCAGACCAATAGGTATAGAGCAACAACAGTCAGGGTTGTATCCAAGGCAGTGCACATTATACCAGCATAAGGGTTTGTCCTTGTACAATGGAACTTCTCCCATCCTCTTCCCAGATCTGCTCTGAGGGTTGGGGAACTCCCAGAACAGATTTAGTGGACTCACTGGGGAAGGAGAAGGAGGGGAAGTTCCATGGTGCAAGCATAAATCATTGCATGGATGGAATGAGTTAGTGGGATACCACCTTCTCTTTATATATTGGGGCAAGCCTGGTGGAGTTCCCAGATGTGTGTGGACACCTATATTTTAAAGACGGAAACACACAACTGTGAGAAGTGCATGATGCTTGCAAGGCGCATATTTTCTATAGGATTAGGCTAGTGCAACCCTGGCATTTCCCACAACTATCACAATGTGCCAAGTGGTCCTTAGTCACCCACCCCTTCCCACTTAATATTTCAGCAGATGTTGCTTGCACACTTATAAAGACTAGAAACTTAAAAAATAAAAATAAAACTGAGATTTCCAAAATGCTGCACTCAATTCCAGGTTTTGCCATTTACCTCCATTTCTTGCATGCAATTGCAACACACACACACACAACACAATATTTTGGCCTGTTTATTTCATGCACTAGAATTGTCCTCTTGCACTCTGGAACAGCAACCCAGATCTGTGACTAAGACAACTATATTTAATTACATTTGGCTTAATCTCTTTGTTTTGCTTTCCAGTCTCTGTAGCATCTTTTCCTTCGCCTGGGGTGAGGATTTGGCTATAGGTGAAATGAAGTTAAGCTTAGATCTAAGAAGATGAAGGTTAGGATAATTGGATCTCAGCTTTTCAGAAAAAAACATTGTTTAACTGCCACCTCTCTATGGTAACTAATTTCCAATTAAATGATCAGTGCAGATCTCTAAGACACTCGTGGAATTTAGGTTCAGGGAGTTAATTCCAGATTACCAGCTGCACTCTGCACAACAGAGAGTAGATATAATATCCTGGTCTATCCTACAAAGTCTGTGGACACAGCAACCATGTTTTTAACTCAGTGTGTCTTTTAAAAGTGCTGTGCCAAGAGTGAGTGGTTGTGTGAATGACAGCACCATGCCCAGTAGTCAGGTTGCACTACTTCCAGACTTTGGCATGTCATCATTGACACTACTCAAAACATAGCAGCTGCACAGAAATATAAGGAGCTGTCTTAATATATACTGAGCCAGACCACTGGCCTATTTAGTTCAGTATTTGTTTTAACTGACTGGCAGTGCTTCTCAGGTGTGTCAGGCAGGGATCATTTCCAGCCCTACCTGGAGATGCTGATTCTTCTGACATCTCCTTCACCTGTCCCAGCATCTCCAAGAATGAACCAGTGCTGAGGACAGGAGATGCTGCTGACCCACAAGTGGTGTGCTTTCCCTTTGTCCTGGACCAGAAGGCATCAAAGACTACAAAGCCATAATGCAGTGCAACATCGGAAGCTGCTTCACACTGAGTCAGGTCACTGGTCCATCTAGCTCAGTATTGTCTACTGGCAGTTTCTCCCAAGAGTCTCCGGCAAGGAAGATTCCCAACCCTACCTGGAGATGCGAAGGATGGAACCTGGGAGCTTCTACAGGCAAAGCAGATGCTCTGCCATGGAGCTTTGGTCCTTCCTCTGGAGGAATTTCTATGATGTTTCATTTTAAAGTAATTTTTACAGCTTCTACAAATATACAACTAGACAAATTAGGCGTAAACATAAGCAATAGCACAAACAAAGCCTGGCCTCCTCCCAAGCTTGCCAGTGACTGAAAAAGTATTCATGTCTTTATGATACCCTGTGGTTTTTATAAAAAATTATCCTACGTTGTTCAGAACCATTGTATGAAAACACCCATCCCCAGTGAGATCACTGTGATGGCCTGGGAATCCGATTCAGAGGCTGAACCGGAGAAACCCCAGCCTGCACAGGAGTCCCCGCCTCCAGGGCCGGCTGAGCTGGGGCAGGGGCCTTGGATCTGAAGTGCCTGCACCTGTGCCGGATCTTCAGGAGCAGACACCAGATGAATCCACTCTGGCTCCGGAGGTGATTGAGGACACAGTGCCTACAGGTGCGCGTCTCCCAGCCCTGTCAGGGGAAGGTGAGTCTCCCCCTGGGTCCAGTAACCCTCCAGCCTCTCCTGAGCTGCAGAGGCTCAGGGCAGAGAGGCGGAGGGAACTGGTTTCTCCCAGGAGGAGTGCTCGCCTTAAGGCCCGGAGAGGCGGGTCTCCTGGGAGCTGGGACCGCCCCTGCCCTCAGAGAAGATAAAGGCCAGTCAGCCCGGTCCCAGGTTGCAGGAGCAACGTCGTTGAATACCTGCTTCTGCCCGGACCCAGTCCTGTTCCCCCAGAGTTCCCGTCCCCGCCCGGCTTCCTGCTTCGGACCCCGCCTCGCTCTTTGTGAACTGTTTCCAGACTCGTGACCCAGGACCGGACTTTGACCACGCCAACGGTAACCTTCCCCCCGGGACCAGCACAATCACCTTCTCCAACTAAAGTATTCATAAGTATGCATAGTCATGACATCCACATTTGCAGTGATGTGGCTGATAATAATAAATGTTTTTCCGTAGTTTATAAAATAAACTGCCACCAAATACACACACACCCCTTTCCTTTCAGCCCCATTACATTATGAGTTACTTTCTGAGATATAGCCAATCTCCATACATGTTTACACCACGGGTCTGCTCCTAAACCCTGTTGATTCCTCCGCCATGTCTGGGTAATGGACAGCAGCGTAGCTAGCCACTCGGGTGACTGGTGCGGTGTGCGCATCCTGCAGCCAGGGGTGGAGTGAGCCGGCCATGGGGGTGGGACAAACCAGCCATAGGGGTGGGGCGCACTGCGTGGACCCTCTCCTCCGCCTCCCCCTCAGCTGTAGGGCAGCTGAGGGAGAGGCAATGGGCAGACATGAGCCCCACGCTGCCATTTCAGCGCGGAGTCTGCAAGCCACCACGTCACTCCCAGTAGAGATGTGTGGCTCAGGCACACTGCAGGCCCCGCGGTAAGTGCCACAGTGTGGCACCCAGTACCAGCCATGTTTCGTTACATTTCTGGACTGAACTAAAAAAATTTGTGAGCCCATAAACCAAAAACTCGTATTTTTGTCACCCCCCCTCAGTGATGACACCGAGGGCGGACCGCACCCACCGCACCCCTCTTCCTCTGCCACTGGTCATGGATCAGCGGTTCTCAACCTGTGGGTTCTCACATGTTGTTGGACTACAACTCCCATCATCCCTGAGCTCTGGCCTTGCTAGCTAGGGGTGATGGGAGTTGTAGTTCAACAACATCTGGGGACCCACAGGTTGAGAAAGGCTGTAAGGGATAGTCATAATGCAACAAGCAAGGATGTCTGGTGTTTTACAGTGCTGTGTAATAGGGATGGGGGGCAGTTTCCAGCCAAAGGGTCAAATCCCCTTGGGTACCACATGCCCCTGGTGGGCAGGGCCAGAGGCAAACGTGGCCAGGGTGATGGGTGCAACTTCAGTACGCTACATGCCAGCCACATACAACCCAGAGATTTCTGCACACCCACAAGTCTCTATCTTCCATCCAGGTTAAGCAAGCATCACTGCGAATGCACGGAAAGCGGGCAGGGAGCAAGACCAGTGACGGGGCGCGGTTTGGGGATTGGCTGTGATTAAGGCAGAGTTGTGAGGACCACATTCAGCCTCTGGGCCTGAACCGTCTCAGTCCTGCTGTACAAAAAGGGTGTCAAACAATCATAGGCGTCGACTTTAACAAAATGTTAATTTAAGGTAGCCTTCCTAATGTTTCCCCACAGACGGACAATTAGCAATGGACTGCCTGCAGCAGATAGAGTGAATCTTGGCATTAGGGACTTCTGGAAAGCAAAGTAAAACAGGGAAAGCACCCTTCAAAGCTCCATATTTCTCAGTCCCCTTTTTTCACCCCTCCACAATACTACAGACACCAGAAAAAGACACACTCACCCAGCCCATTGGCGCAGTCATAGAAGTCAATGCAATGGACAGTCCGATCCATTCCGTATGGTCCCATTAGTGTCCTGAAAGCAGAAACCAAGATGAAAAGGAAACTGTTTGTGGACACCAGGGGCACCCTGATTCTAAAGAGAAGAACTGTTATACTGCATCAGGCCTATGGTCCTTCTAGGACAACCTAGACAACCCTCATGGCCCCCCAATGTTTTGGACTACAACTCCCATCAGCCCTAGCACTAAACAGAGTCCTAGAGATGGAGAATAAATTTGACATTATGTGTTTATTTAGAGCATTTGTACCCTGCTCTTGAGTTAGGAAAGTTCCCACAGCGGCTTATATACAATCAATTAAAACAAGGCAGCCTCTGCCTGTAGGGTTACAAGCTAAAAACAACAACAATAACCCACCAACCACAGCACACAAGGGGCAAAGGACAGCGAGGGAAGAGGAGAAAAAAAGAACCAATTCTTAAACATGTGTTCTTATAATGACCAGCTGGCACAGTTCAGGGGTAGGAAGTGCCTGGTGGAGCCAGGCTTTCGGCAAAGCTGATGGAGGAAGCCCTGCTTCCCATCTGTCCCACTGAGGCAGCCCGACTGAACCTGGGACCATCTGCATGCAAAGCGGAGGCTCTGACATGGAGCCACAAACCTTGCCCTTTGAGGGGAGCCTGCATTCTTATGTGTGTCCCTCAAGTTCTCTACATGACCCAATGATGTGCCGGCGCTTGCCTGACCCCCCTTCAAGCCCTGTTTCTGAGCCGTTACCTGCTAATAATGACAGCTCCCTTGTAGAGGACCGAAATGGCTGGCATCTTGCGTGCCGGAGATGTCCAGTCCGCTGCCTGGCCCGTAAGCGTTCTGCTTTGGCCGAGATCCGGCAAAAAGTGGCGGAGATGGGGAGCGGCTCATGTGACCATCCCCATGGCACGTCAGGTCCACCCCAAACATTAACACAGATCACTGGGAAACCATCGCTCTCTTAAGATTAAAGCTTACGCAAGGCTTTTACGGATGCAGCCTCGGCCTATCGCAGAGGGATTCAGCAGAAGAGAGGGGGCAAAACAATTCAATTAGACTGAAATAAATCCTCTGGACATTCCCTCCCCTTGGTCTTAAATCATCGTTGCTCACGCATAATTAGAGCAGCAGAGTAATTATTCTGATGTGTTTTTATTGTTTGCCAGGTGCCCTGGTTTGGAACAGGCAGCAAGGGAAGGACGCCACTCAGATGAAGTCAGGTAACCTTGATGTTGCTCGGGGTATGTTGAGATCCATGGAAAGCCCCTCACTGTAATAACTTGTTGCCGAATTTCTCGTTAACGTCACCCTGTTCCTTTTGGTGCCCTATATAACTGTGGTGGGGAACCTCAGACTTGGCAGCCAAATGTGGCCCTCAAAACATCTCTATCTGGCCCCTATCTGGGCCACACACCCTCTCCCTAAGCCATGACTCTCACTGGCCCTCATTTGACCCCTGAATTCTTTTGCCTGGCAGGGATTTGTCCTTGAACTCTGGTGAGGTTTCTCTCTCGGCTGGATGGAGGACATCGCCTGGATGGAGGACATTTACTGTTCCGCCCACTTTTATCTCTGGCCCCTCCCACCCCTGGCAGGTGGCCCCTGGAAGGTTGCCCAGAATTCACACACACCGCAAGGAGGTATCAGCAGACCAAGGGGTGGAACCCAAGGTTTGGAGACACACAAAAAATGGAGGGAGCCCTAAAGGAAAGACTGTCTTCAGACAAGCCTGATTAAAGTCCCCTGCCACAACAAGGGCACCCTCTGGATGGATTTGTTGCTGCCTAGACATGACATCATATAACCGGAAGACGCACATGCTGGTTTGGGGTTCTCCAAAGGTTGGACGGCATGGACTCCTATCCCCCTCCACAGAACTACAATTCAAAGAGTGGTCTAACAGTCAATCCTGCTTCTTCCCAGAGAATTCTGGGAACTGTAGATCTGTGAGGGGGAATAGGAGCCTCCTAACAGCTGTCAGGACTCTTAACAAACCACAGCTCTCTGGAGTCTTAAGGTAGTCTCACAGATTGAATGGAGTGGGTGTAATCCAAGACTGAACATTAAAAAGCAACCCAGCCGTTGTGCATACTGATTAGGCTTCAACACCACCATTTCCATACAATGTGCCTTACACAAACATTTGCCATGCTGCGATTTGGAAGTGCTTTTCTGTATCACCTGAGCGTCAATAAAACACTTTAACAAACCATGGTTTCGGAAGCTGGCTTTTCCAACAAACCATAGCTAAGATGAACCACAGTTTAGGGTTTGCATATTACACTGGAGATGCAAATGACCACTCTCCCTTTGATGAGCAGAGAGATGCAAGAATCCATTGCCCTATCCATCCTCCTCAGCTGATCTGCAGGAAGTGGGGAGGGGGACTATCTGGCTATGTAAATACCAGAGTCCTGTGTGTGAGCATGTGAGAGTGTGGGTTGGGCACACCCACCACTGGCGTTCAGCCTCCAGGGAGTTGGCAAGAAGTGAATGCAGCCATCAGGTTGAAATGGTTAGTCACCTCTGCTCAAACCTGCAATGTTCCAACTGAGAAACTAGTCCACAAATGACCAAAAAAAAATAGTATTTTTTTTTAAGCTGAGGGTGAACTAGAGGTGGCGTGGATGATGAGTGACCCATTCTCAACATTGTGTTTTTCTGATCAAAATCTCTCATTGTTCCTGTGCATTTTTCCCACATCTGGATAGGAAAACGGCTGGAGGAAAGGCAATTTTGACTGGAAAATGGCCCGCATGAAAAGGATTACATAACCCACCCTCCTCCCCCAAATACCACCTATCGCTGCTCCTGTCAAATAGACGGCCTCTCCTGGCTGCATTTCAGATTTGTTTGTTTTTCACAATGCCCAGCCGGGTCTAATTTGGTCTTGTGTTTCAAGGGATCTGCTGACAACGTAAAAAACTGAGCCATGCCCTAATGCAGCTATATAAGGGGCAGGATGGTGGCCTATTTATTTTTCTCTGATCATTATTCTGAATATTGAGGTCTACAAGGTCACTGGTGCATTAGAGGATTTGGGATGAGACAGTGACTTTTGGCTGCATAAAACAAAAGCTGTGAGATAGCAAATAAATGTCTGTTTGCAAATGAGCTCCAACAGCCGCCGGTTCAGAGCCCTAGATGTGGTGCTCAATGCACCTTATGTGCAGTAGTTTTTTCGGAGAGAGGGAGACTGATCATTATAAGCTTGTGGTAACATGGAGGCAGGCTTTTTATCTGGCGGCATCAGTGTTGTGGAATGCCCTCCCTCCTGAAATATGAAAAATCCCATCTGCATTGGCTTTCCACCGGCTCTTGGAGACACACCTGTTTAGGCAAGCATCCCCCTGAACATGACCTTCTGGTCTTATTGTTCTAATTATTTTTCACTGTTTTAATTGCTATGCTTTTAAACTGGCATAATTTCTTGTATTTTTAAAATTACGACTGTTTTAATGCTTTGATTGACTGGTTTCTTGTGTGTTTTAATTATGCATGGATTTTACAATTGATCTTATAAACCACTTAGAAGCCTATATCTATCTATACTGTAGATATAGCATTGTCATAATCAGGGAAGCAGAAGGTAGACAACAGGAGTTTAGCTCTTTCCTATGCTGCAGCAGTCTTGATGAAAACAACTCTTTAGAAGTCACTTTCCCTTCTGGTAGGATCAAGGAATCTGTCAGTTTCTGTTTATCTTAGTATTTCACACACCCCTTCCCCAGTCTTGAATTCATTCTCCACATTTCTGCGTCAATTTGGGTGGGGGACCTCATGGAAATTCATCAGCATTTTAGTGTAAATTTATCCCAACAGTCAAATTTTTGTATTCAGTTTTACCTAATCAACACATTTTTGTAAAGCAGTTTCCTCTAACATAATGCATTTGTGCAAATTATTTTCACTTAATAGATGCAAATGCGTTTTTCTGCACGTTACTTGGCTGCATTGAAAAATTCAGAGAAGTTCCAGTTTCAAAAGATAACTTTTTTTGGTTTGCACACTCTCTGGGGAAATGTGAATGATGCAGACTAGCTGTTAAATGTGAACTGAATAAATGTTGTCTCCCCCCTCATCCTTCTCTTCTAGGCAACCTTCTGGGCACCATCCATGGAAGGCCTCCATTTCCCCCTACTGCTGCCATTCCTCCGTCTCCGTCTCCCACAGAGAGTTAAATCCTCAGCTGCCAAAGAGCTACGTCATCTCATCCTGTTTCCCCCTCTGCTGAGTCGGCCACCTAATCTGATCAAGGGCCCACTGTGTGCTGGAATAGGGTGATTAGAGAGCTGGATGATGCAAAATGGCTGTAGCCATAGCAACGGGGGAGAAAGGCCATGCACCACAGAGGTGTGCTTAGTGCAGATAGCAGTAGATAGCAGGAAGCAGCTTTGTGGGCAAAAGGAGCAAAGAATCCCTTGAGCAAGTAACTGTTGCAATAGGCTGAGCCCTCTGAAGATCAGTTGCCGGTGCAGGGCTCAACCAAAGGATGAGATGGATGAAACTGTCAATATCAGTGTCTCATTTTTTCCCCTTCTTAAGTTCAGTTTCTTTCTTTCTTTCTTTCTTTCTTTCTTTCTTTCTTTCTTTCTTTCTTCTTTCTTTCTTTCTTTCTTTCTTTCTTTCTTTCTTTTTATATTTCAAAAAAGCATCAAAATTTTACTGCATTTTTTCCTATCATGCACATTTTTTGCATTCAGTTCCTCTGGATATACAGTCAAAGGGCATCTCCTCCACCCACCAATGTCTTTGAAGTCCTTCAATGTTACCCCTCTTAAGAATGTGGCCCTCCAATCTTTCACAAAGTACAGCAGGCATTTCAGAGTAGGAACTTTATCTCAGCAATATCAGAGGCAACCCACAAAGAGAAAGAACCAGGAAAATGGTTCCAAAGAAAATGGTTCCATCAAGAAACCATCCAATGGATTTGATGATGTCATCATGGAACCAATCAGGTTTGACTGTGGTGACATCACCAGGAGCAAAGGAATGCAATTGTGCATTAGGGTAATGCTTCCT